TTTTTGGAATAAATAAAACCATAACTGTATAATGGCTAATGAAAATAAAATATTTAAATATTTTTTTACTAATTGCAATTGAATAAGCCTAATTTACAAAATAATGCAGCTAGCGCCACCTGTAGTGGATATTAAAAACTGCAGGTATTAATCAATGACAGAGGTAGGTAAAATGGTTCTTGAAATATATTTAAAATGAAAATACAAAATAGATAATAGAAAAACTATTTAGAATACAAAATGAAAAATGCTTTATAAATTTGTATTTAAAATAGAAAATAGATATTTTAAATAAGCGATTTATACAAAATGAAAATGCTTTCTTTCATTTTAATAATATATATTGATACATTAAATAACATAGATTACGCCGGTTTTTTTCGATCATAGTAGAAGATTAATATTAACTAAAATAGAAAACAAATTTCTTGCAGTATAGGTCCCAAGCAGCATTTGGACGTCGGGACAACGTTGTGTCACGCGACCAAACGTCGGGGCGCAACGTCGGCACAACTTCGTGCCAACCCTAGTCTGCACTAGTTTGGAGAATAATTTTTGGGTCGAAACGACGTTGGATACCGACGTTGGCTAGAAGCCTAAATTAGTACAAACTGCAACGTTGTTTAAAATCCTAATTCACAGAAATACAAAACTAATATGGCGTCTAAGTCGCGTTTTTTCCTAAATTGGGATAATTATAGTAAAAATATTATGTTTATGATTTAGTTAGAGACATATGTCAAATGGCAGTGAAGGAAAACAAAACAAAAGTATTTAAGTGTGGAGGATGTTTGAAGATCATAATTATTGAAACACTTTAACCGACTCTGTAACTCGTTACCCAAGGCAAAAAAGTTAAAAAAGTTAAACGCAAACAAGGGTCAAATATTTCAAGTTAATGTATTCAAAAAGCAGGAATTGCTATTTTAGGAACGAAACATTTTCTTATTTAACAACATGGCGGCTTTCACTTTGTTGTTTTGGAGATTAAGATGGAGTAGTTCGAGTAGTCGCATACTGGACTAATAAAGTCGCAGTTTGGCCTTAACAGGTAGTATACTAGTCGCAAGATTGTCTAATTTAGTCATCCTAGAGTCTAGATTGTCCCGCCCTCTATAATCTAAATAAACGAAGGAGTGGATAAACTATCGGTAATATATCTCATCGATGTATATTTAAATTTAGTTTTATATGTACCTTTCTTATGTCCCATTTTAATTAAGTTTTTTTTTATAAAAACAAAAACAACACTGAACTGTCTGACTAAACAGAACAATGAAGTGAAAATTTAAGATTTAAAATTATGGTTCAATACAGTTCCAAAAAGGTAGTGACTCGACGTCCTACCAACGTAAGAATAAAGAAATCTAAACAACGTTGGAATTAGTAAAACAGACGACGTTTGCATAACTTTGGAATAGGTCCTGAAACTGACGTCGGAAAACTCTATATGTCCAACGTTGTAACTACGTTGTCCGAATCACCTAAAGATCACTTAAGCAAAAAAGGTTACAAGACAACGTTTATTCGACGTCGCAGAAGCTTCTACTTTGCTGTACTACTAGTCCAACGTCGGCACAAAGTTATAAAAACGTTGAAATTTATTTCAATACCCAAGGTAGGGAGCTAACCATTTTTTGTAACTAATCCAACGTTGTGTTTAGTAAAGATGTAGCGCAAGTGGTGAAAATGCTACTTCGGGTATATAATAAAATTATATAAGGATTCTTGTCACTTAACTGCTTATATAGAAATTTAATTCTACGCTGTGTTTGTCATAATGTGGATCAACCTGCTCTCACTACCGGTTTCGGTGACAAACGTTCCGATTTCGATGACAAATACAGCGTAGAATTAAATTTCTATACAAGGAGTTAAGTGGCAAGAATCCTTATATAATTTCATTATATACCTATACTGCAAGAAATTTGTTTTCTATTTTATAATTTGGCTCGCCTGAAAAAAAAAGCCTTTTACCATCCTTTTACTATCGATAGTTGCGCCTCGGTGGTACGAAAGTACTACCATTGCACGCAGGCCGCTATCTCCAGTTCGGGACTTAATATCTAACCGACACTTTCCGACAAGTCGGAATTAACTATCTCTGCGATGTGGTCGTCATTTTGTGGATCTGCCCAAGCTCACCTGATGATGGAGTAGGGCTCCGAAACCGCTAGTGAGAGCAGCTTGATCCACATTATGACAAACAGAGCGTAGAATTAAATTATAGAAATTTAGTTCTACGCATAAGCAGTTAAGTGGCAAGAATCCTTATATAATTTTATTAATATTAACTAAACATAAAAAGAAAAACTTAAAGAAAATATGGCTCAGTAAGATATGGTAGACCAGATAAATCTTGCCTTCGACATATTTTTGATAAAGATCATTGTATATGGATGTTATGAATTTAAAATTAATCAAACAAGTCCCAAATTATATATCCCATATGATATGAACACATCAAAATAAATAAATGTATGGATAATATGAACAAAGATGTGGGATTCCGTCCAGTTCTCTTTTCCCTATTGCTCGAGTCTCGGTAATTAACTGATACGCTCGATTCGTTTTGACTCGCTTGGTCGGTACCAACTGAGCGTCTATATAAACGCTCAATTTGTAGATATTAGTTTGTAACGTTTTTAGTTCGTTACAAGTCTTCATATATGATATATGATGTCTGGCATATCATCACCGGATTCCCTATCGTTCAAGCCGGATTATTTATTTGACGCGCTTGGCGTAATTTTTACGTTCTCTAGACCACAACCCTGTTATCGTTTGACTGCTCTGTGGAGACGCTGTCAACATCGCTTCAAGGTTTCACTCTCTGCGCTGTAGCCTCACTTTTGCTTTTGCCGCTCTGTGGCCATCATCAGTCCCAGCTTTTTGAAATGGTAATTATTTAAATCTTGCTGTATAATTTGAATCAGCTGCTATTTCAAAGCAACAGGGTAGAGTTTTGGATGTCCCTACGTAACTTGTATTTGTATTTTGCTGGCACGTTGGCGTTCCTTTGCTTTTGTCCTCCAGAATGTGTATTGGAAGAAAGGACAATTGCCTTTGTTTATTATAGAGCTCTCGGAAGTATTTCGAGGTAGGCTTATTTCGTTTATTAGACCTTGTTTGATTTAAACAAGAGTTTCGTATTTTTAGGGTCTTATGGGCGGATGTCCAAGTTACGACATTGTCCTATAGTGGGATGCCCTATGTACGGATGTCCTGTGGACGAGTGTCCCATGTAGGGATGGTTTATCTTATATATAGAGTGCCCCAGCGTGGATGTAGCTTGAGCCCCATGCTGCTTCGTTCCCATTTCTAAGCCTAGTCAGTAGTATGGCTGAATTGATTCATGGTGTCCTCATTCTGGCCTCTTTTGTTGTATTGACCAACAGGATAGCCGAGAGACAGTACAGAGATGCGAGACCACCTCACGCTGTTACTGGTTGAAGCATGATTGCATAAAGAACAGCTAAGTGTAGATTTAAGTTCTAGTTTTCAGTCGATTTTCAGTCTTAATATAATAACGTACATTTTAAATGATACCGTACAGACTATGTTTAGTGGTTAGATCGTTAAGAACATTTATGTCGATTTAGTAGTTACAATATGATTTAGATCTTAGGTTTCATTACATTACGTTTTGTAATAGTATTACTTTCTATAGATATTATTATTGCGCTATATTAACAGATGAATAACCAAACATAGATTCTAGAATCTACGGGTTGCAACATCTTTGATTTAACATCATATAAAATATATCAAATTAATTAAAGTAATGCTACCTTTTATACATTTTCTATAACTTTACATGTATGGTATTTTTTTATAGTCTTCTCATTGAATATATTTAATATTATTTCTAACATAGCTTTTACTCGACATATAACCACTATAATAATTATTAAAATTGTACAATGCTATTTACCATCAGAATACGTCATGAATGAATATAGTCACTAGTTTTAAGTAATAAACAACTGTGTTTTCTTTCTCTGTTCATGCCTGGCGCCCAATATTTGTATTTTTGTTGTATTGTATTATATATTTGTATTTATTATTGTTAGTTAGTTTCATTCCAGTGAAATACCTTATCCGCGACTACTCTACCAACGAAAAGCTGCCGTTCGCAATGGTAATGTTTTATAAAAAACGCTATAAGTTTAGTTATATATTTTTTTAATTTTATGTCGTTTATCTACGATTTTAATCATCTGGTGATGATGTCCAGTGCTGCAGACCTAAAGTGTCTTGGTGTATTGTGGTGAATTGGTGTTTTATTTTGCTGTTGTAACACTAAAGGTTCCAACTGCCAACTATAATCAATACAGTATTACCTGTGATAAGGACCTCGCTGATGAAGTGCATAAGTTCTCAATTCTCAGTAGTATCCTTGAATATGTATTAAACAAGAGAATTTAGTATCATTCAAATATTTGGATGTAGCTGAAAAATATCCAGTAAGAAGTTGTTAATCCATTTCTGATATTGTAAAACGATATCATATCAAAAAATGTTGTCTCTCGTGTAGTGTGTTCTCAAATTTAGTCTACTCTTTTGTATTAATCAACTTACTTCATATTCGTTTTTTATTTAAAATATAAAATGGTTTAATTTCTCTATTTAAAATACAAAACAGAAAATAATTTTTCAAATATATTTAAAACAGAAAATGGCATTTTGTATTTTATATAGGTATTTTAAATAATTTTATTTGAAATAGTTACCCACCACTGATCAATGATCAGTAGCAAGCATATTTGAAAAATAATTGCACGCAGGGACGGTACTACGTATAGAAAAATCAAGATAATACATTCGGACTGGACGCCTCATATAATTACGATCGAACTTCACTTCAGGTAAGTTCGTTTGATCGTATAATTAAATACCAAAGACATTTACAAATTAAACAATATCTCTTTTAAAACTTGGTTTATCTATTTATAAAAAAATAACTAGTTGTTTTTATTCAGGTAAATAAAACACAATTACTTAATATATTGAAAGCTTTATCTTCAGACGTCGAAATGTCTGATACATAGATTAAATAGTTTATATGTCACATTAATTTAAATAAATAAAATAGCAGTCCAATTTTGTCGTTTCAATGTTCGCAATAAGTCCTTTTGTAGACCATTGGAATTTAGGGAAAAACCACTAACCCATTTCAATATATTATTGAAACGACAAAACCGTATATAAATTATCTAAATATTTAATACCATAAAGCTATTACTAAATAATGTGATATAGTAATTTGCATTAGATCAGTTTATACAAATAATATCAATTAACCTTAACTTACAATAAAATCGTTTTATAAAAAATAACAGCTTTAACAAAAACACTCAAGCAATAAAAATGTAATCGTAAGTTTACTGTTTAATTACAACATCAAATTTCATTATTAAAATAAGTACTCTCTTCTATTTGATCGATTAAAATTGTACTAATACCACTTTATTACCTAAATCTCTATTATTTTATTACTTCTATATCCGCGCGTCAGTACAATTGGCACAATTTTAACCGATCATTTTAATTGCTTCTATACAAACATCATTCAAAGTAAAAAGATTGCACAACTTTAAAAAATATGTAGGTATGTCATGCCAGCAAATGGCGAAATTGTTTTATTTTCAAAAATGGAAAGGTTTGTCGGACATATTTGTATGTGGACATATTTTTTTTGTTCTTTTATATTTAACCTATCCAAAAAAGCTATATATTATAGTAACGATATACTTGTGATAATAATCTTAGTTTGGATAAGATTACGGCAAGCTTTTTGTACCTATATTGCATATAAAGCTAGAATTCTTAATTTGGTAAATATCGTTTAACAGCTTTTATATTCTCGAATGCATATGTGTCACAGTAATACCTAATACAACTCAAAAATATATTGTTTTGACAATAATGCTTTAAGAATTTTTCGTGAAATTGAGTCAAGTTTATCGTTTGTAATGATCGATATTTTATTTTTCGTCAAATTATGCCACTAATTTCAGTTTACTTCTTGCTCTCTTTTTCCATCTCTTTTAACAAGTCTTTCATTTCATCAGACAGCTGGTGTTGATCTGACGCTTTTCTGAAACAAAATTAATTAATATTAAATTAATGAATTATTTGACTATAAATAAATATGCTGGACTGTCGATAATGGTGAAGATTTCGTTATAAATAATATTATACTTCGTATAAATATGTATATAATATTATGTGGAGACAGTAGTATCGACTGACTAGTGAGAAAGAAAATCTAGAAACTAGTGGGGTTGCAGTCGGAAGTGTTTGAACTAGAATTAATACGCTTTGTCAATTGTCAAGTTTTCGGAATTTATTTATTCCATCCTCAGGACATCAACGTGGTAAAAAGACCTTAATAAAAAACTACATTAAAAAATAGGCTTAAGGGATACATTGAAAACTCCACAGTAAAAACATTGCTGACCAGTCAACCACACTAAGGGCAAAGACTACAAAGACGGGACAGTGGGACAGAGAAACGATTTTAGAAAAAGACAGACGGGGTCGCATTTTAAAGGAACAATTTCCAAGCAATTACATTCTTGCCAAGTATAAAACAGATAACTGAATTCAATAAAGTATATCTTATTATAAAACGAATTATAATACTAAATATATAAATATCAATGCACTAAAATAATTACGTCTAAGTTATATTCATTTAGATACTATTATAAATGTAATATTTTTGTGTTACTACTAAAAAAAAATTTTACTGTAGTAAATTATAGTTTCCTAAAATTCAGGTAAAATTTTTTATACATGGCAACATTGTATTTCTATGTGGCAAGTTTATTTTCGCCTAATGTTTTGAAAGGTTATATTACGAATTATTTCTTTAAAATTGCTTCGTTAAAAATGATTTTCCGTATGATTTGTGAACTTGTCAAGAATATATTGAATAGTTGGTGTTTGGATAGAAAAAATACCTTCGAGTCGTTTCTGATCTACCCCCAAAGAATACAAAAATACTATTTTAAGAAAATATCAAGTAGGCGACAACAGGCAAGTAAAAATTATCGATTTAAGTTGAATAGAAACACAGTTGAATTTAAATATTTTCGAAAGTGTAATAGCTAATTGAAGATTACATTTTATTTAAGAAAACCAAGAATCATAGCTGTTATTTATGTACTTTATATGATGAAAATTTTCAGGAAATTATTTAAAGATGATATTTAATATTCAATATTTATTGATATTTATATGGGCTTGAAACTATAGTATATTAAATCATAAACATATTTTTACTATGGCCTTAATTTTTGTTTATATTTTTTAGGTCTTGAAAGTGGAATGAACTATGTGAACATCTAGATTTATCTAAATTTTAGTGGTGTTAAAATACAAAAAAAAACTATAGAGATTATTTTCACAGGGAATGTAGAGAAAAGTCTTTAGGGGAATATTAGAGAAAATTTTCCATTATAAATAATACTCTTTTTTATTTTCTCTTCGCCAATGTCTTAACATTTTCTGTTGTTTTTATTTTCATATTTTATGAAAGTATCTATTAAAACGTTGGCGATGACACTACACAATAACTTTTTTTTTTCTTATTTAAGTAACAATTACGGTATTAAATATTTCAACTAAATATTAAAATTGTCAAACTTGTAAAAGCGTAAACAAAAATATAAGGTTAGAAAATTTCTGACCTAGTCCAACCTTGTCAATTTTTTTCAATGTTGCCATACTTTACATAATAACTTAAAATACAGGTATTATGCATCAAAAATATACACAAAAATATTCGAAATGTTCAATTAAATATTCTCAAGAATATAAATAATTTTTAAAGATTTAAAATATTCATCATATTTCATTAAGAATATATGTTCATTATACTATAGCATGCATAATTTATGATGAAATTTTGTTGAATCAAAATCAGTATGGCAATAATGGAAGTCTCCTAGAAGTCGCAGTTTAAAGGGACGAGGTCACTGAGAGCCGAAGTCAAAAACGTTTCATCTTTTGCCGGCTGTCCCGTCTTTGTAGTCTTTGCTAAAATTCAATTCCGTCTCAATCTACGTCGTGGAGACGCAAAGCAACCGACAAACGACAACTCTCAATGAAACTTTCAGAGGAGAACTTTTCATTTTTCTCCTTATGTTTAAAGAAATATTTGTGTTAGAGATAGAAGGGAAATATATCTCTGTGTTCCGTGAATTGCAAACTCACAGGGTTTAGGAAAATACATAGAAGTTATTTTTAGGGATTATAAGTTTGCAGAAATAGGTATACAAAAATAAGTTGTTTCACAGTATATGTATTTGTTTAATATTAACTAAAATTATTCTTACTTTGATTTGTTCTTGTCGGGTAATTCTGGAATTGGTTCAGGCTCTGTAAATTAAAAATAATAATATAATTAAACAATATATATTTTTTGTAAATTAAGAAACAATGAAGAAAAATGGTAAAACACTCATCTCATGCTGCACACCCAAAAATGCAGAGTAGACTGAAATAAACCGTGTTCTTATAAGTGTGTGGAAATTAATAATTGTGAATATAATACTTAATAATTTGTAGACAATAATTATTGCTAGTGGTACTGAAAAAAAATCATGCTTAATCGGTTTTGTGATACTGATGCTTTGATAAATAATTAAATATTGGGGAAGTAAAAATATACAACATATACAACATGGGGGACATTGTAATTGTATTGCTTTAAAAATATAATTTGGTATATACGATTAAAATGGTAGAATATATTTATACAGTCGGTCTTTTCCGTCTTAGTTTAGTTCATGCCAAACGGGTAAAAAAAATTTCACCTGCACAAAAGGTTTTACTTGATCCGTTTTGACTGAACAGGTAAGACTGACAGCTAAAACGTTATAGACCAAGGTCGCCAGACTACATATTTTCTCACAAATAAAATGTATGTCATAATTAGGCAATAGTATGTGATTGGACACTGAGACTTTCAGAAAAGTGAGTTCTGTTTTTATTAACTTTTAGCAAACTGTAGGTATCTGTGAATTGGCTGTCAATAACTCAACTTTCCCGGATATTCAACTCTCCCGAAATAACATTTTATAGCTTCGCAGTTTCTCACACCGATTTGATCAAAAGCAAAAATGGATTCAAGCAGTTCGACGAAACAAGTGAGTAAACAAAGTGCTCGTTACGTAATCGAAAAGTTAAATAGACATATATACAACTAGGAGAGGACAAAATATAATTTGCAATATAAATGCTATACTTTTTTTAATCAACTAGTGGTTAAATGTTTTATGAACATCTTCTAAAATTATAATTATGTACCTTTAAAAAATTTCGTTATAGCCGAAATGGCCCCAATTGTGCCCCACTAGCAGAACCGGTGATTAAAACTAAGCTCGCTACCGCAGTTGAACTTATCTAAAAAGTGTTTTTAACTGGAATAATAAATTATAATATAAGTTAGACCTTCTGAAGATATTAAACTATTTACTTTTTATTTTTTTTTTACAATTTTCACAAATTATACTTCCTAACACTTTTAGAATAATTAAATAATACATTTTTCGTATACTCGCTATATAAACCCGTGTATTTGTATATACTAGTTGTTTACGATATTCTCCGATGGTGGCAGCACCGACGGAGAATGCACCAAGCCTATTTTTTTCTATATGTTAATTTCTATAAATACTATGCGATGTGGCGCTTTTTACAAGAGAGAAAAAATATAATAAATACTAGGAGAACAATAGAGTTGGAAAATATTTTTGCTAAAATTTATTAAGGGGTGGGGGCGCTTTTCACCCTTCCCGTACTTTTTCTTACTTTTTGTGAAACTCAAATGTTAAAGTGCTTAGCAAAACATAAGCACCCCAAATCTCATTCAACACGGAATATCCGTTCTTCAAATATCTTAAAAATGCACTATTGTAGAGGTAAATTGTCCAATGAACTTATTTTTATTCCAGAAATACGTAGAAGTTCTGTGTACACAGAATACTGGGACACCCTGTACTTCTAAGAAAATAAGTAAGAATAGAACGTCAACGGTTTTTGTAGACGTAGGTGTCTGTTTAAAAAAAAACTAAAGTGTTCTCGAATAGTTGCATTTGGATATTTTAAATAGTTTTTTCTTTGTCCTTTGTATTTTTCCTTGTTTCCGATGATGCGCGACTGGAAGAAAAATGTTATTTTTTTGTCCGTTAGGCAATTTTGTTTATTAGTAAACCACTGGTGACAATTAGTCTCTGTTGGATTAATGCCAGCAGTGTTTACAAAAAATAACTATTTTATTTTGTGGATTTTCTTACAGTGGCGAAATACCTATAGGACCTCGTATAGGACATTTTTGAAGAGATGAATTCGCAACAGAGCGCTACCGATCGCTATTTAGTTACAGAGTTCCACCCCTGGGATCTTGCTCTATTATGTATTGACGAGGTTTAACAGTTATTGATATAAACTATAATTTGTTAAATTTGATATTTGATGTTCATTTTTTTATGTTTCTTCATTTCCGCAGGTGGTCTAAAAAATAATTTAGAAAAATATTTTTTTTTTCTGTGCGCTTATATTTTTAAAGCAATACTATCATTCAGAATAAATGACTTTAGGAATTGTTTGTACTGTAAAGACGAACTATCTATACCATGTCGGGACATTTTAAAACGCCAGTCGTGCTCCCTCAGATTCACTTCGGTTTGATCCTCCATGCTGATTTCGTAATGGAGCGGCTTTCTACGAGCTACAGCATTGAACAAAATGTTTACTCCACTAATAATCCCAGTAGATATTTGGCAAATGTGACATATCCATTTTTAAATATATCCAATTTTGATTCATAAATATATATCCGGAGTTGTATTCAGAAAACTTTGGCAGAATATTCTAAAATGCTTTGTTTCGGAGATACAGGGTGTAGAATGCAGATATTTTATTTTTATTTCAATTTTTTCAAAATATTTTCTCAACTAATGTCAATATTTGGATGAAAATTAGTGTCTGGATGTTTTTTGGCATGAAAAATTTGATTTCGATATTTTCAATATCCATCGGTATCCTATCTTGTAGTGGGCGCCACCTACATATTTTTAATTGGTTTGAAAGTAATAACTTTTCGTTCGTACCTATATAAAACTACTTAGTGAAAGATTATACATTTCCGCCACTTTTTACTTAAAAATGCTTGATAAAAATCGTTACGAGTAACCGTTCTAAAGATATTTGGAATAGAAATGATCAACTCATGTCATCATTGACAATCAATAAACATATTGAGACTAGATAGTTATTTGACTGAAATGAAAGATTTTGGAACATTTTATTTTTTAGCATATTTTTTTCTAGAAAAAAATATTTTCTGCTAAACCATTGGGACAAATTTGTTTTTTTTTAGTCTTAATTTTCGATTCCAAATATCGGGAGAACTCATTGCGATTTTAACCAAGAGATCTTCTTAGCATATAAAAAAGAAAATGTATATTTTTTCATTCAGTAGTATTACACAGGTACAGACAAAAAGTTATTACTCTTCAAGGTTAGGTTAGATTGCTCGGGTTTGGGATCATGTTTGATCCCTCACTCGGAGGCCTTGGGCGATACCCCTGTATTGTTGTACCAAACCTTCCTCTCATTCTTTCTTTGCGTTAAAATACTTCTAGCTCTTTGCAAAGTTCCCGATGTCGCTGATGTTAGCTTCAGCTGCTTCCTCTAGTCCCTCCAAAAAACCTTGGCCTAAAGTTTTAAAGCGTCGGTATTTCAGTGTCGGACAGTAGCACAGCAGGTGCTCTATGGTTTCTTCTACATCTCCGTATTCTCTGCAGTAGTCGTCGTTGGAAACCTTCCATCTCACGAGGTTTACCCCCGTCGGACAGTTTCCAGTATTACTCTTCAAACTAGTTAAAAAATATGCAGATAGCGCCCTGTAGGAGTCATATTGACATTCCATGAGTCATCAAATTTCCCATGTCAAAAAACTCCCACATTTTCATCCAAGTATCACTAATTTTTATCCAAATATCGACATTATTTCTGTAATTATTTGTAAAAGATCGAATTAAAAATGAAACTTCTAAACCCTGTATCTCCAAAACGAAGCATTTTAGGACATACATTTATACACAATGTTCAATTATGTTTTACTTTTTATCTGTAGAATATGCTGCCAAAGTTTCCCGAAGACAATTCGGACCACTCTGTATTTAGCTATTACCATTGTATAAAAAAACTAATAAACGAGAGAGAAATTTTTATATTCATCCATTTAAAACGGAGTCTATGCCACCGGAGTCACTTTGAAATACCTTTTTATCATTTTTGTTTTCGCGGTCTGGATAAAATTCTTCCTTAGTCTTTTTATTCATAGACTGTTGGTATAATTTAAATGACGGCCAAATTTATTCATTATTACATGAATGAATAATTGAGCGTATAAAAATAGATTGAATAATTCGTAATATAAGAATATCGTTCAACTTTGGATCTCTCTATATTACTTTTCATATTAATTAAATATTATACCATGTGATCGAAAAAAAAACGGAGTCAAAGACAGCTAGGGAATGACAATCGATGATAATTTTAGTACGGTCATTTTATAGACGTCATTTATTAAAAAAAATACAAAAAACTTTTCAAGAATGAACACTAATTATATAAAGATTAATAAGGATATAACGTTTCAGACACACAAATCTATTTCAAAGAAAAATGTATTTTTTTTTCTCGAATTTTAATCTTCAACATTTAAAAAACATTTTTACTCAATATTAACATAAATTACAACCTTCTTAATATCCCCTGGCAGTAAACCCCATTTAAAGATAAAGAACTTGAGGGAAGAACTTGGAACTCAAGAAGAAGAGCTTGACCTTGCCAAAATTATCATGAATTGTCATTCCCCAGCCGTCTTTGACGCCATATTTTTTTCGATCGTATGGTATTATATTGACGGTTTTCTGGAAACAAATTTCAATCATTTTTTAGTTCTTCTTTTTAAAAATGCCAAAGAGAAAAGGTTAATTATGGATCAACAGCGCTACTTTTTTTGACTGTTACATCAAAGTCTATATTTATTTAAATGCTAGTTGGATATATAAATATACAGGGTTGTTCACCACATACGACATGGAGTATTGTAGCTTAACCATTAAATTTTTACAAATTGTAAGTCTTGGATTCGTTGAAGGACTATTAGAGCTAGAATTTAAAAATAATTTGACAAGCTACAGAGTGTCCCAAATGAGTAAAAAATATTATAGTTGTATTTTTTTAAATGAAACACCCTCTATATTATACTATTTTTACATTCAACGATTGAAATAAAGGTAAATTTGATTAAGATATATCACAGATAAAGCTTACCGTTTTTGAAGTATTTTCAATTGAAAATATTTCAAAAATTAAGGCTGCTTTTCGCCAAGGGTATTACAGATTTTAGTACTAAATATTTACTGAAGATTGTTTATTGATCAGATATTGTGTTGCAATAATAAAAATTATACTACCTTATACAGAGTGTCCAGATTTAATATTAAATAATTTACTTTACCAAAATTTATATTAAATAATTACTAGCCTTAAACGGCAATAACTTGTTTAATTTGTATATAATATTTTTTACTAATTTGGGACACTCTGTATCTTGTAAAAATATTTTTAAATTGTAGCTCTAATAATCCTTCAACGAGCCCAAAACTTACAATTTGTAAAAATCTAACCGTTTAGCTACAATTTTCCGTGTTGTATGTGGTGAACAACCCTGTATTGATTATATCAATGATTTGATTATATTGATGAAAAACATTGGAATGACTTTTATTACTATTTTGATGTACGATATTTATAATTTAGCTGAAATAATTAGAGGAACTTGGAAAAAAACGTAAAAATACTAACCTTTAGTTTTCGTCTCTCCTTGCTGTACACTTGATGTATGAGGTTGTTCCTCACCTACAACATAGAAAATTTTACTATTGAAATAGTATAATGCTATATAAAAAATTCAGACAAGTCATCATGCATAAATATATTATAGATTTGTGTGTAACAGTGAAACAGATCTTCAAAGAATATATTATATGAAGCTTCTCTAAGTATAAGAATTTGTCACAAATCAATAATATATAAACTGTTAAGGAGTATTATGTATTAAGATAATCCATGCAACCTTAAAAGCATGCAAACTCAAAAAAAACTTACCAAATAGTGACATATGTGAAGAAAGTAATTGAACATAAATCAATTAAACTTAAAAGTAAAATGATCTACAATTTTAAAGTATAATATACAGGCAAAGACAAAGAGGGAGTTAATATAAGAAACCAACCTGTTAGTGATTGGGTTAGTGAAGAAACGTTAGACTGAGGCTCATCAAAATTCTTAATTTCGGTGGGTTGTATGTATCCTTTGTCGTCAAGTGCTGTCTTTGTTAAGGAAGATTCATTAGTAGTTCGATCCTTAACAGATTCGAGTTCATTTAGTTCTTTAAAATACTGTTCGATATCATACTTAGTTACAGGGTTATCTGTATCTCCTTCCACAATAAAACGTTTCTGTACTATTCTTTTGGTGTGAACATTTCCGTGTTCATCTACTTCTTCAGTTTCCTGAATATCTTCACCTTCATTAAATTCCTGCATGAATTTTTTAACACGTTGTTCAGCGTCTGGACCCGTGAATGTAATTTTATGTATTTCAGGTGGTAATTCTATTTTCCTATGAATAGTGTGTGAAAATTGATCTTCGCTTGATGGTTCCATAGTCTCAAAAATATGTGGCCGTGACTCTTCTATATACTCGCTAACACGTCTGCCACTTAGGTCTTCATCAAACCATACCTTTCGTACAGCTGCGCCTACATCAACAGTATCGCGTACAAAAGCCGAGTCAATAGTGTCAGTTGATGACACCATTGTATTTGATCCCCCACTTGTAAAGCTTCCGGAAAAAACTGAGTCGCTTTCAAAATGCATTGTAGCGTGGGTTGCCGTAGAACTAGTAGGTTCTAAACTTCCTACACTCTGAATATCTTTTTCTTCTTTTGTCACATCAGTTTCTAAGATTTCTTCTTTAACTGATGAACTGAAGTCTTTGCCTGTACTTGAAATACTATGGTCTGCAAGTCCAATTTTTGATACATCTTCTTCAATCGAATCGCTTTGGATGATATTAAATCCTGAACTTGTACCTGCACCAAGTTCCAATGAATCACTAGAAACCATATTATTTTTGTCCTCGTGGCATTCGATACTGTCGGTCATAATTGTGTCTCTAATTTTCTGAGCTTGAAATTCAATGGAATCAGTACTAGCAGTCATAATGTCTCCAGCAGTAACTTGAGCATCCAGGCTATCTGCACTATCACGACGATCTTCTTCTTGTTTGCATTCAAGAGAATCTGTGGACGCAATCATAACATTGTCATTCTCTTTCCATTGGACTTTAATCGTAGATTTAACAACTGGACTATCTAACTCTAGATCGGGAACCTTAGATACTTCTTCCACAGAATCACCACGTCCTAATGATTCAGTTTTCTCCATTTCACGCAGATCTACAAATCTTTCCACGTTACTTTGAGCCTGTTTAATAATTTCATCGATTTCAACCATTCTTTTTTCATAGTCATCATCCTCCTCGGTGTCAGTAATTTTTTTCTCTGTCCCAGCTGTCTCACAACTTTCTGATTCAGATGCAATGCTTTCTTGTCCCTCATCTATTTGGGCTAACATAGCTTCTTCCTCTTTTGCTTTTACTTCAATTTTGTGTGCTTGTATACAAGCATTTTCTAGTCCCTCAAACTCCTTCAGCGAACTAACAGAAATATCGTCACCTGTGTTATTTTTGCTATGATGAAATTTTGTTTTAAAACTACCACTACTAGATGAATCTGACCCCTGGCCCTGATGGAATCGTTTCATTTCAAGCGACATAGCTTGCTCGAGATTTTCAAATTCTTGTAAACTAGACATTGATATATCATCATGTTCACCAGACCTAGTAAAATATTTTCTACCTGCCAATACATCATAATCGGGTGTACTTGAGTAAGAGTCTTTTGCACTTCCTAGACTGCCCGCTGATTCTTTTTGGGAACCGTAACTTGATGCGGCAAAATCATTTATATCTTCTTCTTTAATATCTTCTAGTGGCCCTCTTTCAAACTCCATTTCATAGCCATACCCAGCAGCAATCATAGCCGCTTTATTTCCTTGGAACTGTTGTTCAATCCATCTTTTATTGGCTTCCAGTTCTCTATCATACTCATATCCGTAATCCCTAGTTGATGCAACTGCCTGTTTATCTCCATCTAGTTTTGGTGGACTATCTTCAAATTCAAAACCTAATTCATCACTTGATGATCCCTCTGGACAATACTTTATGCCTGTTAAAGGTGTTGGGGCAGATTTAACCAAATACCGTTCTACTTCTTCGTCGTGCTTTTTAATAGCAGCAGACGTCTTACCAATTCGAACACTTTTACCTTCAGAATCAAATTCTTGAGCTTCTCTAGCTACCTCTTCTATTACCACAAAATCGTCAATAATATCTGGTTTTTCTAGCATTTCAAACGAATCAGAACTTTGTGAGTCAACATCTTTTTCTACTTTGGTCGTATCTACGACGGTAGATGCAGAAGATTCTGTTGTTATATCAATCAAACTGGATTTCATCATTGATGATGTGAGAAGTTCATCTGATATATCCTTGTCTTCACATCCAACTTTACTCTGATCTTGAGTTTTATTGTTTTGTTCAGTATCGGGCATATCTACTATTTCAAAAGTTTTTTCAGATGATTCCATATCGATATCTCGATTGTCGTCTTTCTCGGATTGTTCAAAATCAGGTGTCATATGTTCAGTAACAGTTATATCAGGAATAAAACCTGGACTAATATCTTTCATTTGAGCACGTCGCTCCTCCAATTCCTTTTTTGCCTTTTCTCTCATTTCTAATTCATGTTTTTCTGCATCATCATCTTCCAATATGGGCACTATCTGTTTAACTTTATGAGCGGGAGAAATATGAGCAACCATACTAAATACAGCATCAGCTTCAGCCTCTTCGAAACTTGATTTTTCACTGGATGTTGTACTTGACTTTCCATGAGAGTCACGTTTCTCTAAACTTTCTTTTGGTATGTCTGTAATACTTGTAGTAGACCTCTTTCTTTGTAATTCCATAGCAACTTCTTTAGTTTTGGAAGAAAATTCTTGTTCAAAGTCACCTATACCAGTTAAACTTAAACTTAATTCCAAATTCTCATTTTTAGAACCATATTCGGCTTCCGGGCTAGGTGTTTTTTTAATTTGATCTGCTTTAATACTTTCTGATTTTTGATCTATTAAATCCGATTTAAACTTATCGAACTGTAGTCCATCCTTAGAATCTAACAAATCTTCATTATCAGCAAATTCTTCCTTAATTTGCTTTTGAGATTGTTCCTTTTCATCAATGTCTTTTTCTGATTCATAAACTTCTTTTTCTTTCTTTACTCTATTTACAGAATCTTTGCTCTCAGCCGTAATGTTCGACAGAGATATTCCCATCATTGTGCTCTCGGTCCGCCTATGCCCCTTTCGTTTCGGTTCTTCAGTCAAAGTTTTTGTTGTAAAATCTGATATATTCTCTTGTTCTTTTGTCTGGGAAGTAATTTGTGTACTTGCACTATGGACACTTCCTTCCTTAACGGATGTTGTTGTTATAGTAACATTGTCTGATTGCCAATCGGTATAAACTGGGGGAGTTGAAGTAGCCATATCGTAAGTTTTTTGAAGGGTCGGAGTAAGAGGCAAACTTTCTTGACTTCCGCGTATTGTGGTTTCTGTTTCGTCAATACTGTGATGTTCAGATATCCCTAACGCTCTTTCATGATTATCTAAAACTTCAATAATCGTTCGTTGGGCACCAGTGCTTGAGGTACTTGACATACTCATGCTAAGTATGCTCCCATCATCTAAGCTTTGTGCAAATTTTTCTTCATTTTCTGCAATTTCAGCTTGAGGGGACTCTGATACCAATACCTTTGGCTCGGGTTGAAACGTCATTTCACAAGAACGCTTCATTTTTGATGGAATATCTGCAGACTTTCCATCCATATCATTCAATTCTTCTTCAGATATATCAACAGAGTCACCAACCATTTCGGAATCGGTAAGATCAGATATTTGCCTTCCTCGTTTACCGTATCCTACCCAACCTGAAGATGGCTCAATATCTTCCAATAATTGTTGATCTACCGAATCTAAAATATCTCCATCTAAATCACTTGCTGAAGGCACTAACGTTTCCGAATGTTCGGAGATTTCTACGCTGGCTAAATTACCTGAGCTTTCGCTATCTAAACTTTTCATGCTCTCCTTTGAGCTGATACTACTTATTGCTGTATGGTAGTCTGTTAAAGAAACGTGTGATTTTGCTGAATATTCCTGAGTAGATGTTAAAGCTGTTTCGTATTCTGAAGAAGCAGCTGCTACTATACCTTCAACGTCAGAGGAACATGGTCTACTTTTACCACTATCCATTTCAAAACTTTGATAATGACTTTCCCCGGAACTCGAATATGCTTCAAAATCAATCGCAGATTTTCTTTCTGGTTTTAAATTTGAACTAGTACTACTGCTGTCTACTTCAGATTTAGTTTTTCTTAAAATCACAGAGAATTTTTTATCTGAAGATCTAGCTGAATCATGACTGGATTTTGAATCAGAACTTGATGTACGATGGAAAGTCTCTTCTTTCGTAATATTCTCATTAGATGCGTTTTCTGATTCTTCTAAAAATTTAGTTAGATCTTCAGTCTCGAGCGGCTTTACAGAAGTCAAACAAGATTGTTCAATAAATTTCTCTTTTGTAATGAATTCATTGGATGTTAATACAGATTTTTTGTCTACCGCTATACTTGTAGAAACTTCAGTTCCATTTCCAAACTTTTCAATTTTAAATATTTCCTTTTTAAAGTTTTCTTCACCTCGATTTACAGATTCAGAATATTCTTTTTCGGTAGATGCTTTAAGGTCTTTTAAAAAGGTATCCGTCACTTCTTTAGACTGACTATCAGAAGAAAAATATCCAGTAACTTTAGAAGCTTCTTGTTCATTGACATTATCTGTCTTTATGTCTTGCTTCATATTTTCACTCATAACTTCTACGCGATCAGTTTTATGATCAAATTGTTTACTGTGTTTCAAGTCAACAGCAGCGGACTTTAACTTTTCCAACGTTGAATCTTCAGTTTTTTTTAATACTTTTTCAGAAATTTCAGACTGAATATGAGATTTTATATCATCGTGTTCTTTCAAACTTGATTCTGATACAGCTTCGTCCTCTTCCAGAATGACATTTTTTCCCTCAGAATATATCTTTTCTGCTTTTATAGATTCAGTCGTTGATATAGAAATATCTTTTTTTATGTGGTTTAATTTAGAATTGTCATAGAATTCAGAATCTTCTGAATAATCTTCTTGAGTTTTATGTTCCTCATGGTGTTTATCGAAACCTGTACTTCTTTCTTCAAAATGTTTGTCGTGCTCATCATCATCTAAAGAAATATGAACTTTTTCAGCCTCCAATTGCCCCATTTGCTGCTGTAAGATATGCGTGTAATCAGAAAACTCTCCTCCGCTATGTCTTAAGTCTTCGTCTGTTATTTCCATACTAGAAGCCTGAGTATCTCCTCTTGCTAACTTGGCTAGCTCTCGTTGCCTTCTAGCTAAAACAGATTCAACCAACTCTACTTCTCTTTCATCTAAACCATTTGTCTCGGCCAATTGTTTAATATAATTAGATACTTCAGAGTTAAATATCACAGAATTTTGAGTATCGTCAGATGAATTAAACTCGCTTCTATTCTGTATTTCATTTTCAATATCTTCTATTAATTGAGATGCAATTCTTTTCGCCTCATCTGGATCTACTTTCATGTGATGAAAGGTGTCTAAAATAATTTTTTCAATTTCACTATGACTTTCAGACTTAATTTTTTCCGATGCGGCTGAATCTGAATGATCCATCTGAACTTCTGATCCAAAATCGGATCCCTCTTTTACATCGCAACTTAGATCATCTTCTTTATCATCTATATTGTAATTATGTAAAGTATTTTCAATAGATTTTTGTTGAATTTCGACAATTGCCTCTTGGACCATTAATTTTTTGAGCTCATCGAGTGTTTTGTCATCAACTTCCTCAGACATACCTTTTTCCATAGCAGCCCCTTCCAAATCTAAACTTTCTGTGAGTTTCTCATGAATTTCTTTTGTTAACCTAGCCGAAATATTTTCTTTAATATTTACCTTGTCACTCTCTTCATGTCCAGAATCACTTTTTTCTTCATCGCCTTCAATCATACTATGATCAAACAGTGATTCTTTTCTTATTATATGTTGAAGTTGAGATATTTCATCTTCTTCTTCGGATAACATTGTTTTAATCTCATTTGTTCCAGTTTTATACTCAGATATTACTGATTGGTGTTCTTGTTGGGCAGAATTTTGTTCAGATATTAAAAATTGCTCTGTAGTTTTTATTTGTGCCCGTGTACCCGATATTTCATCAACTTTTTCTTCAAACTGAGGTTCTATTTGCGTCTCCACTGTAGTTTCCCAAATTGTGCTATGAATATGTTCTTCGGGTTGTTGAATCGGGGATTTTTCCTGTTTTTCTAATACTTCTTCGATTGGAGACACAACAGGGGATCTCTCTTCTATTTTCTCGGAGTTTTCATCACTCTCTTCACTAATTCTTCGTTGCTTTCCTGAAAGCGTTACGGTGATTTCTGGTATTTCATCTCCTGTGGTTCTTGGAGAATGTTCAGTAAATTTTTCATCTGCGATTTGAGTTTCATATACGAGATCCGCAATTTTTTCCGAGTCTTCTATTTCACTTTTATCAACATGTATGTCAAATTTCTTTAAAGGATCTTCGATCGGTTTCGGTTTCCTTAAAGGATCTTCGATATATACTTCTTTATTTAAATCATCATTTTTAGAAGGCGTTTGTTGAATAATACTTTCAGTTTCTTTGTGCGTTTCAAATTGAGTAGGTAAAACTGATAAGTCATCTTCAACTTTGTGTTCCTTTCCGTTTTTATATTGCTCAGAAAAATTACTTTGTTCTTGTGATGGCATAATATCAGAACCTATGTGCTGTTCGTATGATTTTGTCAGTTTTTTTACTGATACTTTCTCAGGGAGTTCAGTAAATGTGGCGCATTCCTTTATATTTTCAAATGTTTTCTGTGGTTCTGATGCATCAACTTTAACACCGGAACTTATTCTAAATATTTTTTCTTCGGATTTTGTAAAGGTTTGATCGTACATGTGCGACTTTTGTTCAAAAGATTTTTTTAATTCTTTTACCGTATTAGGTTTTGATTGATTAACTACTTCCTCTTCGCATGACTCATCTGATAGTTCCTCAGCAATTTTGGCCATTCCATCATCGCCACAAGATGATTTGTAAAACGATTCCTGTTTTAGGCTGGATATACTTTTCCTTTCAGGAGAATTGTCTTCTTCATTGTCAGTTGAAAATTGTTCTTCAATCAGCTCTTGCTTAATTTGTTGTTCGTACTTTTCTTTTAGGTGTTTCAAGTTCCGGGAGACTTCATATAAATCTTCAGTGGGTAGAGATGCGGAACGTTCATATATAGTTTTCCGCTGGGTTACTGGTGGAGCAAATACACTCATCTGTCTTTCCCTAATTTGTGGCACTCTATCTTCAATTTCAGAATCAGATATCACATTTTCTACATCTTCGCTATCCGATATATATCCAGTGTTTTCAATAAATTGACTACTACCTCTTTGAGCTTTGTCAGAATCCAAGCTGTCGTCTTTATCTATATTAGATTCAGCACTTTGTTGAGATTTTTGGCTTATTTGGTATTTTTCTTTTCGCTCAGAAGGCATAGAATAAGCTGCTTGATATTCGCTCATTATTTTTTCATCTTTATCTGCACTTTCAATGTCTTCAATAATTGACGTTAATTCCTCTTGAGCGTGGATGTTTTCTGCTTCAATCGCTTTTGCTATTTTTATTTCCGCAGCCAATTTTTCTTTGTCAATTGTTTCATCTCTGATCAAATCTTCTTGATTTTTATGTTCTTTTATTTCTGACTCAACTAAACTCTTTGATGTTTGTAATGTAGACCGCGGTTTTGGAGTAGGTGGTTGTCCGATATCGTGAACAGATGTTTGTTTTTTAAGTAAAATATCCTTTTCAATAGTGGTCACTTCTTGTAAACTCATCCGTTTATGGGCGGATTCTTTAGTAACAGTTTCCCAAAATTTCTTTTTATCGGAATAAGTTGCAAAATCATCTCCGTCATCGTCAAGTAGGTCGTCACGTACTGGGGAAATTATTTTGTCAGACTTAGGTTGAGTTTTAGAAAAGTCTAGTGGTATATCTGGAACTTTAGCTGTTCTTGGTTTGGGTTGTGGAATTATTGAATCAGTAGATGTTAGTGAAGGTTCAGCTTGGGTTAATCCGCAGCTAATTTCTAAAAAGATGTAGTTAATTATTAGCGGTGTCTAGCGATACAAAAAATATTGTGATATTAATTACAAATTTAAAGCAATCCTTCAGGCAAATTACTCATTTAATAATTTCTCTAAATTCAACTAATTCAACTTACCAGAAAATGATTTAGACACAAAACAACATCAAAAATGATTAGTAAAATAAAACATACAAAGCCAAAGATTGCTTGTGCAAAATCGATAAAATTTTGTTATACTCTAATCATGCAATAGTAACAAAATAATCAAACAAAAGTCGGGCCCCGTCAATGTTTGGGTCTATGTTCTAATTAGTGCATCGTTACCTAAATCTTTAACTTGGAATTTACATGTTCTGGGCTCTACATTATTATTCTCTTCGGATATAATTATATCAGGAACAAATACTTTGGATATAGATCTATCGTCAGAAAACGATAAACCTGAATAGTCCTCGTCATCTAGCGTAGAGCTGTCTATAGTCTCCTGTATACTTGTGCTTAAACTCTGAATGTCAAAGTTTTCAGTGGAACTGAAAGGGCTAGATTTTTCAAGCCACCGCTGCACAGCGCCCATTAGATTTCCTTGGGGGAATTGATCTGCACTACCCAAACTTCTGGATAACATTCCAGAGCTTTTATTTGTACTTGTTAATGATTCGTTACTTGTATGAATATTTTTTCCTAAAAATCTTTCAGGCGTCATTTGTATAACTGTATTATACAAAGAGCACCTCGACGACGAGGATTTCAGTTCTGGTAAACTACCTCTGTCATCTTCTAATATTAATGGCTTAGTTTTGTAAAAACCTAACTCTGATTTAGCTCTTTTATTTTTCTTTTTTGGTTTCGGAGAGCTGCAAGGACTCTTCATTATAGGTATAACCTCTACTTCAACACCACCTGGATTAACTAACTTATCTTTATTAAAATTGACAGGGCCCATGTAAATAATTTCACCTACGAGGAAGGAATTTCAATAAATTGATGTATGAACGCGTATGCCGAAGATTGAAGAGAAAAATGTACGAGAAGGTATTAGTTAGGTAGTGCATGCGTCAGGTTTTTATTGAGTTAAAATCGTGATAATATTTTCTACTTATGCGTGAATAATGATTTTTGTGAAAGTAAAATCTTTAAAGCAACATCTAAAATCTACCTTTGGGAAGATCTTGTGCATCGGTCTGACTGTCCGGTGTTTTTGATTCCCAGTCATCACTCTTAGAAAATGTATTTTCATCCCATAGGTGGCTGTAGTCTCTTTGAAAGTCCGACACTTCTTCAATACTTATTTGAGAGACTAATTTTTGAAATTCTGACTCGCGTTTCTCTTCTACATCTGGTGTTGTTAGTTTTTGCAATTTGGCTTCTTCCGCTTCTTCTTCAAGAAGTTTTGAAGCCATTCTTTCAAATTTTCTTTCGACTCGCTTAAGTTTTTTATCAGATTTCAGTTCACTCTCAGTACATTCTACTTTTTCTAACGAATCTAATGCTTTGTCTAAGTCACGCAATTTCTCTTCAATAAGTTCAACGTCTGTTTTAGATTCTGAAACTTGTTTAAGTGATTCTTGGTCTTTTGTTTTCAATTCTTTTTTGATCTCATCAGCCTGAGAAATTGCATCTCCTAAATCTTTAGTTAGGGTCGATAAAAGAGTTTCAACTGCGTCCTCGGTTAATGTTTCAAGTACATTTGATTTTGCGCTGTCACTTCTAATAATAGGTTTTCTTATATAGTTTAACGAATCTTCATCTTCGGATTCAATTCTAAATAACGCTTTCTTCCGACCCGTTTTCTCCGATAAACTTTCATCTGGTTCAGTAACGGTATACTCATTTGAGTAAGTTTCTGAAGTAACAACATTCCTAATTTCAACAACATCTGGTCGATCTCCACTAGAATACTTTTCTGACACTACTCGTCTTACCATAGCAGGGGATGATACATAAACGATTGTCTCGGATGTCTCAATGTTAGTGGGCAAATTAGATAAGTCTATATTTGCTTCAGATATACTACTTCTACCTTCATTTGATTCTTTTATCTGTCCACCGTAATCGCTAACTGTTCTGGTTATTTGTCCAAACGCAGGATCGTTTATCTGACTTTCCAAAAATTCGGCTGTTCTCTGTTTTATCTCCCCGATATGTAATTTACCATAATCTAAAAATGTGTCTTGAACATCGGTCGTCATTTGTGAGATACCGGTAGGTAAATTTTCAACAGATTTAACAGTCATATCACCAATTTTTTTTCTTGGTATTTCTGATATTTTTCTCTCAACACGTTCGTCATCAGTATTAGGACTAGAAAGTATATCACCTACAGATTGAACTTCGGAATCTATTTTATCAGATAAGTTTTCAAGATGATCTTTTTCTTCTAGCTTATTTATTTTTTGTTCTTCGACTTCAAATTTTTGATCATCTTTAGACTTTCCACTTATTTTTCCGGTAAGTCTTCCTAAAAGACTACTCTTTTTCTTCACCTCTGCATCCTTTTTATCGTCATTACTAAGAACTTTATCTTCTGATTCTACAATCAAACTGCTAACAGCTTCTGTATTTTTAATAGTATCCTTAATATTTTCAGAAATGTGTTTTTGAAATTCATCCGCTTCTCTCTCTATATCACATATTGTACTTTCTCCTTTCACTTTTGATGATTCAAGAGTCTCAGATACATTTTGTTTTTCAGCGTCACAAACTTTTTCTGCTTCTTTTGCTTTGCCACTTATCTTCTCGCCAATTTTAGTAAAAAATCCAGATGATTTGGTTTTAACTTTCTGAGTTTTATCTTTTATTTTATCTTCCGCGTCACTGATAATTTGAGTACTGGTTTTATTTACTTCCTCTATCTCTTTTTGTATAAACCTAGGAACATCTATAATATCCACTACCTCCGTAGTATGTCGTTCAACATCTTCTATAATCACTTTAGACTCGGTTTTTGCATTTTCATGACCTCTCAAGATCTCACTAGTTCCTTCTGTGATTTTATCTTTTGTGTCACATTGTTCCAGCGATTGAACGTCAGTTTGTACCTTTACGTCTTCAATAAATTGTCTTAGTTCATCTTTTTTATTAGAAAAATCCTCTTCAATGACACCTGAGACTGCCTCATCAGTAGATCTTATTTTCTCTGATATTTTTTTATCGACATTTTTAGCTACTTCACGTGCTATTTCTGTGGGATCTTCAGGTGTCGCATTACGAATATTATTATGTATTTCTGTAATATCGCTTTTTACCAATTTTGTTTCGGTTTCAACGAATTCTTGCAAATCTGTACTCACGCCCTGTATAGCATTCTCAGTTTCTTCGGAGATTTTCGCACTATCTCTCTCGACTTCTGTTATAAAATCAGCAGAATCCTTAGATTTTCCAGATAATTTGCTCCCTATTTTACTAAGTAGTCCATGTGTTTTCTTCTTCGATTCTTTCACTTTTTCTTGCGCGTGTCGCTTTACTTCTGTAGGTATTTTTTCCAACGTACTATCTTTTTCTTCAGCTAAGCCCACAGAGTAACTAATGCCACTAATTTCTTTCAGATTTTCAGTGTCCTTTTGAATATTTGTTAAATCAGTTTCCACAGATGAAATTACGTCTTGGCTTTTTCCATGTAATTTGTCTCCTAGTCTTGTAAAAAATCCTGAAGTCTTCTTTTTTACATCCTTTTGTTTTAAGTTATCTCTTTTATTATCTGAATTTGAATCATCTTGTAATAATGCTTTGTTATCGTGTTCTTTACTCTTTAGCAAATTATCTGATTCATTACCGTTTTCGATTATATTCGTAGTGATTTTCTCGGTCACTTTTAATTGACCTTGATCTACCTTCAATCCAACTCTCTCTTCTTTCAGGTCTGATATTTCATGTACTGCCTCCGTAATAACGGAAGTTGAGGATTCTATAGGACTAACTAGTCCATCTTTTACTTCTGTACCAATTTCTCCTGTCTTTCTACCTATAATGTTAATTTTATCATTTACTTTTCCAATTAAGTCTTTTGATTTCTCCTGTAAGTTTGAGAAACTAACATCAACTGAATCAGGTTGCTGCACATCCTTTTCAATAGACTTTCTTTCATTTTCTAAGAAATCTTTAGAAAACTTATGCTTAGATTTTTCTGCCAATTCATGAGTTAATTCCATTGTCTCCTTGTATTTCTCGTCAACTTGTTGCAAGAAAGCCTCATTTCCTTTGTTAACATCTTGCTGCATTTCTTCTACATTATCTCTTACATGTTCTAATTTAGTCTCCAATGTATTTAGCATATCATTAACAAAACTACTCTCTTTTGAAAGCCGATACATATCTGCGGGTACTGCTTCTGATATATTATCATCCGACTGCGTATACTCGGTTGGAGGGACAGATATTTCTGTCACTTTTATGATAGTTGGTTTTGAATCTTCCAGATTTTTATCATCATTTGAAATAATTTTTTCAATTGTCGTTTCACTAAATGCAACTTTCTTCTGCTTAACTTCTCCTAATTGCTTTTCATTGATGTTACCTTCTGTAATAATTTTGTCGTCATCTAGATCATCTAACTTTTGGTATGTTTTTCCTTCTATTGCAGCTGTATTTACATCCTTTTTAGGTCTCTTAAATATTTTTTTGGATATTTTCGGACTATCTTTTTTCTTACTAAAAATACTAAACAAACCTGATTTGGTGTGTTCTAAATCTAAATCTTCGTCCAAGTCAGTAATTATAATGGGTTTAGCATCTTCATAATTAACAACCTCTGCACTTAGAAACTGTGTTGTATCCTGAAAAGTTTTCTTAGCTTCGTCACTGTAGGTGATAGGTTTGGTTGATTTTTCTATATTTCCATCAGAAGACTTGGAAAATATTGAAAATATATTTTTACGTTTTTCCGCTTTAGTATCTTTCAGTTCATTTTCTTTTTCGGAATGTTCATCTGGTGGTTTTGATTCTGGTTCTAACGATGTTTCCTTCCGTTTTCGCTCAAATAATTTAAACGGACTTGAACTCTTTTTAAAATCCTTCTCTTTAAAAACTTCATCGGGCTGATTCAAAGATTCAGATAAAATTATAGGTTTAACATCGTGATACCGGCTAACCTCTTCAGCTATGAAATTATTCGTCTGTCTTATATCATCTGTATCTGTGGACGCAAAGTTATCTTCTACATTGGTCAGTACAGTTGAAGATGACACAGGAAGATTTTCATAAATTATTTCAGTTTCTGTACATACTTCTTTTTCGCTAACTATTGGGATAATTCTATCAATTATTTTTGTTTCAACTGAAAATGTTTCTCGGACAAAAGGTTTTGAGCTGTCCCGATCTAGACTATCAGCTTCGATTTTGGCTTTTTTAATTTTTTGTTTTATGTCTTCATCTAAATCTGTTAGGTCTTTCATTACTTTAGGGTCAACCACGTATATTTGCTTTGTAACTGAAATAGTTTTATTTCCTCGGTCAGAAGATTCTTGTGTAATTGTAGAAATTTTCTTTGCTTTAATATCATCATCTAGAATAGTTTCACGTGTTTCTACAACATCAATTATATTAGCACCAGATGACAGGTGTTCAGTTTCAGAACTAGCTGTTAGTGGTCTACCATTTTCCTGGTCTTTTGGTTTAGTCGTCTTTGATGTTCCTTCAAAGAGACCACCAGGTTTACTTTCTTTACTTTTTGTATCTGCATATGATACTCGAACATCGTGATAACGGTCAATTTCTCCTTGTAAGAAATCTTTGCTATCATTTGTACCACTAACAAAATATTCTGGAACTGACTCTTTTATTTCAGTTTTTACAGCTGTATCTGGAATATTTTCCTTTTTTTGAATTAACTTCTTATCCTTCTTCTTCGTTTTCTTCTCCTTTTTGTGTTTTTCCTCATCGTGATCTATAGACGTTTCCCTTTCTTGTGACTTTCTTTTATTATAGAGGCCAAAGAATTTTCCTCCTTTAGAATGTTTTTCTTTTGTGTTTTCTTTGGCAGAATCAACAATTTCACTAAACGGCTTAATATGCTGTCTTACATCATGGTAATTTTCAACTTCTCCTTTTATAAAGTTTTTGCTGTTAGACATATTTAGGACACATGTTTTTGATATTGGCTCAAGTGTACCTTGTTTTGTTTTATCCGAGTCTTGATATTTTTCAAGTTCGTTATTTAAAAAATTAGTGGTCTCTGGGATTTTATCTGATTTATGAAAAATTTCTGAAGATAATATTGCAGCTTTCGACACGGAGTCAATACTCTCTGGATCTTCTTTAATAACTGGTCGGACATCATGAAATCTTTCTACTTCGCCTTTCAGAAAATCATTTGACCCTTGCATCGATTTTATAACTTCTTCAGAATTCTTAATTTCTTTTGTATGTTTATGTGGTTTCTTTTTCTTAAAAATGTCAAAGAAACTTCCGCCCTCTTTTTGCTCTACAGAAGTAGTAGTATCTGCAGTTGCAGTTTCCAGAGGTATCGTTGTTTGTTCTTTTATATGAACCTTTTCATAAATATCTGATTTTTGACTATGTTTACTTTCCCTATCAAATTCTTTATTATCGTAATAATTTTCAACTTCTGTTTTCAAGAAATTGCCAGAATTTAGCATATCAGCGATAGCTTCTTCGGATATTTTAGGCTTGAGGTCTTTTTCAACACTGGGAGATCTTCTCTCTGAAGCTTTTTTAAATATAGAAAATATGCCTTTTGATTCCTTCTTAGCAGGAATTTGATCTGTAACTACTGATGGTGGGCTAACAAGAGGTCGTACATCATGATATTTTTCAATTTCTTCCTTGACAAATTTATCACTGTCCTCTATTTTGACCTTCTCTTCGGGAAGCTGAATTGATAATTTTTCTTGTTCTTTATCTATGCTTTTTTCCTTGATTTTTCTATCTTGATCATGTGATTTAAACAGCTTAAAAATTCCTTTACTTTCTTTATCTTTATTTGTCTTGTCAGTTTCTATTGGACGTTCATCGTAATAGTTATGCACTTCCTGTTTTAGAAAATCATTGCTATTTGTCATATCTTTAATTACCTCTTCAGATAGAACTACTTTAATATCTTTAGATTGATCCTTGTCCAGACTTCTTTCACGTTTTTTCTTATCCGGTGATTTAAATAGACACAATATACCTTTAGATTCCTTTTTTAATAAATCATCTTTCTTAGTTGTTTCCAGTTGTGGTGTACTTTCTTTATCTTTATTTGTTTTGTCAGTTTCTATTGGACGTTCATCGTAATAGTCATGCACCTCCTGTTTTAGAAAATCATTACTATTTTTCATGTCTTTAACTACTTCTTCAGATAGAACAACTTTAATATCTTTAGATTGATCCTTGTCCAGACTTTTTTCACGTTTTTTCTTATCCGGTGATTTAAAGAGACCTAATATACCTTTTGATTCCTTTTTCAGTAAATCATCTTTCTTAGTTGTTTCCAGTTGTGGTGTACTTTCTTTATCTTTATTTGTTTTGTCAATTACTATTGGACGTTCATCGTAATAGTTATGCACCTCCTGTTTTAGAAAATCATTACTATTTTTCATGTCTTTAACTACTTCTTCAGATAGAACAACTTTAATATCTTTAGATTGATCCTTGTCCAGACTTTTTTCACGTTTTTTCTTATCTGGTGATTTAAAGAGACCTAATATACCTTTTGATTCCTTTTTCAGTAAATCATCTTTCTTAGTTGTTTCCAGTTGTGGTGTACTTTCTTTATCTTTATTTGTTTTGTCAGTTTCTATTGGACGTTCATCGTAATAGTTATGCACCTCCTGTTTTAGAAAATCTTTACTATTTTTCATGTCTTTAATTACCTCTTCAGATAGAACTACTTTAATATCTTTAGATTGGTCCTTGTCCAAACTTTTTTCCTGTTTTTTCTTATCTGGTGATTTAAAGAGACCCAATATACCTTTTGATTCCTTTTTCAATAAATCATCTTTCTTAGTTGTTTCCAGTTGTGGTGTACTTTCTTTATCTTTATTTGTTTTGTCAGTTTCTATTGAACGTTCATCGTAATAGTTATGCACCTCCTGTTTTAGAAAATCGTTACTATTTTTCATGTCTTTAATTACCTCTTCAGATAGAACTACTTTAATATCTTTAGATTGGTCCTTGTCCAGACTTTTTTCACGTTTTTTCTTATCCGGTGATTTAAAGAAGCCCAATATACCTTTTGATTCTTTTTTCAATAAATCATCTTTCTTAGTTTCCAGTTGTGGTTCCAGTGCATCGTGTAAACGATATTCGACTTTTGGATATACATCATGGTAATTAACAATTTCTTGTTTAAGAAAATCGTCAGAGAGTTTCATGTCTTCAACTACATCCTGAGAGAGCACCAAAACTCTACCTTGATATTTTTCTTTTAAAGAGTGTTTCTTTACTTCTTTTTCTGGCGACCTAAATCGCCCAAATATACCTTTATGAGTTTTCTTCTCTACTGGTATATCCTGTTTTATTTGTTCTGTTCTATTACGATAGCACACAGCATCATGGTAGTTTTTCACTTCTTCTTGTAGAAAATTAGAACTGTGTTTCATATCAAGAATCACCTCTTCAGAAAGTACGATTTTGTTATCTTTAGACTGATCTTTCTCGATACTTTTTTCTCGTTTCTTTCTATCTGGTGATTTAAATAAACTCAATATTCCTTTTGATTCCTTTTTCGGCAAATCTTCTTTATGATGCATGGTATCTTCTTTCGTATGTTCATCTTGCATATGATGTGTCACTATGGGATATACATCGTGATACCTATCAGTTTCTTGCTTAAGGAAGTCTTTACTGTTTTTCATATTCTCAATTACCTCTTGGGAGAAAATCATAACGTTCTCTTGAGCCTTTTCTTTTTCAGTGCTCTTCTTTGTTTCTTTTTCTGGTGACTTAAATCTGGAAAATATACCTTTGCGTTCTTTTTTCTCTACTAATTTGTCTTCCTTTTGGACACTTCCTCCTGGTTCCTTATGGGTCCGTACATCATAATATTTTTTTACTTCTTCTTGTAGAAAATTATTTGTCTGTTGCATGTTAAGAATTACTTCTTCAGAAAGAACCACTGGAATACCTTTTGATTTACTCTTCTCAAGATCTTTCTCCTTGTTTTTATTTACTGGTGAAGAAGATACGTCTGTATACAAAATTTTAGTATCCTGATCAGTAACTGCCCGGTCTGACACCGGTCGAACATCATCAAAATTTTCTAACTCATTTTTTAAGAAGCCATCGGTCTCTTTAATTTGCTCTTCTACACTTTTATCATGACGGTTTTCTTTACTTATTTCAGTGTTTTTGTCTAGTTGTTTGTCGGGAGATTTAAAAAATCCAAAGAAACTTTTTGATTCAACTTTAGGTACCTCTTCGGATTCTATTACAGAAGCTGGAACAACAGGGCGAGCATCAGCAAATTTTTCAACTTCTGTTTGAAGGAAATGTTCTGTATTTTCTATGTGATGCTTTGAAAGGTCATCGGGTTGAAGTAGAGCATCTTGATATTTATCTACTTCAGTTCTCAAAAGTTCGTTTGTTTCTCCTATATTTATATTAATATCTTCCATATGAGTAGGTTGTGAATCTTTTTCAGGACTTTTTCTTGTTTTCTTTTTATCTTTAGACGGAGACTTAAATATTTTGAATATTTTTTTAGTCGGTTTAGGTTCCTTTTCAGCTAATATTTCAGAATCCACTGGCTGGCTTATAATCACAGATTGTTCTTCTATTTTAGATGCCTCCTTCTTTAATGGATAATCACTTGGTTGATTTTCGATTTTCTTTCTTATTTCGTGCACATCATGATATTTTTTTACTTCAGTTTCGATAAAATTAGATGTGTCATTCATATTTATTAGCACTTCTTCAGAAAGAACGTTTTCGATGTCTAACTCTTGTTTGTCACTTTTACTTTTATCTGAAGATTTAAAAAATCCGAAGAATCCTTTGCTTTCTGTATGCGGTTTCTCTTTTACTTCAGTGCTATATTCCGAATTATCGGCTTTGCTAATGTTTTGATGTTCAAGTTTATTCGACAAATCCGGTTTGATACTTGCGTCTATCATTGGTCGGACATCATGAAATACGTCAATTTCTTTTTTTAAAAATATATTTGTCTTCTCTTTGTCTATACTTTCTTCTGGTTTTTGTAACAAGCATTCATTTTCTACGCTTTTCTCAATTACTTTTTCAATTTTTTCTTCTTGCGTTTTAAGAAGGGCCAACGATTTTTTTGGCTTTTCAATAAGTTTATCCACAACCGTACATTCGGCAGCATCTTTTTTCGCAACAAGTTCTCTAACATCATGGTATCTGTCAACTTCATCTGTAAGAAAATCTCGACTATTTTTTATATTCGCGATTACTTCTTGAGACAAAATTGGTTTGGAACTTAAAATAACGTCCTTTTCTGCATTTTCTACTTGTTTTTTCTTTTCTGGAGATTTAAACAATTTTAAGAAACCTTTCGACTCTTTTTTTGGTTTCTTTTCCTTCTTGACAATTTCACTTTCTTTCTCCGATGACTGAGATCTAGTTCGTGAAACTATTGGACGGACATCATGATACTGACCAATTTCACTTTTAAGAAAATCTTCACTCTTTACAATTTTTGTGCTAATTTCGTCAGATATATTGGTAATAGCTGGAGACACTTGCTCTGGCAAACCATTTATAATTTTCTTTTCAGGAGAAGTTGAAGTCTTTACTATAACATCGACTTTGATTTCTTCTTCAATAAGTTTGTCAATGGTTGGTCGCACATCATGGTATTGTTCGATTTCATCCTTTAAGAAATATTCAGTGCTGTTAATTCGCTCGACCTCGTCAACAGATTGCTGTGCTTCCTTTTCAATATTTGCCGTGACGATCTTTTTCTCCGGAGATTTCTTAAATAGACGAGCAATTCCCTTAGACTCTTTTGTTTTTTCTCTTAATTCATCTTTAGTGTCTAGTTTGGGAACTTCGATATGGGAGGTTGATTGTGTTGGTCTAGCATCATAATAATGTATCACCTCATCTTTCAAAAATATATTTGTATTATTAATTGTTTTTAAAAAGTGAGAAGGATCTTCTTTCATATCAATAATAGGTTGGATTTCTGGTGGTTTGGGTGCTGGCTTTTTATCAATTTTCTTTCTATGTTTTACTTCTGGTTTAACTGTTACTACCGGTTCCATATCTTTCGATTCGTCTGTATTTTCTTTAACAATATTTCTAATTGTATAGTCGCCATCTTCTTCTAGAGACTTATCCTTATTCAAATTTGTAAGAGATTTATCTTCTAAAGAATCATGCTTCTTATTCTTTTTAAAGAAGCTAAATATACCATCTCTTTCTTTACTTTTTGATCTTTCTCTGCTCTTGGATCTTTCTCTGCTTTTGGATCTTTCTCTACTTTTAGACCTTTCTCTGGATTTTGACCTTTCCCTACTTTTCGACCTCTCTTTGCTTTTAGAAATTTTAAATATTCTTTCTTTTTTATCTGTTGGTTGAGAAACTTCCTGGAGAGCGGGTGTAACGTCTTCGTAATTCTCTACTTCAGATTTTAAGAAATCTGAAGAATTTTTCATGTTCAAAATAGTCTCTTCTGATAAAACTATAGGGATGTTACTACTATCTTCTTCTTTTTTCTGTTTCTTAGTAAACAAACCCATGAAACTTTTCTTCTGTTCGTCGGCGTTTTCTGCGGTTTCTTTTGATTCTTCTTTATCTTGTTTTTCGATTACTTCTTTTCGAGAATCATCATCTGATTCTTCAGCATCCCTTGAAGATTTTGAAAAAACAGCAAATATTTTTCGTTTATGTTTTCTTTTTGTTTTTTCACTCCCAGGAGTCTTTGGTACATCTTGTAATTGACGATCGCCCACATTTTGCTGATCTTCTGCCCACGCGGCAAAGCTCTGTTCATTTGAAATCAAATCTACTGTAGCTTTTTTAAGTGTATCATCGCCAACATTAGCAGTATTTTTAGAATAATCAGCTACATCTATAGGTTCATAATAATGATCTTTGGATCGTGGCGGTCTTACTGGAATTTGTTCAATTTGTGCCAAAGGTTTAATAATGTTCTCGTCGGGTAGAATAGGAGATTTTCCAGTTAAATCTTTTGGCTCAGTATCATCTTCAATGCTCAACGTAAACGTTTCTTTAGATTTTTTAGGAGAGCTCTTTTTAGTTGGGTCAATAACAATAGTAAAGTCGTCTTCTTCCACTGTAGCAGGACTTATAATATTTGTAATTTGTTCGTCAACAATAACTGTCTTAATTTTCTTTAATTTAGGTGTTTTGGGCTTTTCCTGCTTATATTTATCTGTTGTAACAGGTTTAATATTTTCCTCCTTTTGAGACAAATGATGTTGCTCTATAGCAGTTTTATCAGATTTAGATAATGTTGCAGGTTTTTGAATCTTAGGTTCATCATCTATTAATTGCTGAAGTACAGTTGAAGTTTTAACGGGAACTGCTGGAGGTTCATATGAAGGAGGTTCATCTCCTGCTTCCATAAACGGTATATCATCATACTGTCTGCGTAATTCAGTTGGTGTAGGTAATTTTGGTTTTCTAGGGGGACGAGTTGGAACTTGTGATAGTGAACCACTTTCATCTAAAGATTTGGCTTTCTTTTTCTCTTTTTTCTTTTTCTCTTTTTTCGGTGACCTTTCAGAATCAGAATCTGATACATCAGAAGACTTACTGACAAATCCTTTCAGCGTTCCGAAAAACCCTCGTTTTGGCTTTTTCTGGTCTTTTACTGTTTCGTTAGATGAATGTACTGATTTCACAATATAATGTTTTTGTGTTTCATGGTGATAAGGTTCTGCGCGTGACTCAGACTTTATAAAAGCGTTACTTTGATCGAGTGTGCGTTTTAAATTTTGATTATATGAAAAGCCGTTTATTCCCTGGCCTACTTCAATTAGCGACATATCTTCGTTACTAGCTAAATACTGTGCTCTCGAAGTTGGTTTTCCTGTAAGAACATGCAATTTCGAACAAGCCATTCTAACTACCAAACGTAAACCTTAAAAATAACCTTAAAAATCAAAAATATTCTTACTGCAGGAATACCCGGTTAATGCATCATTAGTTAGTTAATGAAAATACTAACTACAAATTGCAATAAAACCCATGCAACTGTATTAAACACGACAACTTTACCTTCAAACTCTTCTAGCCGTGGTAACCAATCGCAATATGCAGGAAAAGGATTAACTGAATTTACTAAGGAAGATGGGTGGTTTAAAGGAATCTTTTTATTCGGAGGCGACTCATATTCATTATAGACAGGAAAAAATGGAGGATTAGCATAAAGATCTATTTTTCCTGATTGTGTACCTTCATTGTGGTCAAAGTCTAGTGGAAATCTTTCATTTGTAACAGCAACTAACTCTGATTTACTACTTGACTTCTCTTTTAAAATATTTGAATTGGACTCGTTAAGTTTTGTCTTGTTTCCATCTTCAGAATTTCTAACAAACAATCTTGGAAGCGTAAAGCTAGGCTTATTCGTCGGCTTATTTGAAGCTGCTTCTTTTGATAAAGCTCCGACTAAAAGTGTATCTAGTGATGTAGATTTTTTGGTTGTAGAGTCTATAATACTCGAAATTTTATTTCCTAGATTAGTAAACTTCTCACTTAATCGCGACGGTAAAGTAAAACTCTTATTTTTTAATCTTTTCTGTTTTACACCTTCTGCGGTATCCTTATCTTTTTCCATAAATTCTTTAACCGATCTTATTTCAATGGCTTCTTTCCCTTTATCAACTGTTTTAACAAGAAGTTTTACCTCGGCTTTGATAACCTTATTATTTATTAAATCATATGTTCCTTCTTCAATACTTGAAGTACTGGTACTGCTATCAAAAGATGATTTTCCAGACCCCATAAGAGGTTCGTTTTCCTCTTGTTCATACCCTACTTCTAATGCGGTATATTTCCCAGTAGCAGTCTTATTAGTATTTGAGTAAATACTACTTAAAATACTAACATTCTCTTCATCTTCTTCGGGAACAACACTAAGGTTTCTGTATGTACCTTCCCACCATACGTTACTAGCATCAGTGTTATTATTATGTAACTGATAGTCAAAGTCGTTAACATTTTGTGTTTCAATTGGTTCATAATCAAGTTCTACTGGATCGACAATATTTTCTTTTGCATCACTTAAACTGTAGCTACAGTTATCTTCTCTTTCTAATGATTCTGTCGATGCCTTAGTGGCGTTGCTGAACTGCATTATATAATGACTTGTATATGGTTTTTCAAAGTAACTTTCATCCAAATACTCTAACAATAAACATGCCTCATCACCTTCCACTGGAATAGATAATACTTCGTTAGCAACTGTTGATATTTTTTTGCCTTCATTGATAGAATGTTCAAACGAAATTAAATCATATTCATGTTCTTCTGGATGCATTTCTTCTTTAGTAGTACCAAAAGTAATAATCTCATAGGGATTTTCATTTTGAGAAATTGCTATGTTCTGCGTGGTTTCATAAATTTTGTCTTTCTTTTTAGGCACTCGAATTGATTTTTTTATTGGAACCTCAATTAAAGCATCCGAAGTTGGTATAAGTTCTAGAGTATTGACACATTGTTCCCGGGGTTCCAAAATATCTAGATCTAATGCAAACAACTTTTCTTCTTGCTCGTCAACATCTTTTAACATTTTATCTAAAATTGCATCTATCTGAGTGTAGGACGTTGTTCTATATATAGGTTTTTGGGAAAAGGAATCAGGCAAAGAGCGATTGGCATCAAACAACATACTTTCGTATGAAATAGAGTTGAAATCAGTTGACGCAGGATCTAATAAAATAATTTTACGTAAGTTATATTTTTCATATGCATTAACCATGCTGTAGTAAGAATATTTATTTATAGTTGAAGTAATTTTTGTATTGATAAAAATGTAAAATCAATGATTAATGAATGATGATATTCGAATTACTTGATTCTTTGAATTCTACTGCTTAGCAGTGCAAATATTTGGACTGCATATTATAACACAATAATTATAAACAACTAGCATTTCTAGCTAAAGTAATAATTTAACATAATATAAAAATATAAATCAAAATAAAATACTTTGAGTGCAATTAATTTTGACCCATGCTCATGCTCTTTTATTTTAGCATAGTGTAAAAACGCAAAATATTAAAACATAAATAAAATAAGAATGTTGATATTTCAAGCACAAGCATATATGTGAAAATATAAAAAATATATATTATTGCCAGACATAACTAAAAATTGACATGAGCAGTGTTTATGCACCCATAGCATTCTCTGGCTTTATCCTTTTATTTTGCAGTAGTACGAAAAAATAAATAACTTAATAATGAATGATGAAGATGCCCCTATCATTTACTTATGTTAATTGTATTTAATATTACACAAATCACTTTTTAAATGTGATTTAACATCAATGAATTTCCTGACTTTGAAAATCACAGAGTAATATTATCTTACCCAATAGTATATACGATGCAATCAATAAGTTTTATGATCAAGCTTATACGTATGATAACCATTAAACAGTTCATATAGAAAATATAATTGGAAGTTTCTCGTTTATCAAGATCAACGCATGCTTGGTCATTAAACTTCTTGATCGTACTGTACTTATATTAATGTATAAAAGTCTTAGAATTATAACTCAATATTAAACTAGTTGAATTATGTCCTACCTTGCTGTGCTGCGTCTTTTACATTCATTAATGTGTGTTTGGTTGCTGATGATTCTTTTGCTTCCCAATCTATGAAAATAAAAAATCATTATTGTAATAAATACCAAAAATATTTTATAATTTACTTTACGACATAATCATATATTTTCAAATCAACAGGCACAAAAGCAGACTAAATAATATTTTTTACTTACGTTAATCTAATAGGCTTGAGCGGTTGTACTTCTAGTCTATTTATACGATAGTCTAAATGGTTGGTTTAATGGTTTGTAAGAAGCGTGTAGTCAATATTGTTATGGAAAAAGAGAACGTGTTCAGTTGTCCCAAATACTACGGGATGTAAATAAATATCTCTATAGGTATATAATGTCTCTAGCTTCGTGGTGGTGGTATATTTATTAAATAAAGCTCAAATATTTGGCCAATGAAAAATAAAATAGTTATTTTTTTTAATACCACTGCCTAGAATCCAAACGGAAACTAACTTGTCAGTGGCTTTTACAGGTAAAACAAGTTCGTTAAGCAGTTTTTATTGGTTACGCAAATTTGTTAATAAAAGCCGTTGGCACGCAGTGATATTTTTCAAAAAAATATATTAAATTTTTTAGATTTTTCTTTCAATGACCGAATATGCAGGTTTTTTCGAGAAATAAAGAATGCAATTTTAAAGCTAAAATTTAATCTAATTTTTCCCTACAGAACCTCAACACATTAAAAAACTACAGGGTAGATCAATATTACCTTGAATATAGAATGCTGAGAAATGTATATAATTTGAAATCAGATTATCTATCTTTAATCCATCTGGGTAAACATAATATTTTTCAAAAAAATAAATATCTGTCTGGTAGTCAGCATTTGTTTCACCCTCGACAATATATCCTCCTCCTTTCAAATACATAACTTCCCTTTCTGGCTTTGCATCAGATTTTGTATAAACTTTAGAAAGGGATAACTGATCTATATCACTACATATTTGTGTTGGGGTAATACATTCGCTATTGGATCATAAATCAAAATTGTCTTCACCGCCGGACACACTCTCGCTGTCACTAATATTCGAAATAACAACTTCATCTTTTATTTCTTTTATATTTTGAGATAGTATATCTTGATCGTCCGACAAATCAATATGTTCTGTATCAGTTAACGTTCCGTCATTGGACTGTGCAACGTGTAATCTATTTACATTAGTGAATTTTTGTTTTATTTTGTTGCCATCACTTAAATATACTTCTTCCGTGTCTGTAAGAGGGGGCTCACTATATGGTGCTACTGTAAGTAGCTTCTTACTGTTCATGCATTTCTCATGAAGATATTTAAATTTAGGAGCTCGTTTGCGCCTTTGTCTTCGTTCTAAAATTAACTCTTCAGTGTCTGTACAAGATTCTTTTATAGATAGTTTGGTAGTTGCACTGTTGATACTTTCCAGCACATTTACCGAACCTCCTTCTAAAATAGGTAGTTCAGGAGTCGGAGCTCTATTCCACTCATCGATTATATTTAGATTTGTTGAATTTTCAAAATCTGATAAATTTTCTTCATCAGTAATTGCTTCAATATTTTCTAGTTTTTCTTCATGTATATAATCTGATTCTAATGGTAATATTTTGATGGTAGGAACTAAAGAGTCATTTTCTTGCACCAGAACCAGATTTCTTACAGGTGGAGGTAGTTCTACCTCTGATGGATAATAGTCAGTGATAGAATTATCATCAGAAAAATCTTCTTCGTCTGTCATATCTTTTTGTACTAAAGCATAAGGTATGTGTCTAATTCCCCCATCCGAAGAACTGTCAATATTTTCATAATCTGTCGGTGGATATTCTTCTTTAGCTCTTATTGATTCCAATCCTAAGTTAGAGTTTAACACGCTAAACTTAATTTTAAAGCTCATTTCGTCTCGTGTATATTTTTCTTCACATTCATCGGAACTTTCTACCTGGAATTTATCTTCATCGGTGTCTCCACTATCTGATTTATTTGCCACGGAATCTTTGATTGGCGGCCGAAATTTAGATTTCATTTTTAACTTATTAGCAGCCTCTTTGACATGACTATAACAAGTAGCTAGTTCTCTGAGTCTTTCATCCAAAGCTTTTTCATCAACGACCTTAGCTTCGCTTTCATCAAACTCAACATCGCTTTGAAAGTTTTCTTCATCAGTGAGATCCATAACGTCATTTGAAGGAAGCTTTAAAGCAAGTTTATTTTTTCTCGTGACGCGCTTACAAATTGGAAAAGGTATGAAATCAGTATCTTCGTTGTCTGATTCTAAGAGTTGATAGCCAGTTTGATTTTTTGCTCTCTTATACTTACGGTTGACCCTTTGAATTTTCTTTTTTGGTGATCTACTATCATCTGAAAAATATATATTTTCCACATCAGTTAATCCCATATCTGGTGTGGGTCTATGACGATGTCTGCTTTTTTTATATTTTTTAACTTGCTTATTGCTATCAAACTCCGAGCCAATGTCTTCTGTGTCTGTGAATAGTTCCTGATCAGTTAAAGTTAAATTTATAAGGGGTAAACTAATTGAATTTGAAATACGATTATCATCGAAATAACTAAGTGATTCGTTACAATTATCTATATTATCATGTGTAAAATCTCTACACTGATATAGACCTAAGTTCAGTTCCGAATCAGGTACTTTATCAATTACTTCATGTTCAGTTTCGTAAGTTTCGCTGTCTGTATCTTCTCCACATTTATTTTGTGAAACAAATTGATAGAAATTTCTTTGTTTTGTAGAAAACTGAGTTTTTAGTTTTTTCTTCCCTTTAACATTTTTTATAGGCTTTTGATAACACTCTTCAGTTAAAGGGATTTCAAAATCAACATATTGAAGAGAGAGCGGTTCATTATGTATAATAGGTTCTGTATCATTCTCGTCAGAAGATGTTTCAAAATTTTCTGTATCGGTTGCAGGGCCGTAATTAGGTAATCGAATTTTTAAATTGCTCTTTCTCTTAATTGGGCTTATTACTGTACTTTCATCCTCTTTATCTTCATATAAATCTTCCAAGTCGGTAAGCTGCTCCGCTAAATGTAAAGACGAATGCTCCTCATTATCTTCATTTTCAGATGTTATGTTTATTTCGGGAATATCAACCGACAGTGACATACTTTTCAGATATTATGTTCTTTCTATAAAAAGTAATCTTTAATATTTGTAATTCGATTACTACAAATCATGTACCCCAATTATGCTTATAAATTATATGTTTACTAATACTACTTATTGAAATTATTTAAGAAATAAACATTTTGCCTCCTCCGGACTAATTAAATTGATCAATTAAGAAGATTAGAAAGATAATTTACCTACCTTGAATAAATGAGACGAATAATAATGACAAAATCATGCAACTAGAAATGGGCATAGCTGTTTTAGTCCTAAAGCAATAGGCTATTTACTAGAGAATTATACCTCTTCATATATGTCTATTCGAGAAGCCATGCTGTGGGATGTCATCGGTATATCAGGTAGCACCAAAGAAGGGTTACCTTGAGTTGTATCTCCTTCCAATTTTACTGCTTTGCGAGAAGACTTGAATACTTTTCTGGGAGGAGATACGGCTTCAACACTTAATATCGGAGATAATCTTTCTTCTGTCTTTTGAGCGGGTTCAACATGCTTCTGATCATCTAAAACTTTTTTCTCATATTGTGCTAATACCATTTGTCTCGCCAAAGTTAAACTAGAGTCTTCATACGGTTGAAGGGACTCTCCAATCGGCATTGCACAAGTAATTAAATCTGAGACTCTATGTGCATTCTCTAAAGACTTACGATGCCACGGTGAGGTAGGTGAAACAGACTTAATTTTTCCATTTGCATCTGAACTAATTTCATGATCAGATGGACTGCTTGGTAGTGCCACAGATTCAGACAAGCTTGAATCTGTTGTGTCAATAAGCGACATTTCAGTTTCATTTTTTAGTAAGGAAGCGACACGCCTGATATTCTCGTAAGGTTGCCTGTAAACTACTTCAATTGAACCTGAATGATTTTGAATTCTAGTAAAAACTTCAGAAGTGATTTTTGTACCACCATTGGCTGATCTTGTTCGAACCGGGCTACCAGGCAGCGATGTTGGGCATGTACTTGTAGCATTTTCCTCCTGCAGCTCATGATAAGTCGTCGAAATGACAGACTGACTTCGGACACGGTCAGCAAATTGAACAGTTTTGTCGATATCGAATTTATGGGACGGTTGTTTTCCATTTGAAGGAAGCTTTTTGATATGTTCACTTAAAATTGTGCGTTTCAATTTAGTTGGTGATGGACTTGCTTTGCGCATTTCTGTCAATGTACTATAATCGGTTTTATATATTTTAATCTCAACATCGTTCATCTCAAGGTTAGGAGTAATTTCAGTATAAATTATTTCTTTATGACTTTTATCCTTAACAGTTTTCTTCTGGTCTGGAAATATGTTTTCAATTTTAGCGACCGAAGAATGATGAATTTTTTGAGTTAAAGATTTATCATCTACAAGTTTTTTTTCGCATTTTTTAATATTTTTTATCGGAGTCCCTTCTTTAGACGATCCTTTTTTATGTTCCGTTGGTACGCTATGTTTTTCATAAGATTGCTTAGGTTTGCATTCTTCTACTAGACTAGTTTTTCTCGGTTTAGCGATACTTTGAGAAGCTTGTTGTTTTTCATTTGCGATTTTGTGAGATTTTCTAAGTTTTTCATTAATATTATCTACCTCCTTTTTTTCCCTGACGATATCTTTATCAATTTTCATGTTTCGAGAAACAGTAGATAACATATAACCATGTACGCGATTGTCATACTTTTTCGGTGTAGATGGTATTTTAGAGGTATCGGGGTCTTCACATGTCTTCTTCAACGGTATATGTTTTCTAATTCTCTTGGGACTTTTAGACATACCTTCTATGAATTGATTGCTTTCTAACGGTTTGTCAACTGATGCATCTAAACCTTTCAAAGACCTGGGTTTTAAAGTTTTTTTCAAGTAATTTCCTTTCTTAACCGTTGCTCTATTTTCATCGTCTGAACTAATATTGTCATCGCTAACAGTTTTTGGTAATTTGTAGGTACTGGATCTTTTGGAGGCGTATGATTTTGAAATTTTATTCAATCCTTTGTCTTTCGATTTTGTTTGTAATGTAAGGTCTTCCGGTTGTAATGTAATTTCCAAAATGTCGTCAGACATATTAATATTAGTGGGATAATATTTAGACGACGCTACTCCGTAATCTGATTCGAAGGATTTGGTATTGGCAACTAGTGTACGTTTTGATGTTTTATTAATGGCCTTAGTAGTTCTTCTAGACATTTCTTTGTTTTGTCCAACTCCACATGACTTTAATAGGGACATATTATCTGCAGGCTGTTCTACAATATTTCCGCTCTTGCTGGTAGATTTTTTCGACGAAATTATATTTCCTGTCATAGTTGTTTTGCCTTTAACCTCTTTTGTACGTTTCAGATAAATATCTTCCTTTTTTTCGTCAATTAGCTCAGTGCAGCGTCGATCAAATTTGACAAACTTTTTGCTAGTTTCATTGTATTTAATATCTGTAAGATTTTTTGGGGAAAACTTCTCAAAATCTGTTTTCGATAAAGTTGATTTAGGACATTCCTTATTGATATCAGATAAAGATGATTTATTGGACTGTTGCGGAAATTGATTTGTCTTTGATAAATTATTGGTGATGTCGGTAGACTTTTCAGTTATCTTCGAGGATTTAGAAATTGTTATTTCTGATAATGGTTTTATTTTTCTTCCGTAATCCGTGGTTTGATGTGATATCGACTTAGAAGCGGATTGATGTGATTTAGTAGCAAAACGTTTAGATAAATTATCGATATTACCAGATTTGAACTGTATATCCTGTCCGAGTATTTTAGTAGAGCTTGAAACATTTTCAGATAAATTGGAAGCCGGACACTTTGTAAATTGCTTTTCAAATTCTACAGTGATGGATTTTATAAACGGTTCTGATGGTTTAGGACTTATGTCCACAACAGTTTCTAAAAGGTCCAAATTATTAGGTAAAAGTGTTTCCTCGTCAGATCTTCGAGATAACAGTTTTACCGGCGTCAAATATTCGACTTTGTTCAAAGTCTTTGTCGATGTTTTTCCTGACTGTTCATTTGTCTCAGAAGATATTGCTATTTCATCATTAGAAATGGTTCTAGATGTCAGTATTTCTTTTTCAAGGCCTTTTTCCGGACATAGTGGTTTTACTGGAGACTCAGATGATATACAAATTGGAGATTCTATTTTGTCATGTAAAATTTTAGGACTCAATATTACTTTATCTTGTTCTAGAGATGGTTTTACCGGAGTTACCGGAGACTGAGGTGACTTAGATATTACAGATTCTTTTTTCATTAAGGATTCTTTTTCGTCATGGATAATTTTAGAACTCAGTATTTCTTTATAAATCTCCGGATGTGGTAGTTTTACTAGGATCTCAGGTGATTTAGCAATAGGAGATAAGGATCCTTTTCCTTGCTGAATAATTTGAGATCTCAATATTACGTTATCATGTTCCGTAAATAATGATTCTACTAGGGATTCAGGCGACTTTGAAATAGGGGACAGTGATTCTTCTTTATCCTGAATAATTTTAGATTCCCATATTTCTTTATTGCGTTCCGGAGATAGTGATTTCACTAGGGGCTCAGGTGGCTTAGAAATAGGATATAAGAATTCTTTATCATCCTTAGTAGATTTAGATGTCAATATTTCTTTATCGTATTCCGGGGATGGTGATTTTACTGAGAGTTCAGGTGACTTAGAAATAGGAGATAGGGACTCTTTTTCGTCATTAAAAATTTTAGAAATCAGTACGTCTTTTTGTTCCGGAGAAGGTGCCTTTACTAGAGGCTCAGTTGACTTAGGAAAATGAGAATATTTTCTTTCGTCATGTATAATTTTAGATGTCAATATTTCTTTATCGTATTCTGGAGATGGTGATTTTACAAGGGGCTCAGGTGACTTAGTAATAGGAGATGATGATTCTTTTCCATCTTTGGTAATTTTAGATGATATTATTTCTTTATCGTGTTCCGGGGATGGTGATTTTACCGGGAGTTCAGATGACTTAGATATAGGAGATAAGGATTCCTTTTCGTCGTGTAAAGTTTTAGAAGTCAATACGTCTTTTTGTTCCGGAGAAGGTGTCTTTACTAGAAGCTCCGTTGACTTAGGAATATGAGAGGATTGTCTTTCGTCATGGCTAATATTAGATTTCAATATTTCTTTATCGTATTTTGAAGATGGTGATTTAACTGGGAGCTTGAGTGACTTAGAAATAGGAGATAAAGTTAAAGGTTCTTTTTCATCTTTGGTAGGAGATAAGGAGTCTCTTTCGTCATGTAAAGCTTTAGAAGTCATTACTACTTTTTGTTCCTTTTGTTCCGGAGAATGTGGTTTTATTAGAGGCTCCGTTAACTTAGGAATATGAAAAGATTGTTTTTCGTCATGGATAATTTTAGATGTTAATATTTCTTTATCGTGTTCTGGAGATGATGATTTTACTAGGGGCTCAGGTGACTTAGAAATAGAAGATAAGAATTCTTTTTCATCTTTGGTAATTTTAGATGACAATATTTCTTTATCGTGTTCCGGGGATGGTGATCTTACTGGGATTTCAGATGACTTAGATATAGAAGATAAGGATTCTCTTTTGTCTTGTAAAGTTTTAGAAGTCATTACGTCTTTTTGTTTCGGAGAATGTGGCTTTACTTGAGGCTCTGTTGTTAGAGACTTAGGAATATGGGAGGATTGTCTTTCGTCATGGATAATTTCAGATGTCAATATTTCTTTATCGTATTCTGGAGATGGTGATTTTACAAGGGGTTCAGGTGACTTAGAAATAGGAATTAAGGATTCTTGTTCATCCTGAATAATTCTAGAGTTCAGTATTTTTTTATCGTGTTCAGAAGATGGTGATTTTAATGGGAGCTCGGGTGACTTAGAAATAGGAGATTCTTTTTCTTCATATAAAATTTTAGAAGTCAATACGTCTTTTTGTTCCGGAGAAGGTGGCTTTACTAGAGGCTCAGTTGACTTAGGAATATTAGAGGATTGTCTGTCGTCATGGACAATTTTAGGTGTCAATATTTCTTTACCGTGTTCTGGAGATGGTGATTTTACTAGGGGCTCAGGTGATTTAGAAATAGGAGAAAATATTTCATTTTCATCCTTAGAAGTTTTAGCTGTCGATATTTCTTTACCGTGTTCTGGGGATGATGATTTTACTAGGGGTTCAGGTGATTTAGGAATAGAAGACAAGGGTGCTTTTTCATCCTTAGGAGTTTTAGAAGTCAATATTTCTCTATCGTGTTCTGGAGATGATGATTTTTCGAGGGGCTCAGTTGACATAGAAATAAGAAATAAGGATTCTTTTTCATCTATAGTAGTTTTAGAAGTCAACATTTCTTTATCTTGTTCTGGAGATGGTAGTTTTATTGGTACCTCAGGTGATTTAGAAATAGGAGACAAGGTTTCTTTTTCATCCTTAGGAGATTTAGCTGTCAATATTTCTTTATCGTCTTTTGAAGATTTTAGTTTTATCGGTAATTCAGGTGATTTGGAAATAGGAGACAAGGTTTCTTTTTCATCCTTTGGAGATTTAGCTGTCAATATTTCTTTATCGTATTCTGGAGATGGTGATTTTACTACGGGCTCAGGTGACTTAGGAATATCAGAGGATTGTCTGTCGTCATGGACAATTTTAGATGTCAATATTTCTTTACCGTAATCTGGAGATGGTGATTTTACTAGGGTCTCAGGCGATTTAGAAATTGGACACAAGGTTTCTTTTTCATTCTTATGAGCTATAGCTGTCAATATTTCTTTATCGTGTTGTGGAGATTTTCGTTTTATCGGTACCTCAGGTGATTTGGAAATATGAGACAAGGTTTCTTTTTCATCCTTTAGAGATTTAGCTGTCAATATTTCTTTACCGTGTTCTGGAGATGGTGATTTTACTAGGGCCTCAGGTGACTTAGTAATATCAGAGGACTGTCTGTCGTCATGGACAATTTTACGTGTCAGTATTTCTTTACCGTGTTCTGGAGATGGTGATTTTACTAGGGGCTCAGGTGATTTAGAAATAGGAGACAATGTTTCTTTTTCAACCTTAGGAGTTTTAGCTGTCAATATTTCTTTATCCTGTTTTGGAGATTTTAGTTTTATCGGTATTTCAGGTGATTTGGAAAGAGTAGACAAGGTTTCTTTTTCATCCTTTAGAGATTTGGCTGTCAATATTTCTTTATCGTATTCTGGAGATGGTGATTTTACTCGGGGCTCGGGTGACTTAGGAATATCAGAGGATTGTCTGTCGTCATGAACAATTTTAGATGTCAATATTTCTTTACCGTGATCTGGAGATGGTGATTTTACTAGAGGTTCAGGTGATTTAGAAAGAGGACAAAATACTTTTTCATCCTTAGGAGTTTTATACGTCAATAATTCTTTATCGTGTGCGGTAGATGGTGATTTTTCTGTGGGCTCAGGTGACTTAGGAATATCAGAGGATTGTCTGTCGTCATGGACAATTTTAGGTGTCAATATTTCTTTACCATGTTCTGGAGATGGTGAATTTACTAGGGGCTCAGGTGATTTAGAAATAGTAGACAAGATTTCTTTTTCATCCTTAGGAGTTTTAGCTGTCAATATTTTTTTATCGTGTTTTGGAGATTTTAGTTTTATCGGTACTTCAGGTGATTTGGAAATATGAGACAAGGTTTCTTTTTCATCCTTTAGATATTTAGCTGTCAATATTTCTTTACCGTGTTCTGGAGATGGTGATTTTACTAGGGGCTCAGGTGATTTAGAAATAGGAGACAAGGTTTCTTTTTCATCCTTAGGAGTTTTAGCTGTCAATATTTCTTGATCATGTTTTGGAGATTTTAGTTTTATCGGTACTTCAGGTGATTTGGAAATAGGAGACAAGGTTTCTTTTTCATCCTTTGGAGATTTAGCTATCAATATTTCTTTATCGTATTCTGGAGATGGTGATTTTACTACAGGCTCAGGTGACTTAGGAATATCAGAGGATTGTCTGTCGTAATGGACAATCTTAGATGTCAATATTTCTTTACCGTGATCTAGAGATGGTGATTTTACTAGGGTCTCAGGCGATTTAGAAATAGGAGACAAGGTTTCTTTTTCATCCTTAGGAGTTTTAGCTGTCAATACTTCTTTATCGTATTCTGGAGATGGTGATTTTACTACGGGCTCAGGTGACTTAGGAATATCAGAGGATTGTCTGTCGTCATGGACAATTTTAGATGTTAATATTACTTTACCGTGATCTGGAGATGATGATTTTACTAGGGTCTCAGGCGATTTAGAAATAGGAGACAAGGTTTCTTTTTCATCCTTTAGAGATTTAGCTATCAATATTTCTTTATCGTATTCTGGAGATGGGGATTTTACTACAGGCTCAGGTAACTTAGGAATATCAGAGGATTGTCTGTCGTCATGGACAATCTTAGATGTCAATATTTCTTTACCGTGATCTGGAGATGGTGATTTTACTAGGGGCTCAGGTGATATAGAAATAGGAGACAAGGTTTCTTTTTCAACCTTAGGAGTTTTAGCTGTCAATACTTCTTTATCGTATTCTGGAGATGGTAATTTTACTACGGGCTCAGGTGACTTAGGAATATCAGAGGATTGTCTGTCGTCATGGACAATTTTAGATGTCAATATTTCTTTACCGTGATCTGGAGGTGGTGATTTTACTAGGGTCTCAGGCGATTTAGAAATAGGAGACAAGGTTTCTTTTTCATCCTTATGAGTTATAGCTGTCAATATTTCTTTATCGTGTTCTGGAGATTTTAGTTTTATCGGTACTTCAGGTGATTTGGAAATAGGAGACAAGGTTTCTTTTTCATCCTTTGGAGATTTAGCTGTCAATATTTCTTTATCGTATTCTGGAGATGGTGATTTTACTAGGGGTTCAGGTGACTTAGGAATATCAGAGGATTGTCCGTCGTCATGGACAATTTTAGGTGTCAATATTTCTTTACTGTGATCTGGAGATGGCGATTTTACTAGGGGCTCAGGTGATTTAGAAATAGTAGACAAGGTTTCTTTTTCATCCTTTAGAGATTTAGCTATCAATATTTCTTTATCGTATTCTGGAGATGGGGATTTTACTACAGGCTCAGGTGACTTAGGAATATCAGAGGATTGTCCGTCGTCATGGACAATTTTAGATGTCAATATTTCTTTACCGTGATCTGGTGATGGTGATTTTACTAGGTTCTCAGGCGATTTAGAAATAGGAGGCAAGGTTTCTTTTTCATCCTTTGGAGATTTAGCTGTCAATATTTCTTTATCGTATTCTGGAGATGGTGATTTTACTAGGGGTTCAGGTGACTTAGGAATATCAGAGGATTGTCCGTCGTCATGGACAATTTTAGATGTCAATATTTCTTTACCGTGATCTGGTGATGGTGATTTTACTAGGTTCTCAGGCGATTTAGAAATAGGAGACAAGGTTTCTTTTTCATCCTTATGAGTTAAAGCTGTCAATATTTCTTTATCGTGTTCTGGAGATCTTAGTTTTATCGGTACTTCAGGTGATTTGGAAATATGAGACAAGGTTTCTTTTTCATCCTTTAGAGATTTAGCTGTCAGTATTTCTTTACCGTGTCCTGGAGATGGTGATTTTTCTAGGGGCTCAGGTGGTTTAGAAATAGGAGGCAAGGTTTCTTTTTCATCCTTAGGAGTTTTAGCTGTCAATATTTCTTGATAATGTTTTGGAGATTTTAGTTTTATCGGTACTTCAGGTGATTTGGAAATATGAGACAAGGTTTCTTTTTCATCCTTTAGATATTTAGCTGTCAATATTTCTTTACCGTGTTCTGGAGATGGTGATTTTACTAGGGGCTCAGGTGACTTAGGAATATCAGAGGATTGTCTGTCGTCATGGACAATTTTAAGTGTCAGTATTTCTTTACCGTGTTCTGGAGATGGTGATTTTACTAGGGGCTCAGGTGATTTAGAAATAGGAGACAAGGTTTCTTTTTCATCCTTAGGAGTTTTAGCTGTCAATATTTCTTGATCATGTTTTGGAGATTTTAGTTTTATCGGTACTTCAGGTGATTTGGAAATAGGAGACAAGGTTTCTTTTTCATCCTTTGGAGATTTAGCTATCAATATTTCTTTATCGTATTCTGGAGATGGTGATTTTACTACAGGCTCAGGTGACTTAGGAATATCAGAGGATTGTCTGTCGTCATGGACAATCTTAGATGTCAATATTTCTTTACCGTGATCTGGAGATGGTGATTTTACTAGGGTCTCAGGCGATTTAGAAATAGGAGACAAGGTTTCTTTTTCATCCTTAGGAGTTTTAGCTGTCAATACTTCTTTATCGTATTCTGGAGATGGTGATTTTACTACGGGCTCAGGTGACTTAGGAATATCAGAGGATTGTCTGTCGTCATGGACAATTTTAGATGTCAATATTACTTTACCGTGATCTGGAGATGCTGATTTTACTAGGGTCTCAGGCGATTTAGAAATAGGAGACAAGGTTTCTTTTTCATCCTTTAGAGATTTAGCTATCAATATTTCTTTATCGTATTCTGGAGATGGGGATTTTACTACAGGCTCAGGTGACTTAGGAATATCAGAGGATTGTCTGTCGTCATGGACAATCTTAGATGTAAATATTTCTTTACCGTGATCTGGAGATGGTGATTTTACTAGGGGCTCAGGTGATATAGAAATAGGAGACAAGGTTTCTTTTTCAACCTTAGGAGTTTTAGCTGTCAATACTTCTTTATCGTATTCTGGAGATGGTAATTTTACTACGGGCTCAGGTGACGTAGGAATATCAGAGGATTGTCTGTCGTCATGGACTATTTTAGATGTCAATATTTCTTTACCGTGATCTGGAGGTGGTGATTTTACTAGGGTCTCAGGCGACTTAGAAATAGGAGACAAGGTTTCTTTTTCATCCTTATGAGTTATAGCTGTCAATATTTCTTTATCGTGTTCTGGAGATTTTAGTTTTATCGGTACTTCAGGTGATTTGGAAATAGGAGACAAGGTTTCTTTTTCATCCTTTGGAGATTTAGCTGTCAATATTTCTTTATCGTATTCTGGAGATGGTGATTTTACTAGGGGTTCAGGTGACTTAGGAATATCAGAGGATTGTCCGTCGTCATGGACAATTTTAGGTGTCAATATTTCTTTACTGTGATCTGGAGTTGGGGATTTTACTAGGGGCTCAGGTGATTTAGAAATAGTAGACAAGGTTTCTTTTTCATCCTTTAGAGATTTAGCTATCAATATTTCTTTATCGTATTCTGGAGATGGGGATTTTACTACAGGCTCAGGTGACTTAGGAATATCAGAGGATTGTCTGTCGTCATGGACAATTTTAGATGTCAATATTTCTTTACCGTGATCTGGAGATGGTGATTTTACTAGGGGCTCAGGTGATTTAGAAAGAGGAGACAAGACTTTTTCATCCTTAGGAGTTTTAGGCGTCAATAATTCTTTATCGTGTGCGGTAGATGGTGATTTTTCTGGGGGCTCAGGTGACTTAGGAATATCAGAGGATTGTCTGTCGTCATGGACAATTTTAGGTGTCAATATTTCTTTACCGTGTTCTGGAGATGGTGATTTTACTAGGGTCTCAGGTGATTTAGAAATAGGAGACAAGTTTTCTTTTTCATCCTTAGGAGTTTTAGCTGTCAATATTTCTTTATCGTGTTTTGGAGATTTTAGTTTTATCGGTACTTCAGGTGATTTCGAAATAGGAGACAAGGTTTCTTTTTCATCCTTTGAAGATTTAGCTGTCAATATTTCTTTATCGTATTCTGGAGATGGTGATTTTACTAGGGGCTCAGGTGACTTAGAAATATCAGAGGATTGTCCGTCGTCATGGACAATTTTAGGTGTCAATATTTCTTTACCGTGATCTGGAGATGGCGATTTTACTAGGGGCTCAGGTGATTTAGAAATAGTAGGCAAGGTTTCTTTTTCATCCTTAGGAGTTTTAGACGTTAATATTTCTTTATCGTGTTCGGTAGATGGTGATTTTTCTGGGGGCTTAGTTGACTTAGGAATATGAGAGGATTGTCTTTCGTCATGGATAAATTTAGACGTCAATATTTCTTTGCCGTGTTCTGGAGATGGTGATTTTACTAGGAGCTCAGATGACTTAGAAATAGGAAGTAAGTATTCTTTCTCATCCTTAGTAGTTTTAGAAGTCAATATTTCTTTATCTTGTTCTGGGGATGGTGGTTTTATTGGTACCTCAAGTGATTTAGAAATAGAAAACAATATTTTGTTTTCATCCTTAGGATTTTTAGCTGTCGATATTTCTTTAGCGTGTTCTGGAAATATTGGTTTTATTGCTACCTCAGGTGATTTAGAAATAGGAGACAATATTTCTTTTTCATCCTTAGTAGTTTTAGCTTTCAATATTTCTTTATCGTGTTCTGGATATGGTGATTTTACTGGGGACTCAGGTGACTTAGGAATGGGAGATAGGGATACTTGTTCACCATGAATAATTTTAGATTGCAGTATTTCTTTTTTGTGTTCAGAAGACGGTGATTTAATTGGGAGCTCAAGTGATTTAGAAATAGGAGACAAGGTTTCTTTTTCATCCTTAGTAGTTTTAGCTGTCAATATTTCTTTATCGTGTTCTGGAGATGGTGATTTTACTGGGGTCTCAGGTGACTTAGAAATAGGAGATAAGAAATTTTGTTCATCATGAATAATTTTTGATTTCAATATTTCTTTATTGTATTCAGAAGGCGGTGATTTAATTGGAAGCTCAGGTGATTTAGAAATAGGAGACAAGGTTTCTTTTTCATCCTTAGTAGTTTTAGCTGTCAATATTTCTTTATCGTGTTCTGGAGATGGTGATTTTACTGGAGGCTCAGGTGACTTAGGAATAGGAGATAAGGATTCTTGTTCATCCTGAATAATTTTAGATTTCATTATTTCTCGGTCGTGTTCAGAAGATGGTAATTTAACTGGGAGATCGTGTAACTTAGGTATAAGAGACAAGGATTCTCTTTCTTCATGTGAAATTTTAGAAGTCAATACGTCTTTATGTTCCGGAGAATGTTGCTTTACTGGAGGCTCAGTTGATTTAGGAATATGAAAAGATTTCCTTTCGTCATGGGTAATTTTAGATGTTAGTATTCCTTTACCGTGTTCTGGGGATTTTACTAAGGGCTCAGGTGACATAGAAATAGGAGATAATGATTCTTTTTCATCCTTGGTAGTTTTAGATGTCAATATTTTTTTATCGTGCTCAGAAGACGGTGATTTAATTGGGAGCTCGGATGACTTAAAGATAGGAGATAAGGAATCTTCTTCGTCGTGTAAAGTTTTAGAAGTGAATAAGTCTTTTTGTTCCGGAGAAGGTGGCTTTACTTGTGGCTCAGTTGACTTGGGAATATGAGAGGATTGCCCTTCATCTTGGATAAACTTAGAAGTCAATATTACTTTATCGTGCTCTGGAGATGCAGATTTTACTGGGGGCTCAGGTGACTTAGAAATAGGAGCTAAGGATTCTTGTTCATACTGAATAATTTTAGGTTTCAGTATTTCTCGATCGTTTTGAGAAGACGGCGATTTAATTGGGAACTCAGGTGACATAGAAATAGGAGGTAATGATCCTATTTCATCCTTAGTAATTTTAGAATTCAGTATTTCTTGATCGTATTCAGGTGATTTAACTGAGAGATCGTGTAACTTAGGTATAAGACACATGGATTCACTTTCGTCCTGTAAAATTTTAGAAGTCAATACTTTATATTCCAGAGAATGTGGTTTTCCTAGAGGCTCAGATGACTTGGCTATATGAGGGGATTTTCTTTCGTCATTGATAATTTTAGATGTCAATATTTCTTTACAGTGTTCTAGGGATTTTACTAGGGGCTCAGGTGACATACAAATAGGAGATAAGTATCCATTTTCATCCCGAGTAGTCTTAGAAGTCAATATTTCTTTATCTTCTTCTGGAGATGGTGGTTTTATTGGTACCTCAGGTGATTTAGAAATAGGAGACAAGGTTTCTTTTTCATCATTAGGAGATTCAGATGTTAATATTTCTTTATCGTGTTCCGAGAATGGTGATCTTACTGAGAGTTCAGGGGACTTGGATATAGGAGATAGGGATTCCTTTTCGTCCTGTAAAATTTTAGATGTCAATACGTATTTTTCTTCCGGGTAATGTGGCTTTGCTAGAGTCTCAGTTGACTTAGGAATATGAGGGGATAGTCTATCGTCATGGATAATTTTAGATGTCAATATTTCGTTATCGTGTTCCGAGGATGGTAATTTTACTTGGAGTTCAGGTGACTTAGAGATAGGTAATAAAGATTCTCTTTCGTCTTGTAACATTTTAGATGTCAATACGTCCTTTTGTTCCGGAGAAAGTGGCTTTACTAGAGGGTCAGTTGACTTAGGAATACGAGAGAATAGTTTTTCATCATGGACAATTGTAGATGTCAATACTTCTTTATAGTGTTCCTGAGATGGTGGACTTATTGGTACCTCAGGTGATTTAGAAATAGGAGACAAGGTTTCTTTTTCATCCTTAGAAGTTTTAGATTTCAATATTTCTTTATCATATTCCGAGGATGGTGATTTTACTAGGATTTCAGGAGACTTAGTTATAGGAGATAGTGACTCTGCTTCATCCAGTAAAACTATAGATGCGAATACGTCTTTTTTTTCTGGAGAAAGTGGCTTTACTAGAGGCTCAGTTGACTTAGGATTATGAGAGTATTGTCTCTCATCATGGATAAATTTAGACAATATTTCTTTATCGTGTTTTGGAGACACGAAGTATTCTTGTTCATCCTGAATAATTTTAGATTTCAGCATCTCTTGATTCTGTTCAGAAGACTGTGATTTAACTGGGAGCTCGGGTGACATAGAAATAGGAGATAAGGATTCTTTTTCATCCTTAGTAATTCTAGATTTCAGTATTTCTTGGTCGTGTTCAGAAGATGGTGATTTAGCTGGGAAATCGTGTAACTTGGGTATAAGAGACAAGGATTCTCTTTCGTCATGTAAAATTTTAGAAGTCAATACATCTTTATGTTCCGGAGAATGTGGTTTTACTAGAGGCTCAGTTGACTTAACAATATGAGAGGATTGTCTTTCGTCATAGAAAATTTTAGATGTCAATATTTCTTTACCGTGTTCTGGGTATTTTACTAAGGGCTCAGGTGACATAGAAATAGGAGATAAGGATACTTTTTCATCCTTAGTAGTTTTAGAAGTAATTATTTCTTTATCTTGTTCTGGAGATGGTGGTGTTATTGGTACCTCAGGTGATATAGAAACAGAAGACAATGTTCCTTTTTCATCCTTAGGAGTTTTAGCTGTCGATATTTCTTTATCCTCTTCTGGAGATGGTAGTTTTATTGGTACCTCAGGTGATTTAGAAATATTAGACAAGGTTTCTTTTTCATCCTTAGGAGTTTTAGCTGTCAATATTTCTTTACCCTGTTCTGGAGATGATGATTTTACTAGGGGCACAGGTGACTTAGAAGTAGGAGATAAGGATTCTTTTTCATCTTTAGTATATTTAGATGTAAATATTTCTTTATCGTGTTCTGGAGATGGTGGTTTTATTGGTGCCTCAGGTAATTTAGAAAGAGGAAACAAGGTTCCTTTTTCATCCTTAGGAGTTTTAGCTTTCAATATTTCTTTATCTTGTTCTGGAGAGGGTTGTTTTATTGGTACTTCAGGTGATTTCGAAATAGGAGAAAATGTTTCTTTTTCATCCTTAGGAGTTTTAGCTGTCGATATTTCATTATCGTCTTCTGGAGATATTGGTTTTATTGGTACCTCAGGTGATTTAGAAATAGGAGACAAGGTTTCTCTTTCATACTTAGGAGTTCTAGAAGTCAATATTTCTTTACCGTGTTCTGCAGATGGTGGTTTTATTAGGGGCTCAGGTGACTTAGAAATAGAAGACAAGGGTTCTTTTTCATCCTTAGTAGTTCTAGAAGTCAATATTTCTTTGTCTTGTTCCGGAGATGGTGGTTTTATTGGTACCTGAGGTGATTTAGAAATAGGAGACAAGATTTCTTTTTCACCCTTAGGAGTTCTAGCTGTCAATATTTCTTTACCGTGTTCTGTAGATGGTGGTTTTACTAGGGTCCCAGGTGACTTAGAAATAGGAGATAAAGATTCTTTTTCATCCCTAGTAGATTTAGATGTAAATATTTCTTTATCGTGTTCTGGAGATGGTGATTTTACTGGGGGCTCAGGTGACTTAGAAATAGGAGATAAGGATTCCTTTTCGTCATGTAAAATTTTAGATGTCAATACGTCTTTTTCTTCCGGGGAAAGTAGCTTTGCTAAAGGCTCAGCTGAACTAGCGATATCAGAAGATTGTTTTTCGTCATGGATAATTTTGGATGTCAATATATCTTTATCGTCTTCTGGAGATAATGATGTTACTAGGGGCTCAGGTAACTTAGAAATAGGAGATAAGGATTCTTTTTCGTCATGTAAAATTTTAGATGTCATTACGTCTTTTTGTTCCGGAGAAATTGGCTTTACTAGAGGCTCAGTTAGCTTAGAAATATGAGAATATTGTATTTCGTCATGGATAATTTTGTAAGTCAATATTTCTTTATCGTTTTCTGGAGATTTTACTAGGGGTTCAGGTGACTTAGAAATATGAGTTACGGATTCTTTTACATCCTTAGTAGTTTTAGATATCAATATTTCTTTATCTTCTTCCGAGAATGGTGATTTTACTGGTAATTCAGGTGACTTAGAAATAGGAGATAAGGATTCTTGTTCATCCTGGATAATTTTAGATTTCGGTATTTCTTGATTGTGTTCAGAAGATGGTGATTTAAATGGAAGGTCGTGTAACTTAGGTATATGAGACAAGGATTCTCTTGCGTCATGTAAGATTTTAGAAGTCAATACGTCTTTATGTTCTGGAGAATGTGGTATTACAAGAGGCTCAGTTGACTTAGCAATATGAGAGGTTTGTCTTTCGTCATGGATAATTTTAGATGTCAATATTTCTTTACCGTTTTCTGAGGATTTTACTAGGGGCTCAGGTGACATAGAAATTGGAGATAAGGATCCTTTTTCATCCTTAGTAGTTTTAGAAGTCAATATTTCTTTATCTTGTTCTGGAGATGGTGGTTTTATTGGTACCTCAGGTGATTTAGGAGTAGGAGACAACATTTCTTTTTCATCCTTAGGAGTTTCAGCTCTCGATATTTCTTTATCGTGTTCTGGAGATATTGGTTTTATTGGTATCTCTGGTGATTTAGAAATAGTAAACAAGGTTTCTTTTTCATCCTTAGGAATTCTAGCTGTCAACATTTCTTTACTGTGTTCTGGAGTTGGTGGTTTTACTAGGGGCTCAGGTAACTTAGAAATAAGAGATAAGGATACTTTTCCATCCTTAGTGGTTTTAGAAGTCAATATTTCTTTATCTTGTTCTGGAGATGATATTTTTATTGGTACCTCAGGTGATTTAGAAATAGGAGTCAAGGTTTCTTTTTCATCCTTAGGAGTTTTAGAAGACAATATTTCTTTATCTTTTTCTGGAGTTGTTGGTTTTATTGGTACCTCAGGTGATTTAGAAATAAAAGACAATGTTTCTTTTTCATCCCTAGGAGTTTTAGCTGTCAATATTTCTTTACTGTGTTCTGGAGATAGTGGTTTTACTAGGGTCCCAGGTGACTTAGAAATAGGAGAAAAATATTCTTTTTCATCCCTAGTAGATTTAGATGTAAATATTTCTTTATCGTGTTCTGGAGATCGTGATTTTACTGGGGGCTCAGGTGACTTAGAAATAGGAGATAAGGACTCTTGTTCATCCTGGATAATATTAGATTTCGCTATTTCTTGATCGTGTTGAGAAGATGGTGATTTAACTGGAAGATCGTGTAACTTAGGTATGTGAGACAAGGATTCTCTTTCGTCATGTAAAATATTAGAAGTCAATACTTCTTTATGTTCTGGAGAATGTGGTTTAACTAGAAGCTCAGTTGACTTAGCAATATGAGAGGGTTGTCTTTCATCATGGATAATTTTAGATGTCAATATTTCTTTACCGTGTTCTGGGGACTTTACTAGGGGCTCAATAGAAATAGGAGATAAGTATACTTTTTCATCCTCAGTAGTTTTAGAAGTCAATATTTCTTTACCTTGTTCTGGAGATGGTGGTTTTATTGGTACCTCAGGTGATTTAGAAATAGGAGACAAGGTTTCTTTCTCATCCTTAGGAGTTCTAAATGTTAATATTTCTTTCCCGTGTTTTGGTGATGGTGATTTTACTAGGGACTCAGGTGACTTTGAAATAGAAGACAAGGGTTCTTTCTCATACTTAATAGTTTTAGAAGTCAATATTTCTTTATAGTGTTCTGGAGATGGTGGTTTTACCGTGGGCTCAGTTGACATAGCAATATCAGAAAATTGTTTTTCGTCATAGATAATTTTGGATGTCAATATTTCTTTATCGTGTTCTGGAGATGGTGATTTTACTGGGGGCTTAGATGACTTAGAAATAGGTGATAAGGATTCTTTTTCGTCATGTAAAATTTTAGATGCCAATACGTCTTTTTCTTCCGGGGAAAGTGGCTTTGCTAAAGGCCCAGCTGACGTAGCAGTACCGGAAGATTGTTTTTCGTCATAAATAATTTTGGATGTCACTATATCTTTATCGTGTTCTGGAGATGGTGATTTTACTGGGGGCTCAGGTGACTTAGAAATAAGAGATAAGGATTCTTTTTCGTCATGTAAAATTTTAGATGTCAATACGTCTTTTTCTTCCGGGGAAAGTGGCTTTGCTAAAGGTTCAGCTGACGTAGCAATATCAGAAGATTGTATTTTGTCATGGATAATTTTGGATGTAAATATATCTTTATCGTGTTCTGGAGATAGTGGCTCTGGGGGCTCAGATGACTTAGAAATAATAGATAAGGATCCTTTTTCGTCATGTAAAATTTTAGATGTCAATGCGTCTTTTTCTTCCGGGGAAAGTGGCTTTGCTAAAGGTTCAGCTGACGTAGCAATATCAGAAGATTGTTTTTCGGCATGGATAATTTTGGATGTCAATATATCTTTATCGTGTTCTGGAGACGGTGATTTTACTTGGGGCTCAGATGACTTAGAAATAGGAGATACCGATTCCTTTTCGTCATGTAAAATTTTAGATGTCAATATGTCTGTTTCTTCCGGGGAAATTGGCTTTGCTAAAGGCTCAGTTGACCTAGCAATATCAGAAGATTGTTTTTGGTGATGGATAATTTTGGATGTCAATATATCTTTATCGTGTTCTGGAGATGGTGATTTTACTGAGGGCTCAGATGACTTAGAAATAGGAGATAAGGATTCTTTTTCGTCATGTAAAAATTTAGATGTCAATACGTCTTTTTCTTCCGGGGAAAGTAGCTTTGATAAAGGCTCAGCTGACGTAGCAATATCAGAAGATTGTTTTTCGGCATGGATAATTTTGGATGTCAAAATATCTTTATCGTGTTCTGGAGATGATGATTTTACTGGGGGCTCAGATGACTTAGAAATAGGAGATAAGGATTCTTTTTCGTCATGTAAAATTTTAGATGTTAATACGTCTTTTTCTTCCGGGGAAAATGGCTTTTCTAAAGGCACAGTTGACCTAGCAATATCAGAAGATTGTTTTTCGTCATGGATAATTTTTGAAGGCTTATTATATCTATCTTTATCGTGTTCTGGAGATGTTAATTTTACTGAGGACTCAGATGACTTAGAAATAGGAGATAAGGATTCTTTTTCGTCATGTAAAATTTTAGATGTCAATACATCTTTTTCTTCCTGGGAAAGTGGCTTTGCTAAAGGCTCAGTTGACCTAGCAATATCAGAAGATTGTTTTTCGTCATGGATAATTTTGGATGTCAATATTTCTTTATCGTGTTCTGGAGATGGTGATTTTACTGGATGCTCAGGTGACTTAAAAATATGAGATAAGGATTCTTTTTCGTCATGTAAAATTTTAGATGTCAATACGTCTTTTTCTTCCGGGGAAATTGGCTTTGCTAAAGGCTTAGTTGACCTAGCAAAGTCAGAAAATTGTTTTTCGTCATGGATAAATTTGGATGTCAATATTTCTTTATGGTATTCTGGAGATGGTGATTTTACTGTGGGCTCAGTTAACTTAGAAATAGGGGATAACGATTCTTTCTCGTCATGTAAAATTTTAGATATCAATATGTCTTTTTCTGCCGGGAAAATTGGCTTTGCTAAAGGTTCAGTTGACCTAGCGATATGAGAAGATTGTTTTTCGGCATGGATAATTTTGGATGTCAATATTTCTTTATCGTGTTCTGGAGATGGTGATTTTACTGGGGGCTCAGGTGACTTAGAAATAGGAATTACGGATTCTTTTACATCCTTAGTAGTTTTAGATATCAATATTCCTTTATCGTGTTCCGAGGATGGTGATTTTACTGGGAGTTCAGGTGTCTTAGATATCGGAGATAAGGATTCTCTTTCCTCCTGTAAAATTTTAAAAGTTAATTCACCTTTTTGTTCTGGAGAAGGTGGCTTTGCTAAAGGCTCAGCTGATGTAGCAATATCGGAAGATTGTTTTTCGTCATGAATAATTTTGGATGTCAATATAACTTTATCGTGTTCTGGAGATGGTGATTTTACTGGGGGCTCAGGTGACTTAGAAATAGGAGATAAGGATATTTTTTCGTCATGTAAAATTTTAGATGTCAATACGTCTTTTCCTTCCGGAGAAAGTGGCTTTGCTAAAGGCTCAGTTGACTTAGCGATATCAGAAAATTGTTTTTCGTCATGGAAAATTTTTGATGTCAATATTTCTTTATCGTGTTCTGGAGATGGTGATTTTACTGGGGGCTCAGGTGACTCAGAAATAGGAGATAAGGATTCTTTTTCGTCATGTAAAATTTTAGATGTCAATACGTCTTTTTCTTCCGGAGAAATTGGCTTAACTAAAGGCTCAGTTGACTTAGCGATATCAGAAAATTGTTTTTCGTCATGGATAATTTTGGATGTCAATATTTCTTTATCGTGTTCTGGAGATGGTGATTTTACTGGGGGCTCAGGTGACTTAGAAATATGAGATAAGGATTCTTTTTTGTCATGTAAAATTTTAGATGTCAATACGTCTTTTTCTTCCGGAGAAAGTGGCTTTGCTAAAGGCTCAGTTGACCTAGCAATATCAGAAGATTGTTTTTCGGCATGGATGATTTTGGATGTCAATATTTCATTATCGTGTTCTGGAAATGGTGATTTTACTGGAGGCTCAGGTGACTTAGAAATAGGAGATAAGGATTCTTTTTCATCATGTAAAATTTTAGATGTCAATACGTCTTTTTCTTCCAGGGAAAGTGGCTTTGATAAAGTATCAGCTGACGTAGCAATATCAGAAGATTGTTTTTCGTCATGGATAATTTTGGATGTCAATATATCTTTATCGTGTTCTGGAGATGGTGATTTAACTGGGGGCTCAGGTGACTTAGAAATAGGAGATAAGGATACTTTTTCGTCATGTAAAATTTTAGATGTCAATACGTCTTTTTCTTCCGGAGAAAGTGGCTTTGCTAAAGTCTCAGTTGACGTAGCAATATCAGAAAATTGTTTTTCGTCATGGATAATTTTGGATGTCAATATTTCTTTATCGTGTTCTGGAGATGGCGATTTTACTGGAGGCTTAGGTGACTTAGAAATACGAGATAAGGATTCTTTTTCGTCATGGATAATTTTATAAGTCAATATTTCTTTATCGTATTCTGGAGATGGTGGTTTAACTGGGGGCTCAGGTGACTTAGAATAAGGAGATAAGGATACTTTTTCGACATGTAAAATTTTAGATGTCAATACGTCTTTTTTTTCCAGGGAAAGTGGTTTTGATAAAGTCTCAGCTGACCTAGCAATATCAGAAGATTGTTTTTGGTGATGGATCATTTTGGATGTCAATATATCTTTATCGTGTTCTGGAGATGGTGATTTTACTGAGGGCTCAGATGACTTAGAAATAGGAGATAAGGATTCTTTTTCGTCATGTAAAATTTTAGATGTCAATACATCTTTTTCTTCCGGGGAAATTGGCTTTGCTAAAGGCACAGTTGACCTAGCAATATCAGAAAATTGTTTTTCGTCATGGATAATTTTGGATGTCAATATATCTTTATCGTGTTCTGGAGATTGTGATTTTACTGGGGGCTTAGGTGACTTAGTAATACGAGATAATGATTCTTTTTCGTCATGTAAAATTTTAGATGTTAATATGTCTTTTTCTTCCGGGGAAAATGGCTTTTCTAAAGACACAGTTGACCTAGCAATATCAGAAGATTGTTTTTCGGCATGGATAATTTTGGATGTCAATATTTCTTTATCGTGTTCTGGAGATGGTGATTTTACTGGGGGCTCAGGTGACTTAGAAATAGGAGTTACGGATTCTTTTACATCCTTAGTAGTTTTAGATATCAATATTCCTTTATCGTGTTCCGAGGATGGTGATTTTACTGGGAGTTCATGTGTCTTAGATATCGAAGATAAGGATTCTCTTTCCTCCTGTAAAATTTTAAAAGTTAATACGCCTTTTTGTTCTGGAGAAGGTGGCTTTGCTAAAGGCTCAGCTGATGTAGCAACATCGGAAGATTGTTTTCCGGCATGGATAATTTTGGATGTCAATATTTCTTTATCGTGTTCTGGAGATGGTGATTTTACTGGGGGCTCAGGTGACTTAGAAATTGGAATTACAGATTCTTTTACATCCTTAGTAGTTTTAGATATCAATATTCCTTTATCGTGTTCCAAGGATGGTGATTTTACTGGGAGTTCAGGTGTCTTAGATATCGGAGATAAGGATTCTCTTTCCTCCTGTAAAATTTTAAAAGTTAATACGCCTTTTTGTTCTGGAGAAGGTGGCTTTGCTAAAGGCTCAGCTGATGTAGCAATATCGGAAGATTGTTTTTTGTCATGAATAATTTTGGATGTCAATATAACTTTATCGTGTTCTGGAGATGGTGATTTTACTGGGGGCTCAGGTGACTTAGAAATAGGAGATAAGGATAATTTTTCGTCATGTAAAATTTTAGATGTCAACACGTCTTTTTCTTCCGGAGAAAATGGTTTTGCTAAAGGATCAGTTGACTTAGCGATATCAGAAAATTGTTTTTCGTCATGGATAAATTTGGATGTCAATATTTCTTTATCGTGTTCTGGAGTTGGTGATTTTACTGGGGGCTCATGTGACTTAGAAATAGGAGATAAGGATTCTTTTTCGTCATGTAAAATTTTAGATGTCAATACGTCTTTTTCTTCCGGAGAAAGTGGCTTTGCTAAAGGCTCAGTTGACCTAGCAATATCAGAAGATTGTTTTTCGGCATGGATGATTTTGGATGTCAATATTTCTTTATCGTGTTCTGGAAATGGTGATTTTACTGGAGGCTCAGGTGACTTAGAAATAGGAGATAAGGATTCTTTTTCATCATGTAAAATTTTAGATGTCAATACGTCTTTTTCTTCCAGGGAAAGTGGCTTTGATAAAGTATCAGCTGACGTAGCAATATCAGAAGATTGTTTTTCGTCATGGATAATTTTGGATGTCAATATATCTTTATCGTGTTCTGGAGATGGTGATTTAACTGGGGGCTCAGGTGACTTAGAAATAGGAGATAAGGATACTTTTTCGTCATGTAAAATTTTAGATGTCAATACGTCTTTTTCTTCCGGAGAAAGTGGCTTTGCTAAAGTCTCAGTTGACGTAGCAATATCAGAAAATTGTTTTTCGTCATGGATAATTTTGGATGTCAATATTTCTTTATCGTGTTCTGGAGATGGTGATTTTACTGGAGGCTTAGGTGACTTAGAAATACGAGATAAGGATGCTTTTTCGTCATGGATAATTTTATAAGTCAATATTTCTTTATCGTATTCTGGAGATGGTGGTTTAACTGGGGGCTCAGGTGACTTAGAAAAAGGAGATAAGGATACTTTTTCGTCATGTAAAATTTTAGATGTCAATACGTCTTTTTTTTGCAGGGAAAGTGGCTTTGAAAAAGTCTCAGCTGACCTAGCAATATCAGAAGATTGTTTTTGGTGATGGATAATTTTGGATGTCAATATATCTTTATCGTGTTCTGGAGATGGTGATTTTACTGAGGGCTCAGATGACTTAGAAATAGGAGATAAGGTTTCTTTTTCGTCATGTACAATTTTAGATGTCAATACATCTTTTTCTTCCGGGGAAATTGGCTTTGCTAAAGGCACAGTTGACCTAGCAATATCAGAAAATTGTTTTTCGTCATGGATAATTTTGGATGTCAATATATCTTTATCGTGTTCTGGAGATTGTGATTTTACTGGGGGCTTAGGTGACTTAGTAATACGAGATAAGGATTCTTTTTCGTCATGTAAAATTTTAGATGTTAATACGTCTTTTTCTTCCGGGGAAAATGGCTTTTCTAAAGACACAGTTGACCTAGCAATATCAGAAGATTGTTTTTCGTCATGGATAATTTTGGGTGTCAATATATCTTTATCCTCTTCTGGAGATGGTGATTTTACTGAGGGCTCAGATGACTTAGAAATAGGAGATAAGGATTCTTTTTCGTCATGTAAAATTTTACATATCAATATGTCTTTTTCTTCCGGGGAAATTGGCTTTGCTAAGGGCTCAGTTGACCTAGCGATATCAGAAGATTGTTTTTCGGCATGGATAATTTTGGATGTCAATATTTCTTTATCGTGTTCTGGAGATGGTGATTTTACTGGGGGCTCAGGTGACTTAGAAATAGGAGTTACGGATTCTTTTACATCCTTAGTAGTTTTAGATATCAATATTCCTTTATCGTGTTCCGAGGATGGTGATTTTACTGGGAGTTCATGTGTCTTAGATATCGAAGATAAGGATTCTCTTTCCTCCTGTAAAATTTTAAAAGTTAATACGCCTTTTTGTTCTGGAGAAGGTGGCTTTGCTAAAGGCTCAGCTGATGTAGCAACATCGGAAGATTGTTTTTCGGCATGGATAATTTTGGATGTCAATATTTCTTTATCGTGTTCTGGAGATGGTGATTTTACTGGGGGCTCAGGTGACTTAGAAATAGGAATTTCGGATACTTTTACATCCTTAGTAGTTTTAGATATCAATATTCCTTTATCGTGTTCTGAGGATGGTGATTTTACTGGGAGTTCAGGTGTCTTAGATATCGGAGATAAGGATTCTCTTTCCTTCTGTAAAATTTTAAAAGTTAATACGCCTTTTTGTTCTGGAGAAGGTGGCTTTGCTAAAGGCTCAGCTGATGTAGCAATATCGGAAGATTGTTTTTCGTCATGAATAATTTTGGATGTCAATAGAACTTTATCGTGTTCTGGAGATGGTGATTTTACTGGGGGCTCAGGTGACTTAGAAATAGGAGATAAGGATAATTTTTCGTCATGTAAAATTTTAGATGTCAATACGTCTTTTTCTTCCGGAGAAAATGGCTTTGCTAAAGGCTCAGTTGACTTAGCGATATCAGAAAATTGTTTTTCGTCATGGATAATTATGGATGTCAATATTTCTTTATCGTGTTCTGGAGATGGTGATTTTACTGGGGGCTCAGGTGACTTAGAAATAGGCGATAAGGATTCTTTTTCGTCATGTAAAATTTTAGATGTCAATACGTCTTTTTCTTCCGGAGAAATTGGCATAGCTAAAGGCTCAGTTGACTTAGCGATATCAGAAAATTGTTTTTCGTCATGAATAATTATGGATGTCAATATTTCTTTATCGTGTTCTGGAGATGGTGATTTTACTGGGGGCTCAGGTGACTTAGAAATAGGAGATAAGGATTCTTTTTCATCATGTAAAATTTTAGATGTCAATACGTCTTTTTCGTTCCGGGGAAATTGGCTTTGCTAAGGGCTCAGTTGACCTAGCAATATCAGAAGATTGTTTTTCTCATGGATAATTTTGGGATGTCAAATAATGTTTTATCTTGTTCTGGAGATGGTGATTTAACTGGGGGCTCAGGTGACTTAGAAATAGGAGATAAGGATACTTTTTCGTCATGTAAAATTTTAGATGTCAATACGTCTTTTTCTTGTTGAGAAAGTGGCTTTGCTATAGGCTCAGTTGACCTAGCAATATCAGAAGATTGTTTTTCGACATGGATGATTTTGGATGTCAATATTTCTTTATCGTGTTCTGGAGATGGTGATTTTACTGGAGGCTCAGGTGATTTAGAAATAGGAGATAAGGATTCTTTTTCATCATGTAAAATTTTATATGTCAATACGTCTTTTTCTTCCGGAGAAAGTGGCTTTGCTAAAGGCTCAGTTGACCTAGCCATATCAGAAGATGTTTTTTCGTCATGGATAATTTTGGATTTCAATATTTCTTTATCGTGTTCTGGAGATGGTGATTTTACTGGAGGCTCAGGTGACTTAGAAATAGGAGATAAGGATTCTTTTTCATCATGTAAAATTTTAGATGTCAATACGTCTTTTTCTTCCGGAGAAAGTGGCTTTGCTAAAGGCTCAGTTGACCTAGCAATATCAGAAGATTGTTTTTCGTCATGGATAATTTTGGATGTCAATATATCTTTATCGTGTTCTGGAGATGGTGATTTAACTGGGGGCTCAGGTGACTTAGAAATAGGAGATAAGGATACTTTTTCGTCATGTAAAATTTTTGATGTCAATACTTCTTTTTCTTCCGGAGAAAGTGGCTTTGCTAAAGTCTCAGTTGACTTAGCAATATCAGAAGATTGTTTTTCGTCATGGATAATTTTGGATGTCAATATTTCTTTATCGTGTTCTGGAGATGGTGATTTTACTGGAGGCTCAGGTGACTTAGAAATAGGAGATAAGGATTCTTTTTCATCATGTAAAATTTTAGATGCCAATACGTCTTTTTCTTCCGGAGAAAGTGGCTTTGCTAAAGGCTCAGTTGACCTAGCAATATCAGAAGATTGTTTTTCGTCATGGATAATTTTGGATGTCAATATTTCTTTATCGTGTTCTGGAGATGGTGATTTTACTGGGGGCTCAGGTGACTTAGAAATGGGAGGCCAGGATTCTTTTTCATCATGTAAAATTTTTAGATGTCAATACGTCTTTTCTTCCGGAGAAAGTGGCTTTGCTAAAGTCTCAGCTGACCTAGCAATATCAGAAGATTGTTTTTCGTCATGGATAATTTTGTATGTCAATATATCTTTATCGTGTTCTGGAGATGGTGATTTAACTGGGGGCTCAGGTGACTTAGAAATAGGAGATAAGGATACTTTTTCGTCATGTAAAATTTTAGATGTCAATACGTCTTTTTCTTCCGGAGAAAGTGGCTTTGCTATAGGTTCAGTTGACCTAGCAATATCAGAAGATTGTTTTTCGACATGGATGATTTTGGATGTCAATATTTCTTTATCGTGTTCTGGAGATGGTGATTTTACTGGAGGCTCAGGTGACTTAGAAATAGGAGATAAGGATTCTTTTTCATCATGTAAAATTTTAGATGTCAATACGTCCTTTTCTTCCGGAGAAAGTGGCTTTGCTAAAGTCTCAGTTGTAGCGATATCAGAAGATTGTTTTTCGTCATGGATAATTTTGGATGTCAATATTTCTTTATCGTGTTCTGGAGATGGTGATTTTACTGGACGCTTAGGTGACTTAGAAATAAGAGATAAGGATTCTTTTTCGTCATGTAAAATTTTAGATGTCAATACGTCTTTTTCTTCCAGGGAAAGTGGCTTTGCTAAAGTCTCAGCTGACCTAGCAATATCAGAAGATTGTTTTTCGTCATGGATAATTTTGGATGTCAATATATCTTTATCGTGTTCTGGAGATGGTGATTTAACTGGGGGCTCAGGTGACTTAGAAATAGGAGATAAGGATTCTTTTTCATCATGTAAAATTTTAGATGTCAATACGTCTTTTTCTTCCAGGGAAAGTGGCTTTGATAAAGTCTCAGCTGACGTAGCAATATCAGAAGATTGTTTTTCGTCATGGATAATTTTGGATGTCAATATATCTTTATCGTGTTCTGGAGATGGTGATTTAACTGGGGGCTCAGGTGACTTAGAAATAGGAGTTAAGGATACTTTTTCGTCATGTAAAATTTTTGATGTCAATACTTCTTTTTCTTCCGGAGAAAGTGGCTTTGCTAAAGTCTCAGTTAACTTAGCGATATCAGAAGATTGTTTTTCGTCATGGATAATTTTGGATGTCAATATTTCTTTATCGTGTTCTGGAGATGGTGATTTTACTGGACGCTTAGGTGACTTAGAAATAAGAGATAAGGATTCTTTTTCGTCATGTAAAATTTTAGATGTCAATACTTCTTTTTGTTCCGGGCAAAGTGGCTTTGCTAAAGGCTCAGTTGACCTAGCAATATCAGATGGTTGTTCGTCATGGATAATTTTATAAGTCAATATTTCTTTATCGTATTCTGGAGATGGTGGTTTAACTGGGGGCTCAGGTGACTTAGAAATAGGGGATAAGGATACTTTTTCGTCATGTAAAATTTTAGATGTCAATATGTCTTTTCCTTCCGGGGAAATTGGCTTTGCTAAAGGCTCAGTTGACCTAGCAATATCAGAAGATTGTTTTTCGGCATGGATGATTTTGGATGTCAATATTTCTTTGTCGTGTTCTGGAGATGGTGATTTTACTGGAGGCTCAGGTGACTTAGAAATAGGAGATAAGGATTCTTTTTCATCATGTAAAATTTTAGATGTCAATACGTCTTTTTCTTCAAGGGAAAGTGGCTTTGATAAAGTCTCAGCTGAAGTAGCAATATCAGAAAATTGTTTTTCGTCATGGATAATTTTGGATGTTAATATATCTTTATCGAGTTCTGGAGATGGTGATTTTACTGGGGGCTCAGGTAGCTTAGAAATAAGAGATAAGGATTCTTTTTCGTCATGTAAAATTTTAGATGTCAATACTTCTTTTTGTTCCGGGGAAAGTGGATTTGCTAAAGGCTCAGTTGACCTAGCAATATCAGATTGTTTTTCGTCATGGATAATTTTATAATTCAATATTTCTTTATCGTATTCTGGAGATGGTGGTTTAACTGGGGGCTCAGGTGACTTAGAAATAGGGGATAAGGATACTTTTTCGTCATGTAAAATTTTAGATGTCAATATGTCTTTTCCTACAGGGGATATTGGCTTTGCTATAGGTTCAGTTGACCTAGCAATATCAGAAGATTGTTTTTCGTCATGGATAATTTTGGATGTCAATATTTCTTTATCGTGTTCTGGAGATGGTGATTTTACTGGAGGCTCAGGTGACTTAGAAATAGGAGATAAGGATTCTTTTTCATCATGTAAAATTTTAGATGTCAATACGTCCTTTTCTTCCGGAGAAAGTGGCTTTGCTAAAGTCTCAGTTGACTTAGCAATATCAGAAGATTGTTTTTCGTCATGGATAATTTTGGATGTCAATATTTCTTTATCGTGTTCTGGAGATGGTGATTTTACTGGAGGCTCAGGTGACTTAGAAATAGGAGATAAGGATTCTTTTTCATCATGTAAAATTTTAGATGCCAATACGTCTTTTTCTTCCGGAGAAAGTGGCTTTGCTAAAGGCTCAGTTGACCTAGCAATATCAGAAGATTGTTTTTCGTCATGGATAATTTTGGATGTCAATATTTCTTTATCGTGTTCTGGAGATGGTGATTTAACTGGGGGCTCAGGTGACTTAGAAATAGGGGATAAGGATACTTTTTCGTCATGTAAAATTTTAGATGTCAATACGTCTTTTTCTTCCGGAGAAAGTGGTTTTGCAAAAGGCTCAGTTGACTTAGCGATATCAGAAAATTGTTTTTCGTCATGGATAATTTTGGATGTCAATATATCTTTATCGTGTTCTGTAGATGGTGATTTTACTGGGGGCTCAGGTGACTTAGAAATAGGAGATAAGGATTCTTTTTCGTCATGTAAAATTTTAGATGTCAATACATCTTTTTCTTCCGGGGAAATTGGCTTTGCTAAAGGCACAGTTGACCTAGCAATATCAGAAGATTGTTTTTCGTCATGGATAATTTTGGATGTCAATATATATTTATCGTGTTCTGGAGATGGTGATTTTATTGGGGGCTCACGTGACTTAGAAATAGGAGATAAGGATTCTTTTTCATCATGTAAAATTTTAGATGTCAATACGTCTTTTTCTTCCAGGGAAAGTGGCTTTGATAAAGTCTCAGCTGACGTAGCAATATCAGAAGATTGTTTTTCGTCATGGATAATTTTGGATGTCAATATATCTTTATGGTGTTCTGGAGATGGTGATTTAACTGGGGGCTCAGGTGACTTAGAAATAGGGGATGAGGATACTTTTTCGTCATGTAAAATTTTAGATGTCAATGCGTCTTTTTCTTCCGGAGAAAGTGGCTTTGCTAAAGTCTCAGTTGACTTAGCGATATCAGAAAATTGTTTTTCGTCATGGATAATTTTGGATGTCAATATTTCTTTATCGTGTTCTGGAGATGGTGATTTTACTGGAGGCTTAGGTGACTTAGAAATACGAGATAAGGATTCTTTTTCATCATGTAAATTTTTAGATGTCAATACGTCTTTTTCTTCCAGGGAAAGTGGCTTTGATAAAGTCTCAGCTGACGTAGCAATATCAGAAGATTGTTTTTCGTCATGGATAATTTTGGATGTCAATATTTCTTTATCGTGTTCTGGAGATGGTGATATTACTGGAGGCTTAGGTGACTTAGAAATACGAGATAAGGATTCCTTTTCGTCATGTAAAATTTTATATGTCAATACGTCTTTTTCTTCCGGGGAAAGTGGCTTTGCTAAAGGCTCAGTTGACCTAGCAATATCAGATGGTTTTTCGTCATGGATAATTTTATAAGTCAATATTTCTTTATCGTATTCTGGAGATGGTGGTTTAACTGGGGGCTCAGGTGACTTAGAAATAGGGGATAATGATACTTTTTCGTCATGTAAAATTTTAGATGTCAATACGTCTTTTTCTTCCGGAGAAAGTGGTTTTGCAAAAGGCTCAGTTGACTTAGCGATATCAGAAAATTGTTTTTCGTCATGGATAATTTTGGATGTCAATATATCTTTATCGTGTTCTGGAGATGGTGATTTAACTGGAGGCTCAGGTGACTTAGAAATAGGAGATAAGGATACTTTTTCGTCATGTAAAATTTTAGATGTCAATACGTCTTTTTCTTCCGGAGAAAGTGGCTTTGCTAAAGTCTCAGTTGACTTAGCGATATCAGAAAATTGTTTTTCGTCATGGATAATTTTGGATATCAATATTTCTTTATCGTGTTCTGGAGATGGTGATTTTACTGGAGGCTCAGGTGACTTAGAAATAGGAGATAAGGATTCTTTTTCATCATGTAAAATTTTAGATGTCAATGCGTCTTTTTCTTCCAGGGAAAGTGGCTTTGATAAAGTCTCAGCTGACGTAGCAATATCAGAAGATTGTTTTTCATCATGGATAATTTTGGATGTCAATATATCTCTATCGTGTTCTGGAGATGGTGATTTAACTGGGGGCTCAGGTGACTTAGAAATAGGAGATACGGATTCCTTTTCGTCATGTAAAATTTTAGATGGCAATATGTCTTTTCCTTCCGGGGAAATTGACTTTGCTATAGGCTCAGTTGACCTAGCAATATAAGAAGATTGTTTTTCGGCATGGATGATTTTGGATGTCAATATTTCTTTATCATGTTCTGGAGATGGTGATTTTACTGGAGGCTCAGGTGACTTAGAAATAGGAGATAAGGATTCTTTTTCATCATGTAAAATTTTAGATGTCAATACGTCTTTTTCTTCCAGGGAAAGTGGCTTTGATAAAGTCTCAGCTGACGTAGCAATATCAGAAGATTGTTTTTCATCATGGATAATTTTGGATGTCAATATATCTTTATCGTGTTCTGGAAATGGTGATTTTACTGGAGGCTTAGGTGACTTAGAAATAGGAGATAAGGATACTTTTCCATCATGTAAAATTTTAGATGTCAATACGTCTTTTTCTTCCGGAGAAAGTGGCTTTGCTAATGTCTCAGTTGACTTAACGATATCAGAAAATTGTTTTTCGTCATGGATAAATTTGGATATCAATATTTCTTTATCGTGTTCTGGAGATGGTGATTTTACTGAAGGCTCAGGTGACTTAGAAATAGGAGATAAGGATTCTTTTTCATCATGTAAAATTTTAGATGTCAATACGTCTTTTTCTTCCAGGGAAAGTGGCTTTGATAAAGTCTCAGCTGACGTAGCAATATCAGAAGATTGTTTTTCGTCACGGATAATTTTGTATGTCAATATATCTTTATCGTGTTCTGGAGATGGTGATTTAACTGGGGGCTCAGGTGACTTAGAAATAGGAGATAAGGATACTTTATCGTCATGTAAAATTTTAGATGTCAATACGTCTTTTTCTTCCGGAGAAAGTGGCTTTGCTAAAGTCTCAGTTGAATTAGCGATATCAGAAAATTGTTTTTCGTCATGGATAATTTTGGATGTCAATATTTCTTTATCGTGTTCTGGAGATGGTGATTTTACTGGAGGCTTAAGTGACTTAGAAATACGAGATAAGGATTCTTTTTCGTCATGTAAAATTTTAGATGTCAATACGTCTTTTTCTTCCGGAGAAAGTGGCTTTGCTAAAGGCTCAGTTGACCTAACAATATCAGAAGATTGTTTTTCGTCATGGATAATTTTGGATGTCAATATATCTTTATCGCATTCTGGAGATGGTGGTTTAACTGGGGGCTCAAGTGACTTAGAAATAGGGGATAAGGATACTTTTTCGTCATGTAAAATTTTAGATGTCAATACGTCTTTTTCTTCCGGAGAAAGTGGCTTTGCTAAAGGCTCAGTTGACTTTGCGATATCAGAAAATTGTTTTTCGTCATGGATAATTTTGGATATCAATATTTCTTTATCGTGTTCTGGAGATGGTGATTTTACTGGAGGCTCAGGTGACTTAGAAATAGGAGATAAGGATTCTTTTTCATCATGTAAAATTTTAGATGTCAATACGTCTTTTTCTTCCAGGGAAAGTGGCTTTGCTAAAGTCTCAGTTGACTTTGCGATATCAGAAGATTGTTTTTCGGCATGGATAATTTTGGATGTCAATATTTCTTTATCGTGTTCTGGAGATGGTGATTTTACTGGAGGCTCAGGTGACTTAGAAATAGGAGATAAGGATACTTTTTCATCATGTAAAATTTTAGGTGTCAATACGTCTTTTCTTCCGGAGAAAGTGGCTTTGCTAAAGTCTCAGTTGACTTTGCGATATCAGAAAATTGTTTTTCGTCGTGGATAATTTTGGATATCAAAATTTCTTTATCGTGTTCTGGAGATGGTGATTTTACTGGAGGCTCAGGTGACTTAGAAATAGGAGATAAGGATTCTTTTTCATCATGTAAAATTTTAGATGTCAATACGTCTTTTTCTTCCAGGGAAAGTGGCTTCGATAAAGTCTCAGCTGACGTAGCAATATCAGAAGATTGTTTTTCGTCATGGATAATTTTGGATGTCAATATATCTTTATGGTGTTCTGGAGATGGTGATTTAACTGGGGGCTCAGGTGACTTAGAAATAGGGGATGAGGATACTTTTTCGTCATGTAAAATTTTAGATGTCAATACTTCTTTTTTTTCCGGAGAAAGTGGCTTTGCTAAAGTCTCAGTTAACTTAGCGATATCAGAAGATTGTTTTTCGTCATGGATAATTTTGGATGTCAATATTTCTTTATCGTGTTCTGGAGATGGTGATTTTACTGGACGCTTAGGTGACTTAGAAATAAGAGATAAGGATTCTTTTTCGTCATGTAAAATTTTAGATGTCAATACTTCTTTTTGTTCCGGGGAAAGTGGCTTTGCTAAAGGCTCAGTTGACCTAGCAATATCAGATTGTTTTTCGTCATGGATAATTTTATAAGTCAATATTTCTTTATCGCATTCTGGAGATGGTGGTTTAACTGGGGGCTCAAGTGACTTAGAAATAGGGGATAAGGATACTTTTTCGTCATGTAAAATTTTAGATGTCAATATGTCTTTTCCTTCCGGGGAAATTGGCTTTGCTAAAGGCTCAGTTGACCTAGCAATATCAGAAGATTGTTTTTCGGCATGGATGATTTTGGATGTCAATATTTCTTTGTCGTGTTCTGGAGATGGTGATTTTACTGGAGGCTCAGGTGACTTAGAAATAGGAGATAGGATTCTTTTTCATCATGTAAAATTTTAGATGTCAATACGTCTTTTTCTTCAAGGGAAAGTGGCTTTGATAAAGTCTCAGCTGAAGTAGCAATATCAGAAAATTGTTTTTCGTCATGGATAATTTTGGATGTTAATATATCTTTATCGAGTTCTGGAGATGGTGATTTTACTGGGGGCTCAGGTAGCTTAGAAATAAGAGATAAGGATTCTTTTTCGTCATGTAAAATTTTAGATGTCAATACTTCTTTTGTTCAGGGGAAAGTGGATTTGCTAAAGGCTCAGTTGACCTAGCAATATCAGATTGTTTTTCGTCATGGATAATTTTATAATTCAATATTTCTTTATCGTATTCTGGAGATGGTGGTTTAACTGGGGGCTCAGGTGACTTAGAAATAGGGGATAAGGATACTTTTTCGTCATGTAAAATTTTAGATGTCAATATGTCTTTTCCTACAGGGGATATTGGCTTTGCTAAAGGCTCAGTTGACCTAGGAATATCAGAAGATTGTTTTTCGGCATGGATGATTTTGGATGTCAATATTTCTTTATCGTGTTCTGGAGATGGTGATTTTACTGGAGGCTTAGGTGACTTAGAAATAGGAGATAAGGATACTTTTTCATCATGTAAAATTTTAGATGTCAATACGTCTTTTTCTTCCGGGGAAAGTGGCTTTGCTAAAGTCTCAGTTGACTTTGCGATATCAGAAGATTGTTTTTCGGCATGGATAATTTTGGATGTCAATATTTCTTTATCGTGTTCTGGAGATGGTGATTTTACTGGAGGCTCAGGTGACTTAGAAATAGGAGATAAGGATACTTTTTCATCATGTAAAATTTTAGGTGTCAATACGTCTTTTTCTTCCGGAGAAAGTGGCTTTGCTAAAGTCTCAGTTGACTTTGCGATATCAGAAAATTGTTTTTCGTCGTGGATAATTTTGGATATCAAAATTTCTTTATCGTGTTCTGGAGATGGTGATTTTACTGGAGGCTCAGGTGACTTAGAAATAGGAGATAAGGATTCTTTTTCATCATGTAAAATTTTAGATGTCAATACGTCTTTTTCTTCCAGGGAAAGTGGCTTTGCTAAAGTCTCAGTTGACTTAGCGATATCAGAAAATTGTTTTTCGTCATGGATAATTTTGGATGTCAATATTTCTTTATCGTGTTCTGGAGATGGTGATTTTACTGGAGGCTTAGGTGACTTAGAAATACGAGATAAGGATTCTTTTTCGTCATGTAAAATTTTAGATGTCAATACTTCTTTTTGTTCCGGGCAAAGTGGCTTTGCTAAAGGCTCAGTTGACCTAGCAATATCAGATGGTTGTTCGTCATGGATAATTTTATAAGTCAATATTTCTTTATCGTATTCTGGAGATGGTGGTTTAACTGGGGGCTCAGGTGACTTAGAAATAGGGATAAGGATACTTTTTCGTCATGTAAAATTTTAGATGTCAATATGTCTTTTCCTTCCGGGGAAATTGGCTTTGCTAAAGGCTCAGTTGACCTAGCAATATCAGAAGATTGTTTTTCGGCATGGATGATTTTGGATGTCAATATTTCTTTGTCGTGTTCTGGAGATGGTGATTTTACTGGAGGCTCAGGTGACTTAGAAATAGGAGATAAGGATTCTTTTTCATCATGTAAAATTTTTAGATGTCAATACGTCTTTTCTTCTTCAAGGGAAAGTGGCTTTGATAAAGTCTCAGCTGAAGTAGCAATATCAGAAAATTGTTTTTCGTCATGGATAATTTTGGATGTTAATATATCTTTATCGAGTTCTGGAGATGGTGATTTTACTGGGGGCTCAGGTAGCTTAGAAATAAGAGATAAGGATTCTTTTTCGTCATGTAAAATTTTAGATGTCAATACTTCTTTTTTTGTTCCGGGAAAGTGGATTTGCTAAAGGCTCAGTTGACCTAGCAATATCAGATTGTTTTTCGTCATGGATAATTTTATAATTCAATATTTCTTTATCGTATTCTGGAGATGGTGGTTTAACTGGGGGCTCAGGTGACTTAGAAATAGGAGATAAGGATACTTTTTCGTCATGTAAAATTTTAGATGTCAATACGTCTTTTTCTTCCGGAGAAAGTGGCTTTGCAAAAGGCTCAGTTGACTTAGCGATATCAGAAAATTGTTTTTCGTCATGGATAATTTTGGATGTCAATATATCTTTATCGTGTTCTGTAGATGGTGATTTTACTGGGGGCTCAGGTGACTTAGAAATAGGAGATAAGGATTCTTTTTCGTCATGTAAAATTTTAGATGTCAATACATCTTTTTCTTCCGGGGAAATTGGCTTTGCTAAAGGCTCAGTTGACCTAGCAATATCAGAAGATTGTTTTTCGTCATGGATAATTTTGGATGTCAATATTTCTTTATCGTGTTCTGGAGATGGTGATTTTACTGGGGGCTCAGGTGACTTAGAAATAGGAGATAAGGATTCTTTTTCATCATGTAAAATTTTAGATGTCAATACGTCTTTTTCTTCCAGGGAAAGTGGCTTTGATAAAGTCTCAGCTGACGTAGCAATATCAGAAGATTGTTTTTCGTCATGGATAATTTTGGATGTCAATATATCTTTATCGTGTTCTGGAGATGGTGATTTAACTGAGGGCTCAGGTGATTTAGAAATAGGAGATAAGGATTCTTTTTCGTCATGTAAATTTCTAGATGTCAATACGTCTTTTTCTTCCGGGGAGATTGGCTTTGCTAAAGGCTCAGTTGGCCTAGCAATATCAGAAAATTGTTTTTCGTCATGGATAATTTTAGATGTCAATATATCTTTATCGTGTTCTGGAGATGGTGATTTTACTGGGGGCTCAGGTGACTTAGAAATAGGAGATAAGGGTTCTTTTTCGTCGTGTAAAATTTTAGATGTCAATGCGTGTGTTTCTTCCGGAGAATGTGGTATTGCTAATGGCGCAGTTGACCTAGCAATATCAGAAGATTGTTTTTCGGCATGGATAATTTTGGATGTCAATATTTCTTTATCGTGTTCTGGAGATGGTGATTTTACTGGAGGCTCAGGTGACTTAGAAATAGGAGATACGGATTCCTTTTCGCCATGTAAAATTTTAGATGTCAATGCGTCTTTTTCTTCCGGAGAAAGTGGTATTGCTAAAGGCTCAGTTGACCTAGCAACATCAGAAGATTGTTTTTCGTCATGGATAATTTTGTATGTCAATATTTCTTTATCGTGTTCTGGAGATGGTGATTTTTCTGGGGGCTCAAATGATTTAGAAATAGGAGATAAGGATTCTTTTTCGTCATGTAAAATTTTAGATGTCAATACGTCTTTTTCTTCCGAGGATGGTGATTTGACTGGGAGCTCAGGGGACTTAAAAATAGGAGATAGAGTTTCTTTTCCATTTTTAATATTTTTAGATGTAAATATTTCTTTATCGTGTTCTAGAGATGGTTGCTTTAGTGAGGGCTCGTGTGACTTAATATTAGTAGGCAAGGATTCTTTTTTATCTTTATTATATTTCGATATCAATACTTGTTTATCTTGTTCCGGAGATGTTAATTTTACTGAGAGCTCAGTTGATATAGAAATAAGAGATAAGGATTGTTTTTCGTCTTTAATTTTAGTAGTCGACATTTCTATGTCTAGTTCCGGAGACAGTGTTTTTAGTGGTAATGCGGGTAATTCAACAGCAGCAGTCTTTAAATCAATTTTATTATCACGGATAGTTTTGGAAACCGGCATTTCTTTATCAATTTCCGAACATGGTGTTTTTATAGTAGGTTCGTGTATTTTTTTACTAGGAGATTTTAATGTTGGTTTATCATCATCAAATATTTCAGATCTTATTTTTTGTATTTCATTATCCATCACATGAGCCTCGGGTGGGGAAGAAGCAATGGATTTTAATAAAATTTCCTTGTCTTTACTTGAAATATTTTTTTGGCCTAAGTTCAATATTTTAATTTCTTTATCCTTTGTTCGCTTATTTAATTCCTGTGATATATCCTGGTCTTTTATACTTTCTAAAGAGGCAGATGGTATCATTTGTATTAACTGTCCCTCCGGTGTGGGTGTTAAATCTGGCTTTAGTTCCTTAACGTCTGCTCGAATTTGCTTAGAAGCTTCTAATACTTCAAATATTATTTTTTGTACTTCATTTTCTGTAATAGTAACATTCTTTTCGATACTTTGAAAATCGAGTGACTGTGGAGAAGGTCTTTTTGAACGACTATCTTTATTAATGCTGTTATCGAGATGTTGTAGATCGTCGGGACAAATTTCTTCTACAGGTAAATCAGTCGCTTTGGTTTGCTTTAGATGTGTAGTATCATATTCTTCGAAATCCTCTTTACCATTTGTAGTAATGCTATGATCAACATGCTTTTTTACACACACTGGCTCTACGCAAGGCATATCGGTGGCTGGCTGATCTATGATTATTTGTTTACATTTTTCGCTTTGTTTTATTTCATCCTGGCGTTTCTGCTCATCAATAATATCATTTTCAAGAGAAGTCAAACAAGCTCTCAATTCTTCTTCAGTATATTTTTTTTCCTCGGGAGCATTTTTCAGACATTTAAATTTTGAATGTTTTGTAGGAGTACCCTCTTGGGATTTTGATATTAATTCTTCAAACATGTTTCGTTTATCTTTTACAGATCTATACGTTTCAACCAAATCGTCCTCAAACTCTGGTGGAATATAATCTGATTTTTCAGGTTTAGACTCTTCTGTATAATTTTCATCTTCGATATTTTCTGCAGCAAATATTTTTTGCAGCTCAGCGATTTTTTTACCAATGTGTTTTGTAGGGGTTGATGTTGCAGTTTTACTAATGCTTGAAGACTTTTCACTAAAATCTTCAATTTGCTCTTTGACAATATTTTCACTTATGGATTCCATTTTATAATCATCGTCGTCCACTTGTGCTAACGTTTCTGTTGATGCTCTCATAACTTCTTCTTCCTTCATGCTGGATAATTCATCTTCAGAATCAATTATATCTCTTCTTTTTCGCTTCAGTTCGCTTTTGTAAGTTTGTTTTACGGCTTGCTCCTCTATCATTCGCACTTTTGCACGTACATCTCCAGACCCCCTTCTTCTTAGTAGTATATCTTCTTCTTTTAGCATATCTGTACCTGATAAAGAAATACTTTCTTCTATTTTAATGGGACTGTTAGAGGCATCTTTTGTATCTATATGATCGGTAATAGTTCCTGCTTCAGAAGTATCTATTTGTGAAATTAGTGCTGAAGTAGTTTCGGGAAAGTCAATAGGACTTGTTCCGGTGTCTATTAGATGGGTTGTATCTTCACTTTCTTGATGAATCGTATCATCTGCTTGAATTGGGCTTAATCCGGCATCAGTGCATTCGCCTTCTTCGATTTCATTTGTATCCGAAATAAAACCGGTTGTTTGGGCACCCGCATGGCATTCTTGAATATGTTTTCCTAAACTCAAAGTTTCTGTGGCGGTACCTCTAGTCAGTGAAATACCAGTGTCAGTGATATGATGAGAAACACTATCTTCACTTACAGAAGTAGTTAAATCAGCCAAGTTAGCTACAGTTTCGTAAGTATAAATCTGCTTAGTCCCGCTAAAATTGACGCATTCTTCGCGTTTTTTAATATCTATTGGCTCAGTAGTAGAGGGCAATAACTTTTCGGTTATAACAGATTTTTTAGAAACATTAAATTTTTCAGTATCCGTAGTAGATGATAAACCAATATCAAATTTCTGCGAAGTTTCAACTCCATCGTTATCACGTTTAACAGTTGTCACCGATATATGAGATTGGGATTTAATAGAAATTTCAATATCTTTACGACCATATAACGTTAATCTACTTTCTGCCGTAGCCGACGCATCTTTAGTTCTAACTTCCTTACGTCCAATTATTAGTTCTAGGCTGGGTTTATTAGAATTAATCACAGGAGAATCAGGGCTTGAATATAAGTCATTCTTAGAAAGAGGTGATGTACTTTTATTAACTTGTTTAATGTTTTCTTTAGAGATATGTTCAGTCGGCGATGCTGTTTCCTTTTCTTCACTGACTTCGTTCGTTACTGTTTTAGAATGAGACGCTTCCTTATTAGAAATCTCAGTAGTAATATTTGTAGTGTTTTCTTTATAAGAAATGGAAATATTATTAGGTGTCGATTTTAGACACACCTTTTCTTCAGACGGGAGCCCAGTTTTACCAGCCCCACCGTGCAATCTTTCAACAGTCTTTCTCTCTTTTCTCTCCCAGTCTTCAGGTCTCTTCGAATCTTTAGCACCCTTTTCTTCGGGAGACGAATAACTTTTTATATCTAAATCATCAGGGCGAACCGATTCTTTTTCATTCGACTTAAAATTACTTAAATCTACTTTCGCAATTCCAATTAAGTTACTATTTTTAGTGGAAGGCAATTTATCTGAGGTAGTCTCAATACTATCTATCACATCTGTGTTGTCTAAGTCTTCAGTAGAGGCCAATCGTTTCCGTTGGCCGACGAAAAGTTTAGATTGGTGTTGGTAATATCTAGCAACGTCGTCGTATGGTGTAACCTCTTGTATATCTATATCGTAACTTTCTTCGCGCCGAGAGTCAAAATCTTCCAGAAGGTCGGAGTTGGTGTGAAGGGAAATTTCACCCGGAGTCGGTGTTTCTAATAGGCACTGACCTTCGCGAAACCCGTCAGTATCCAAAGAGTCATCGTCATCTTGCGGTGACGCACTTGACGCTGTCGTGGGGTACAAAAACAAGGTTGTTATTGAAACCACAATTATTATAGATATGTAAATTGTTTTTCGCGTCGGTTTAGATTAATTATGTGCAACTGACATAAAATGTACGCTGATCAGAAAATAAATCATAGACTCATCTCTCGCACATACATGATACATGAAACAAGGATAGTGTACAAGTTTGAAATGGACAGAAAAAAATGGAGTGGATACGACAGCGAATCGGATAAATATAAAGCCGCTATGACATTCCGCAATAATCTGAAAAGCCTCTACGATAAATAGCATTTGTTTTCGAAAGCAATCGCAGAGAAAATTTCTGTTTTAAAAAATTTGCTATGCCCAGTACTAGCTGCAAGGTAAAAGCGAAAGGAGACATTTGGTAGACCTAGTTGTCTGTTCAGAATATGTTTGGTTTCCTTGCCTCCAAATTTAGTTACTGACCTTTATGTAGCCTTTGCTACTAGAAGTCCAAGACCGGAGACAGACTAGTATTGCATATTTTGCTCTTTTAATCTGTTACTACTATGTACCAAAAAGTTTATAAATATATAGACACGTAATTATTTTTAATGAGATATAAAAGAGCAAAATGCACAATCATGCAGACACAAAAACACGAAAAAAATCTTAATTTACCAGTTAACCAATATTCCTGGAGTTTGCAAAAACGGTGTCAATTCGATAATCGTCGTAATAGACCAGAGTTTGATATATTTTTTTTACTTTACAATTAAATAATTTGTGTTTACATTTAAAGGTTTCGGTGTTAATGGAATGGAAACTGTGCAGATAAACATAGAAGGTGGATCATCTTTAAGTAATTTAAGAAATACTTATTTTTAACAAAAGTTAAAAATAAGTCATTAAACTACTTCCAGTTTTTTTTTGTAAAGGCAGGTGTTTTACGCATTTATTCACAAATCACACAGCGATATATAATAATAATCAATCGCAAATACTCAAATTATCTACTAGGCATGCTAAAATCAAAGATTATGGATAACATATTAAAAATTATCTATATTAAAAAGGTTTAGCTACATATTCGAAATTATCGAAAAATTAAAGTAAATAAATCATTATTAAACTAGAAACGTTACATATTACATATCATTACAAATCAGATATGTAAATATTTTTAAATCGTCAATTGCATAACATAAAATGATCATATCATTGAGTGAGAATACTACCAATACTATAATTTTTCAATAATTGTTTTGTAGTATAAAAGGAGAAAAATATGAAATGGTTTTTATTATTTAATTTATCAGAATGTGATGCCTAATAACCAGCTAATTTGTTAATTATTATATTATTAATTATTTTCTTATTACTTTTTGCTGTACAGACAAGGCAATCTGTTTAATTCCATTTACAGATAATATAAATTATAAAAAAATATCAGTTGACAATAATGAAAATAGTATTCTGGATGATTATATGATTTTATAATCGAGTGGGCAATGAATGCTTAGAGATAAATGAAAATTATTCAATGAAACTTTATAAACGTGATTTGTTTTACATGAATTTGATATAAATGCAATATATTTTATAATATGTAGCATGTTACTCTGCCTCTAAAATATTCCATTACTCATTACATATTATATTGAGAAATTTATACAGTTAAAATACAGTGTAACAAAAAGACGGCGTCTAGTTGGCTTGTAAAAATTAAATGAGAGCATTATTCATTTGCAAGCCAACTCAGACGACAATTGTAATTCGATTATACACAGAGTTTTTATATTGTATTAAAAAAAATACAAATCTAACAATTTAATATCGAACTACTGCTATTTTATATTGTAATTAAAGAAAATACGATCAAAAGCTAGATAAGTAAAATAATAGTTTAAAAAGCAAACTTAAGAAAGAAAAAGCAAAAGCAAAACCTCATTCTACTCTTCAGGCATGATTTATTTTCTGTTAGTATGGTTAGTTCCTTAATCAAAATTTTTGTTAGTTAATAAAGTTGAACTTTGCACAAGCTGTTAAAGCTGTTAAAGCACTCAAGTTGCACATTTAGTGTCAGGTGGAATTGATATTATCGATTATCGTGTTTTATAATACTCCATCCAAAACGATCGATTCTCACAAAACGTGTTAAGATTTATCGAATACAATAAACAAAAAAAAAATACAAAAGCGTGTTAATTCGTTTTGAATGAATTTAACCAGTGTTGTTAAACAAGGGTAACAAGGGTTTTTAGACAAAGCAATATAATTCTACAGCTTGACTTTATCTAAAAATATTTTCAGAATAAATTTATTTGAAAAAGTTCGGATTAAAATAACTAAACAAAAACTGTTTAACCGCCTGCAAACTCCATGGAATGTGGCATATCAATAAATGGGATACATGATAGTTTCAAAAAGTTATAATACATTCTTAAATCTAATAATACTTACCAATCCAGCTGGCTAAATATCTAAAAATGTTAACTATTTGCTTGTATAAACTTAGTGTCCTCAGTAAAGTATAAGAATCAACTAAATAGAAAAATAATTTGAACTTGTCTAATCCAATTGAGAACTTAAGGAAGCCGTATATCGCGTCAGTACACAATTTAATAATAAAAAAATCAATGATACACTCTTAACATTGACATTTAATTTTAATCCGTTTTAGAAAAATAGTTACAAACAAAACTTATCTGCGAAATATTATAGAAAGTTTATATTGATATGCCACATTTATATTTAAAATACTCAATTTATATACATTTTAACATAATAATACCTACATATTCTGTTAATCAGGTTTAAAGAAAACTGTTGAAACAAAAATCTTCTGTAGGCCATAAAATTGGAGGTAAAAATATTTTTGTAGATGCATAAAATACTTGTATGAGTATTTTAAATATACATCTCTACTAAGCTCTTTGCCGTATTTGTGTAAACTAGAGTAAAATTGAATAAAAAAAACCTACCTTGGATCGAAGCTGGCTGTTTTTGTAAAAAGTCAGCTGGGCTAGGCGGTGGTGTTTTGGAAAATTTCGGTGATTTTATATCTATAATTTAAAAATACAATGTATAAAGTACACTAATATTTTTCAAGTTATATCGTACCTTCACGTGTTAGTGGTTTATCAGCAGATTCTGCGAATCTTGAAGTAACTCCCTTTGCTAACTGAGATTCATCTCCTGGGATGTGCGTTTGAACATTAGAAATTGTAGAATCTGATGGTAGCGTGGTTTTTACTTCTACAGTTTCCAACACATGTATTTTCGTTTCAGGTCTAAACGTAACGTCCGGCGTGTCTAAGTCGACCTATAAAAAACAATAAGAGTGAAAAGTATGTAAGAAAAAGAAATTAGTAAAATAACAGCTTCGCGAAGAGATAAAGACATTATTAGGGATTGTATTACCGCTTTATTGATTTACCGGTTAAAATGTACTAAAAACGCGGTAAAATATTACCGGCACATCATCTTCAAAGACCGGTAACTTCAGTAATCATTAAAAAAAGTAATATTACACACCAGGCTAGAAGCCAGAAGCCAAATTTTCCAGCACTCAGGAAATATTAGAGGCCGAAGCCTTTATTTGGAACTTTTATTACGATTGCACTAGATTTATTACAATATTCATCCAATATAATACTACAAAATAAAACACTAAATCACCACAATACACCAAAACACTTTTACACCTTTTTTAAGTAAAAGTGTTTTGGTGTATTGTGGTGATTTAGTGTTTTATTTTGCTGTTGTAACACCGAAGGTTCCAACCCCCCAACTGTAATCTACGTTATTATCTATACAGGGTGGTCCGAATTGTATTCCGGAAGCTTCGGCAGCATATTCTGCAGATAAAAATAAGTAAAAAAGTTCGTGTATGTCCTAAAATGCTTAGTTTCGGAGATACAGGGTGTAGAAGTTTCATTTTTATTTCAATTTTTTCCAAATAATCTCTAAAGTAACGTCAATATTTAGATGAAAATTAGTGGATGGGTGTTTTTTGACATGAGAAATTTGATTTTGATGTCAATATGACTCCCATTTGTAGGTGGCGCCACCTACATGTGTTTTAACTGTTTTGAAGAGTAATAACTTTTCGTCGGTACCTGTATAAAACTACTGAGTAAAAAAATATACATTTGCATTACATAAAAAAGGTCTCTTGGTAAAAATCGCTACGAGTAATGGTTCTCGAGATATTTGGAATCGAAATTATCAATACCTGTCATCATTGACATAAATTAAAAATGTTGAGTAAATAGTAAGTAGACTGAAATCATAAATTTGAAATCTTTTTGTGTCAAAAGTTCAAAAGAAATTGTTTAATCATCATTTTTTCGCAGAAAAACTTATGATTAATTTAAAAAAATAAAAATTTATTATTTCAGTCAAATAACTATACTCAACGTGTGCTTATTTTTTGTCAATAATGACATGTATTGACTATTTCCATTCTAAATATCTTGAGAACGGTTGCTCGTAGCTATTTTTACCAAGAGACATTTTTTACATAAAAGGTCATGAAAATGTATATTTTTTTAGTCAGTAGTTTTATACAGGTACGGTCGAAAAGTTATTACTCTTCAAAACAGTTAAAACACATGTAAGTGGCACCCCCTACAAATAGGAGTAATGTTGACATCAAAATCAAATTTCTCGTGTCACAATACTCCCAGATACCAATCTTCATCCAAATATTGAGGTTACTTCAGAAATTATTTGGAAAAAATCGAAATAAAAATGAAACTTCTACACCCTGTATCTCCGAAACTAAGCATTTTAGGACATACATTTATACGAACTTTTTTACTTATTTTTATCTGCAGAATATGCTGTCAAAGTTTCCGGAATACAATTCGGACCACCCTGTATTTATATTATAATTTATATTATTACCGTTTTCAAGAAATCTCCATTAAATATATTATTTAGAATTAGTTATATTGTTTAGAAAATAATATGGTTTTTAATTTCAGCATTGCAACCAATAAAAGTTGCTGTGGAACAGTTTATAATAGATTTTTCTTTAAAATATAGGATAGCTAACTGATCAAATCAGAACACAACCCTTTAAGTATCGAGTGTCAATGTCCTGCAATACTTATGAATATAAATAGAGTCAAATCCGCGATAACAGTTTAGAGATAATAGTGTAGAGTATTTTCGATGACAATTGGAAATACTAGGACTTTTAATTCGTCCACAAAGACAGTACTAAAATTAAGTATTATATCCTATTCCAAAAGACTTTTGAAAAGCTGTAACTAGTTCAATCGCCATCTCAAAGTTCAAAATAAAAAAAAATCGAACACGAACGCTAATGGTATTGATAAATTCGTTAATTCTCAGTTATAACTCAGTTTTGAATAAGGTCAAAATTGAATTGCGCTAATTCCAGTTCCTTCAACATTGATACATTGTCGATTAATGAAAATCTGTACTTGCAATATAAAAAATTTAACCAGCTGTAAAACATATAACATCTATGCTTATTGCACAAACATTGAAATCAATTGCAATATTTTTAGCCAGAAGGATTTAGAGGAAGTATTTGAAAATGCTGTTTTAATTTTACAAAGATTGGCCGCTAGTTCTGAGGAAAGAAACGGTAAATTGAAAAGTTGGTAAATTAGTAATCCCTTGATATTATCACTAGTATTTATCCCCCGTAAAGTAAATTTAAGAAATAGGAAATGGAGCAAAAGTATTTTTTTACTAGATACCGGTATCACAGTAATGTTAGTAATATAGCTACCTTTTGTTGTACTTCGGCTATTTTGTCTTCGACCAGACTCTGTCGCTTGATGGTGCTGATTTCCTGAACGATTTCACGGCGCTGTGAAGACGCTGGAATGGCCCTTTCAGCAGACAGGCGTTTTTCAATTTGTTCACGCCTCTCCGTTACGGTTTTGTCAAAATTATCCTCTTCTTCCGATTCTGACTTCTCGACGAACTTTTCTTCGGCCGAATACTTGTCGTAATGTTCTATAATCTTCTTTTTATCTAAGTAAGTAATAATACAGTATAAGAAATTAGATAGGGCACACTTACATCAATTTTACTTGCAAACCCTTTATAAGAGTAGCTCTCATTTGATAATTTTTTTTATTTTTATTTTTCAATAATATTTAGAAAAATGCATATAAAAGAATATTTTTTGTAAATTACTATTGCGTAGAATCCAAACAGAAACCAGCTTGTCAGTGAATAGAAATTTGCCTAACCAACAAAATGCTGTATATTTCGGGAGTATATCTTCCACCATCCTCCATAAAAAAACAAAAAGAACAAATAGAAATAAATAATAACAAAATATATAAAAGACAATTTACAATGTCTGGCCTAAATACAACTCAGAAGTGAAAAAAACGGTTTAATTTTTTAGCAGACACCTCTATTATAACCGTTGCCATTCTGATAAAGTCATATTAATTACTTAAAATCAAACTTCAAATTAAATATTATTACCTGTTAACAGTTACCTAAAGAGGTAAAACCAAAATCTTAAATTATTTGTATATGAAATATTTTCTATTTTTATTGTGAAGATTTATGTGGGGTTGCTTAAAAAAATATCTAAGAAGCAGTAGCCACAAATTACTAACAACTACAGATGCCTGAGTAATATCCTTGTAATATATTGATTTTGATTGAACTAAATAAGCCTCTTTTATTTTTTTGAAGGCTATCGGTTTTTTCATTATTTTGTATTCGAGAAAAGATAAACAAAGGGCGCCAACATATTTGTAGATTGTTTGGTGCAAGCAAGAAAATTATAAAAAGAGTATTTGTAAAACGTAAAATGTTTGATGGTAAACGAAAAATGTTTGTTGATTGTTTTGTAAATGTTTGTTGGTCAAGTAAATTTGTTTTATTGGCTAAAAAGCTAGTTGCGATTTGGTTTCTACGTAGAGGTTTTTTACATAAAATATTTTTGTTTATTTTCTAGAATACGTTTTTTGAGTGGCAAGTAATTGCTATACTTTATGGCGGTGTGTATATATTTCACCATAAAGTATAGCAATTATTTGATATTCACATTCGCTAACTCAAAATTTGCTATAATAGTAACTAAAGTTGGTAAATATAATTGTTTACTAGAACGTACCGGAAACTTCCTTGTCCATCTTTTTCAGCCTATATCCTATTTCTTCTTCCTTAATTCTAGTAATCACATGACTAGGTGGTTCAACATTGAGGCACTGCGGTATAATATCTTCCCTTCCAATCCTTCTCAAGGCATTTTCTAAAGTATTAGTCTGGGCTTTGTTGCTAGATTGGGAGAGCCACATACGTAGCATCGACTGGGCTTGTTTCGCGATACTTTCCGGGTATTCAGATTTTATCACGTTGATCTCAGATGAGGTAAGTCCTTTAAGATATGATAAAAATAAATAATTTTTTATTTTAAGATCTTGTATTCCTCATTTTTAAACTTGATTAATTTCTCAATGATCTTTAGATTGAATAAAATGTATTGTATGTTTCTCTGAATTTGAATGTATTGTATGTCTGCCTGTTTTTAATTTATTGTTAATAAGTAAAAAATAACAAAATGTAGCTTGTTAAAAGTGAGACAAACTAAAGTGCTCCTATAACAGGATAGCATGACAATAAATAAGAGTCACATTGTTTTGTTTATTGAGATTACTAATACTTACCAAGTTGATGGGCGAGTTCAACCCAGTCTTCTCCCAATAAATTACTCATGTCCGCTAATCTAGGATCAGGTCGATAGTAATCTTGGAACTCTGACAGGTACATGTGTCGTTTACCAGTCTCTGAATCAGTCAAAGATATGGTATCGGTAACTATGTCGTCGGGAAGGACAATATTTAGAATGCAGATGGGTTGTTGTGGAGGTTCACCTTTGGGTACCTGAAATAAAAAGACAATTTTTTCATACAATCTATAATCGTAACAAATTGCCGTTGATCAAGCTTTTGAATTTTTATTAATTAAATAAAATATGTACTATTTTATATAAACGATAGAAACTTTCTTTAGATATAAAAGCAGTAAATAAAATTTGAATTTATGATTCAAAAATTATAATACAAGTCTCCATCACAAAGCAAAAAAAATATTAAAAAACAAATTCATTATTTCGGATTAGCCAAAAGTATGGACCCAGCTAAATATCTGAAAAAACGGTAATGCGATATTTTTTAGATATTTAGCATGGTCAGACTTTTGATTAACCCGGTGTATTAATACTGTAATTTTTACTGGCCAGATTTTATGTAATTTACAATATTAGTTACTTTAACCTATTACAGCTCTAAGTTTAAACTTTTGTGGTTTCGCTTTTAGCTTTTGTGGCGTAGTTATGTAGATATTCTCTATTTCTTATTAGTTATAGAGTTCGGAACATAGGTTCGGAATATTCATACTTGCTTATTTAGCCAATCGAAATTCAGGAATTAATTTAACTTAATTAAATATATACTACAAATAATTTCACCCAATGTTTTTGTTTCTGAAACGAAACAAATATAAATATTTGCTATAATACTATACTATAATAAGTAATCCAATTGTTTAAAATTTCACCTTACTTTCTTTTTTTTAGTTATAATTAAAAAATCAACTAGCTCAGTTCGAATGAAAAGTCTTTACAAAGAATTTGGAAGTAAAAATGTGAAGAAGTATGAAAATTATGATGTATTATCATAACACAGGATGAAGTAATTACTACTTAACGGTATGTACCTATATATTTCTGTTATTGAATAATGAAAAATTATTCATGGCCTAGACTTTGACTTAACTTTAGTAATCCAGACAAGAGTTTCTAGGGTTTCACTCAGCAGAAGTAACACGACTTATTACACATGAATGAATACAATTATTGATTACTTTGTTTTCATACAAAATTTTGCCGTAATATCAATTCAACTGACCCATATGAATTATGTCGAAGTTAGTCATCAAAATGAGTTTTATGTCTTACAAAACGATTCTATTTAATTATTTTCCGTAATTATTAATAACACAGTTATTCCAAATATTCTAAACAAGTTTTACTTTTTATATGTTATGCTTCATTTCCAAAACGGCGTGGCATGTAAAAGTTTAAAAAATGTTATTGCTAACATTTCTTTTAAAACACTCAACACTTTAAAATTTTTTATGAAAAATAAAATTTGAGTAGAAAATCTCGGAATTAAAAAATACATCAAATCAACTACATTACATCGAATTAGATATACATGTCCAAAATTATTGCATATCGATAACTTGGAACTATATAACTAACTTATAATATAATATAAAATAATATATCCTGGAACGTCTTTTCATTTTACCAAACACACACACATTCATATGCAATAATTTGGACATATTGGAAACCCTTTCTAATCATATTAGTTTCATCAGCAGAAGATTAGAAATGTTTTAATCCCCTGTTGACAATGCCAACCTAACCAAATTTTTACCTTGGCTTCTCTCATGAACAAACATCTTCCCACTGCTTCTGCGTGTTGGTCTTTGACCCTAACAGAAAATGGTAATCTGTTTTCCCTAAAAGCTCTGAACGCGAACTGCAACTGCTCCCCACTCTTCGTAATAGGTACCAGATTTCCAGCAAACTCGACGTACTGAGACTTTCCCTCCAACACTTCCACGTCTCGACTTTTAGCCACCTCTGTAAAGTGTTCTTGATGTTCCAGGGTCTTATCCTCCTTGTCGTCTGTCATACAGAATACTCTCAGTCTCGCTTCCAGAGGATCGACCCGTTTCGCGAATACCACGAATTTGGCCATGAATGGTACGTGAATGGCTTCCCTAAAAATATCACAATACCTCATAAATTTATTATTTATTTTATCGTTACAAAAGTGATCAAATTCCCTCATTTGTACACTAAATTTAGAAGGCTTGTTCTTATTTACATAAATAAAAAATAAATATAAAAATACACTGATCAGCACAAAAACGGGCATTTTTTCACAGAATCTTAGTGCATTTCAAAGTTCAATTTGGTTCTAGTAGTTCAACCAAATTATTTGAATTTTTTGCCCCTTTTTAATTTAAAATTCAGTTCCCACTTTCTATTATACGAGGAAAAAAATATTGTTATTTTGACGAATGTGTGAAACACCCTGCGCAACGGTTTAACATCGTCACGAATCTAAAAACCACATTATCATTAAGGTGCATGCTTTCTCCATGGTTTTTTCTTATTCATCTCAATAGCTTTTTTGTTGGAGATATTTCCTTTTCAAGAAGACAGTGCCGATCAACAGTAATTTTACCATTAAAATAATGCATTTGTTTATGGTCATAATCAGCGCACCAATGAAATAGTGTTAATTGTTTTTGTAATATCACTTTCATTAAAGAGTCATACCATTATTGTTTGTCGGCAATGACTCTAGCAGAGTTTTTTCGGGTCTAGAAGTTTTATCGGGTACTGTTGCTTTAATTGGACACGGTGATGATCAACTTGGACTTGCAAAAACAGTTGATTTTGAGCAGAGATAATGGAAAACTATCTCTACTAGAGTAACTACCAACAAACAAAAACAAAACGTTGATAATAGTTTTACAATATCATTCAAAAGCAAAATCTTCAACAAAAAGAACTATTAAGATGAATCAAAAAACATACTAGCATGAGTATACATCTTTATACTAAAGAGATTTTAAATTCCTTACTTCGCTAAATCATTCCACAGGGTGTTTCAAACATTTACCAAAATAAGAGCATTTTGCTATTACTTTGTAGAATGGACAGATAAGATTTTAATTTTTAATTGAAAAACATTATTTGAAAAAGAGGTCAAATAGTTAAATAATTGCAAAAAAAATAAACAAATTACTTAAAAAATCACCATAATAGGCCCTCTAGAATAAAACATATTGATCTTTAACCAACATGAAATCTTTAAAGTGTCCATTTTCCATTTCGGTCAGTGTAGTCATGTAGTCATCTGTTTCATGAAGAGGTAATATTATTGAGAAAGAAACTAAATTATAAGTCATTAAAAAGCTGTGGTCATTGAAAAACTCTGTTTATAAAATTAATAATTTTTGTAAATTTTTGGATAAACGAATTAACTTTATTTAAGAAAACTTGTGATTAAAGCATCACATAAAAATTATTAAGCACCAACAGATAACAAAATTAGAAGTGGCCAAAATAAATGTTTTTCTTAATATAGTACGTATAAGAAACAGTCTTAATCGACTATACTTCAATACATCAACGTTTGCAGAATTTGAAAATGTTTATCACGCCATTTTCTGCAACTATTATCAAACCAATCCATAAGTAATATAAAAAATGCTTACTTATACAGTTCAGTAGCCATTTTCGTCGCATCTCCAATGTTTCTACAGTCGATGAGCCAAAATCGAGCAGATACAGTTGTCGTGAAGGACACCACGTCGTTGACGAATGTCAAAGGTGTGGATCCGGTAACGTCTTCCCATTGCGCTCTAGTTGTTCCACCTTTTTAATAATAAAATAATGTTAAGCAAGATTTTCTATAGCATTTTTGTCTCAACATTTATATAAGTAGGTATATAAAAATTGTAAATTGGGCATTATGTTTCGAAATACAATGAATATTTGTTTCATGCACTAACTTTAACATACATGTAATTCAATACGAAATATTTTATATTGTTTTAAAGGTGGATTTTCATAGCAATTCACTGCTATAGTAGCGAGTGATTTAGGCGATAAACAGGTCCTATAGTTCTCCATGTTATTATTACAACATGGAAAACATACTAAACATATTTATCTTTTGGGATGCACAATTTTTATTTACTATAAATTATAGCAAGGAATAAATTTATGAGGAATATTTATCATTTTGACGTAACTGGGCGGTTTTTTTGGTTAGCGAAATTGTTTTTTTTAAGAGCCATCGAGTAGTTTATTGGATCCCAAATCCAGTATCATTTTTCAAAACAAAAACATAAACTTTTAACATTTGTGCTTTATTATTTGATGATTCCCTATTTCCAGTAATGAAACCGCTATTAAAGTGTGCAGTATTTAGCTTTACAAATAAAATAGTTTAGCAAAACATCTAAACTCAATTAGAGTCACTAATTTGATGAAGAAATTGTCATTTAAATAAAAAAATAATGATCTCTATTTTATTTTTCTGAGGACGATCCCAAGTAGAGTAATTTTTTCTTTAGTTGGTACACTATAATGGATATCTTTTTTGTATCCTTATTATTCTGCGGTAATTCAATTTGTTTTTTGAAGAATGGAGTTTCAGAACGTGGAAAAAAATAAAAATATAATATTAAATTTAATAATAAAAATATTACAATAATTTAAATGACAGACACTTGTGGAAGCCAAATATCTAATTCAATTACAGTAATCATAATTTTCACTATTTTTTTAATTTTTATTTCCATATTCTTTACTAACCTTTTAAAGCTCTTTTCAAAAGACACAAATTTTATCCATTATATTGATGGCAATAAAATTTCAACAAAAATATCAGATTGGGATTGTTGAATTAAATTATGATTGTCCAAATATCTTAGAACAACTCTCAGTTAAAAGTTATGAATTATTTTAGAAAAGTATAGGTATGTGTTATAAATAAACACCATCATAGAGCATCTAAGAATTGAAATGTGATATCCTACAAAACTTGTCCCGTGTAATCCTACAAAACTTCATGAACTCATAAAAATATACTATAAATTATTTAACTATTGACTTTTTTTTATTAATGTCAATAACGGTTGACACTATCTTTTTCCAAATGATTGTGCCAAAGCCAATGTTTTTCCTCAAACAGGATATTGCTTTAACAGTGAACTGCTATAAGAAATTGTCTTTACCAAACATGCCTCCTTATATTCTTAATTTCGTAAGTTTAAATGAAATAATATTATGCAGAAATTTACAGTATCTATTACAATACTTCATAATTTTTTTATTAACAATCGTATCAAATACCTTCATATATATTTTTTAAGAATATTTCTTTCTTGATTTACGGTAAAAATCGTATCGAAAAATACTAAATCTGTAAATATTTTCCTTAATCTTCCACATTCCACAACTAAATATTACAAAATATGAAATAAAATTACCATTAGTTACTGTGATATAAGCTAAATCATCTAATGAATTAAAATGAAGCGATGCAGGTGTAAAGCATTAACAAGAAGCCAAGCAATTCATTCGATCGGTTTCAGAAAAGACCAGTCGCGTGGCAACTAACTTCCGACAAACTTTTTTTCAACAATACGTTGGTAATTTTGATGGCAAAAGTACGACTGATCTGACGGACACAAAGGGACCAAGAAATGTATAAAAAACAAAAATAAAATAGTATTGTTAACATAAGAAATAACGTATGCAGCAAATCTATCTTAAGGTGAGAAATTGCAATATAATTTGTGTTTCGTGATCTCTTAAAAAATAAATATATAAAATTTAAGTAGAACGAAAAAAATATTACGACTAAAAGGCAAAAAAATTAAATAGTAGACGAGTAACTCAAGTAATATACACAGCTAGTTGCTTCCATACACTATTATTTAAATATTGTATCATGTACAACAAATTTTCGAAAATAAAAACGAAAAAAATAATTGCTAAATTTTAAATGAAAATCGAAGCCAAATCGTTTCGAATATTAAAAGAAAAAACAAAAATAAATAAAAAACAAAACTGCGTACGTCCATCTCTCGCATTCCTAATAATAAATATCCATTTAGATGGAAAAATATAACATAAAAATATAAATAAATCAGATAAAGATGTACATTCTAAAGGGGGCAGCCCAAAATAGTTTTAGTTAGTTACCTTTGAGAGATCTTTTCCGAAACACCCCTGATGGGACCCCGCGTGGAAATTTTAAATAATAGCGCATTAGTTTAGTCTGGTATAGTGATGGAATTTGTTAAAGGGTCTTTTGTAAACACTAAACGCATAATACAATATTACTAATTGATATATGAGAATATTTATCAAAATCATAAACACTTGTTTATACAGTGTCTCTATTATCCCAATTGCTATTGTAAAATAGACATTCTGAAGAAAATTTGAGATCGCAATTAATACCAAAGTAATTTTGTATTGACTGGAACTTGATTCATTCGAAGTTATTTAAATGAACAGGATGAACCAAAATCACGATATGTTCGTCGCAATGTCTCTTATATGTCTCGATGTGAATATTATCACGATAATAGGGCAATTAATGTCACTAATTTCATTAATGCCATTAACTAGGCCAATTGTAGTTAAAAATGTTAACAGGTTAGCAATTTAGTAGGTACTATGGAGTTCTAATAAGATTACCAATTAATTAAATTTTTTACTTGGTAAGTGATCTTGTAGTCAAAGAAATTATACAGACCAATTTATTTTCTAAATTGCCTGATTTCCTGCAGATCACTAGAATTTACTAAAATATCGCAAGCGGATTCATGAATGGAGATCTTTAATCGACGAAATGTGAAAATATAAATAACAAAATTTTATTTGATGTTTGAACATACATAACATCAATTTGTCTAAAAACGAAACCAGATTTATACATTCACACAACCAGCATTTTGGTGTGAATCATATATAAAAACATTCTATAATATGGTGATTGTAATTCAGCCTGTAGTAGCAAATAACTTAGTAGACAAAAAAAATAATTTTTAAATCTAAAATACGAAACCCCTATTAATTTAAAAAAATAAACCTTCGTGGCTCCTAATTTTTTGCACTTACGGATTTACACCCTGTAAGAGAAGTTTTCATTACCTTGACTTGGCAATAATACGTTGACATCTAGTTCTGGTATAACTGAAAATTATGGAAGACCAAAAATATTTTAAACGATTGGTCCTCAGGAGCATTATTGCAATCTCAAAATACATGTTCTGTTCTACTTAAACTTTATAATGACTAGAATGGATTCGTATAATTTTCACCTAAGGTTATTTTAATAAAATGCTGCGATATAATATGACTTCAACTTGTATATTAACCCATAGTTCAGGGTGGCATATTTATCTTCATACGATTTTTGAGCAAAAAAATATTTTGTTTGTATGGATAAAATAACTGATAACTGATAATGCTACGATATTTAATGCATAATTTCGATAAATATAGCGTTAAGTAAGAAAATATTAACTGACTATTAAGTGATTTAAAATAACTAATGACAGGTACCCTAAACTAACCTACTTTCTTCTAAGTAACTATTACTTAGAAAGTTTACAGTCTAAGAGGGCAAAAGTTTTACAAAAGACCCCGATCAACGTCACTATAGAAAAAGAAAAACCTTACGAGTAGTGAGGATTAGCACAGTAACTTTCCTTACATAAAGCGCGAGGCTGGCAAACTTCCTATCTAGAATTACGAATTGGCAAAAAACAATGTAACAGATGGTACTATTAATGTTTAGAACGACTCATATTATTACTCTGTAGCATATATACATGCTCTAGCCTAAATTCGATAAGTACCACTGATCTAACTAGAATATTCCTTAGCTACTCATCTATATCTACTATCTAGGGCCTTCTAACTTAAAAAGGGGCCGGATGTTGAACAAGAAAATGTAAGAAATTAGTAAAAAATATCGTCTACTTAGAAAACAAAAACGTTGTCAAAGCTTGCCAACCCCTTAACAACAAAAAAAAACGAATTTACAAAAAAATACAAGGACACAACACAACACCAAGACAAATGGTTTAGTAGAAAAATTTTGAAATAAAAATATTTTTGAATATCTAAAAAAAGATTATGTAATTATGGTTTTGACCTAGCTTAGTAATAAATATAAAAATCTATAACTTAATCTAATAGATAATTTTATATTTGTTACATATAAAAAATATCAGTGATATTAAAAACAACATATACATCAAGAAGGTACTTTACCTGTTAAAATTGGCCCCACGTTGGGCTTCAAAAATACAATATGGAAGTGGAATAAAAGAAATTGGAGTATTATTTTACTCATTTTTGTATTAAAGTATTAAAATTGAACGGGTTTTACATGTTATAGAAAATTTCAAAATCTAAGACCTGCGTCAAGACGTCGCGCGTCGTTGATGAATGCTCTACGTTTTCTGCTATACTTGCAAGCAAGCGTGGAATATTTTTATATGTTACAAGGATAATTAAATAGTATAATGTCAGATAAATAATATTGACAGAAATATCGAGTAATCTTTAAACAAGGAGGAAGCTTGTATCTAATTCTGAAACACAGATTTATACATATTCTTTGACCAAAACATTTTAATATCACTGTCATCTTGATTCTAAATTAAGTAAATTAAATTTAGAAAAATGAGTGGGGTTTTATTTACCTGTTATCGAACAGAGCAATCTTAATGTGGGCGCGGATCCACTGTATTGATTGATCATGCCTTGTGAATGGGCTGTTGGTACTGGCATATTCAGTCGTATGGCTTTGTGGAATTTTCTTCTGCGTGGCTCGACAGTGACCACAGGTGATACGGCAACGCCATGGCCTAACAGTTTGGCCGTTAGTTCTGGATCAATAGGTTGAGCCTAGTGACACAATACCATATATCGGTAATGAGCATTACAATTTAAAATTATTATTAATTTACTTTAGGCAGATTAAACTAAATATGTTCATAATTTCAAAGCGAATATAATATGATAAATAAATATACATTTTAAGGTCACATCGCCTGAATTATCTCGATAAATTTCGTTAGAGTAGAGTAAATTTAGAAACTACAAGAACAACTTTATAAAACAGAATTTGCCAATCCTTCAATGTTAATAAATCAATAACACTAAAAGGTAATTGTAGGTATTAAAATAAAAGGCAATTTATTAAATATAATTATACAAACATTTTCACTAGTGAATAATCATAATAAGTCAAATTCAAAATATGAATTTGACTATATGTATACTATGCTGAAAATATGCGGCCATACATTTTTCAGAAGCTCATACAAAGTTGTTCAAGATATTGAATAATAGTTAATATTTCTAGAAGTATATAAGTATCTCCTAAATAGAGGGGAAAATTTAAAATATTAACTAGGTATTTTGAGAATATGTATTACTTTATTAAAATACTTTAAAGTTTTAAGTTTTTTGACTTTTTGGGATAAACTCGTTAAAAAGTTAGGTTTTTTGTTGGTTAGAAAACCTAACCTTACATTATAGACTTAAACTTATTTTATAGAGTTAGTCTTATAAGTTAAAATTTCACAGAAATTCTGTAATGTAAAATTAAATTATTCAATGTTGTAAAATTTATTCATTATACAAAGTGAAACAAAAAATATTTTGTTCCAGAGTTGTTCGGCAAATTCACAATTATCGTAATATTAGTAAGCTAGTAACTAAATAGGGCGATAACGATGATCCTTGATTTTTGCAATTTTTTGGTGCTTTGATTTTAAGAAAAATTGAGAATGTAGTAGTTTCTTTAATAAAAAAAAAACAGTGCATTTCTATATAAAATTTACATTATCAAATTTTGCTCATTTCAACTTTATCCACTAGTTCTACAAACTTAAACTTAACAAAATTTAACTATAAGTTTTCAATATATGGCTAATTTTTTATATATGGTTTGCTTTATCACTACTTATTTAATATCTAGAATATTAGAGAATTTGAACATTACACGAAATTAATACAAGGTTATTGATTTTCTAGGAGAGTTAAATCTACTTAAAATATATTTATAAGATCGCACCATATCCGAATGTGTAAGAAACCATATAAGCGACTAATGCTTCTATATTTATCTAGGACCTCATACTTTTACAGTTATTGCCAATGTATCTTAGTAGCAACCATATTAGACCTTAAATATAGAAACTATATTAATTATGTCTCCTTTTTATAAGTCATTCGTAACCTTTTGACCTAAATGAAAGCGTATTTTTACAAAAATTAATTTCAATACAAGTGACGATAATGTAGATACGTAGATATGACGATGATAATGTAGATATCTTTATCACATTGGTAATAATTATCAGATACTCATAGTTACATTTTTGTTATATTTTTTCATTTAATCAGTTTTTAGCGTTTTTTTAACACTTTCTATTTTGTAAAGAAGACTACCATTAAAACCTACTACAGTTATCCAATATTCATTTCATACTAGTAATCAGCATAATGCATACCATCCTGTTGTATTACAGCAGCGGGGTAACAATATTTACGACAATACAGAAAAATTCTCTATTTCGAATAATCAAAACATTTGCAGTAAATATTAATGTGGAAATCTCAATAAAGTGGTGAATGTCAGTGCAGAATGTTGTTATCCTAGCTGGACAGTGAGTCATTCTTGATTGCAAAAAATTATTCTAATCATGGGTCTCTATAGCCAGTATGTACCATTTGATCGAAAAAGAAATGTTGTCGCAGTTGCCTCGTAAATTACAATCGAAGATAATATCTGTCGCTATATGCTATGATTACTTTTGATAATATAATTATTCCATTTAAAAATAAGGAACTTCCAGCTCTATTTTGATAAAATAATTTTTACTCAATCAAGAAGAAGCAAATCTATTGAGTAAAAATAAAATGTAGTAAATTAATGGCTTATCTGAAACTTTTTAGTATTTCCATTTAAAATCTAGTTTTCAAGTATACAAATTTCGTAAATTTTCTGGGAAAAACTATCGTAGATTTTAAACTGTTCGTAAATGACAATATATGGATGCATAAATCCAAATATATACTACAAATTACTTGATTAATTTTAAACAGCTAGCTACATTAGATATTATGAGATTAAAACCTCCGAAATTCGAATAATCTTTAAAACTTTTTTGAATTTCTTGTAGCCATATTGTTCTGGCGAGACCGTTTGAAATTCGCATGTATGAAAACTGTGCTCAAATACTAATTTTTGACAAATTTTATGTAAGTTTTATTATCAATTGACATTCCTACTGTGATTCTTTTTGTTGTTTTACTCCATTATTTTAGTATTTAGGTTATTTTTATTTTATTTTATAAAAGACTTGATAACAAATACCTTTGTTTGAATAATAAAAGTAAAAATATGCCACCTCAAATTAAATTTAGTGTTATTAATACAAAAGATTTTACAATTTGCAACTCAAAGCACAGGAGGCGATAAATTGTCGTCAGAGCGAAAGTTCTGTAAACTTTGTCAGAACCAAATCAGAGCCACCCAACCACAGAGGGGGAAACCACAGATCCTTCGACTTCCGTACTAAAATTCCTAAATTTTCTGGAAACATGTACGAATGATCTGTTAAAATTTGATGTGGGCTTCTGAATCCTTATCACAACCACTACAGCTACTGTCTCAATGTCTATACAGGGTGAGTCTTAAATAAGGGCAAAATTTTTAGGAGTAGTGTATTTCGACCCCCGAAACATGATTATGATTTTTTTTGTTTGACTGAAAACTGATTTTTTGTTTAACTGACTGTTTTTAGTTTGGTCAGAGCAACTAAAAATTTTTTGTATTTTTTTTTTAGTTTTTAGTTAAAAAACATAATTTCTTGATAATATGACAACATAGATAGTAGATTAAATTTACAAGAAAGAAAACGCAGAAAAGATCCACTGGTACCAACTCAAAATTTAAGCAAAATATATTTTTGTGGAAAGTAAATTAACTCGGTTATTTTGGACTTCTTTGAAAAACGATAAACAGAAAATATGTTTCTTGTATCGAATCTACCAGCCCTGAAAATATTTGTATTTATTTAAGACTCGCCCCGTATATTTCGAATTCGATTTAGTAGCGAAGTCGTAAATAGGGTTTTAAAGATCGGCGTATGCTGAATACACATGCCAAATCTGAATAATCTTGGACAAGCCAATTTTAACTGTTTTTCTTAAATTAGTTAAAATTGGCGTGTCCGAAATTGTTCAAATTTGACCTATTTCTCAAATTCAGCATAGGCAGACTTTTAAAAATCTAAAATCAACAGGGCAACTACATAATAGGTGGCAGCAATAACATTGTTACTGACATTACCAACTAGAAAGATTTTTTTCTCTAGAGCAATGAATTAATAGAATGACATACTTACCGTAAAAGAAGCACAGAGGATTAAGACAAGGATAAATTAGGAAATGCAGGAATTAAGCAAAACAAAGCAAGGTTCAGCAGCAGAAAATAAAATAAATGAGAGCTTCAGAGTGCGACCAATAAGCATTATCCAGGGACATAGCTTGAAAGAAAAAAGGAGTTGCTTGAGCTTTTGAGGGCCCAATAAAACCTATTCTATAACGCGAACTATGTATAATGATCTGAACTATATGAACCGTGCTTTGTTTGTGTTTAACTACAATAAACATTTTATGGTCACAATTTTAGACTGAATCTAGTTAGTTCAATCCTAATAAATTTAAAATCAGAAAAATTGTGCCCAAGCTATTTACTGTAGTTAAATAGTTTATTATATGTGGAACAATAAAATGTTAGTTTCGTTAGTATACGATGTTTTATTGGGCACTCATTAAAGTTACATGAAAATTAGTGCAGAAAAACCAGTGTAGCAAGAACGGACATTTTACATCGACAAGATGGTTGATTGGTGACTACATTACGATTACTCTTAAAAATTAAAAGGAGGAAAGACAAAGATTCCAATTGAACACATAAAACGTTTCTATACAAGTTGAGAGTGTTGATAGAACAGTAACTTTACAAGGACACTACGATAAAATACATAAAAGGTACTAATAAAAATATTCTCCTTACTGGGCTCTACAACTTTGTAATTCTTTAAACAGGGTATATTCTTTTCGAACGATTTTTTTATTTACTACCACATATTACTCACATTAATCACGATTAAAATTTTTAAACTACCATATTATCTACCTTAGTTCTGTTCTTCGTTTCCCTCGATCTTCTTCTCTCATTTCTTTTGCTTCTCCGATTTTTGCAACTTCTTTAACTTCTCATGGAGTACAAATTTAAAATAGACTTCATTATATCACTTTCTGCAAACATTTTGGCTTTATTTCGAAGGGGAGCAGGCGAATTGACATACTTAGTTACTTACTTTTTATATTTTACCATATTTTTTTCATTCTTAAATCATTGTACCTACTTTGTGATTAATAATGTGGTTGTAAATAAAATTCCCGGATTCAGTTGTAGATAAAACTCCGGAGGAAATATCAAGAAAAGTAACAATTCATATGATTACCAAAAGAAATCATGTCTAACATAATAAACCAATTATATAATCACAATTCTTATAATTATTTTTAACAATAATATTCTAAATTTTAAACCACTCTTTTGTAGAGTTTAATGGTCATATTCAGAACATTTAGTCATCAAAATATGATTTACAAGATCCTTATAAAGTATACTGCTATACACACTTTTTACAACTTGTCTATACGTTTAACTTCGTTGTATAAATAAATAAATTAGATCATAACTTTCTAAAATACTAAACTAACCTCCTTTTTTCTATAACACGCACAACAAATGTGATTTAAACAGTACAATGTTTCTGAACAAACGTTGCTTTAACATCCATGATAGAAAAAATATTGTCTACTATAAAGTTTAAAATTTACCAAAAATAGCCTTTAAGGTTACACGATATAAAACATGATATTTCTATAATTTCGTAATATGTACATAAATATTTTTTATATTTTTTAAATCTAGCATTATGAGTTTTACATTCATTCAAATTAATGGCTACTCACATTCTCATAGTTCGTCACCTTTTATGCTTATTATATAAAAGTCTAATCTTAAAAAATATTGACAAAAATTGATGTGTTTATATACCTACACTTGAAGTACTCAATTCTAAATTAAGTTACTTTCAATATTATAATAAGTTATGTCTATAAATAAATATAATAAATATTTAAATACAATGATATACACATATTTATAAATAAGTCATATTAAATACATTAATCTAACATTTTGTACTTGTTGAATACTAGAAAACGAACATTCGAACTTATAGTAGTACTTCTTAATTTTGACACTTTTTTTTAATTTGGCAGTCAGCTTGAGTAAAGTTCAGTGACGACTCTTGAAGTAATAACTGAGTGAAGTAAAAAAGTGGTGCAGAATACAAAAAAAAATGTGATGGGATATGAAATCATCGATATCGATTACGCGCATTCCATGTCAATAACTCAGTGAATTTAGTACGTGTTTGTGAGGTTTTAAAATCTGGTTGAACCCAAGAGCCATTGTTCTGAATTTTACTGTTTTATAAAATCCATCTTAAAATAAATGACATTTATTCTCTAAAGGTTTGACAAGATGGTCACAAACAATGAAAATCCACTGTGAGATTCAAAATGATTTTAATAATTTTGTCCATGAGGACCTCAATAACAGAACTGTAATAAAAATAAATTCAAAGTCATGAAGAAGTAGTAAATGATTACATTTTTCAAGGTTGCTTACACTAGAATTTTCAAGCTAGTTCTAGAGGTCAATTAATTTACTATTCTTTACATCGCATTCTTTAAAAGTAAATTAGTAATAATTACTATAAAAATAAAGTAAGTTTAAAATTGTTACTTTAAAATTATAATAACTTTTAAGGTACCTATTTGATAAATTTTGAGATTAATCAGGAAAAAATATCACAAGGCTTTCCATATGATTTTTCTTGTAAAAAATTACAATTATTAAAAAAAGTTACGACTTTACTATATTTGAAATATTATATTATAATGTACTAGTTATAAAATTATAAATTAAATATTGTAAATCTCGTAAAATATTTAAAACAAAAATCAAAGATATTCTATGATTTCTCTGAATTCTTCTTAATTCTTAGAATTTACAGTTTATAGTTAGTTTAGAATGATCAGATATTTTCAGAATATTTTAATTTTGATGTATTTTTACACGGTATTCTCAGAAAAAATAGAACAATTATAATAAATATACAATAATATTAACCATGGAAGTTTAAATTAGAAAAAATAATAGTTTGCTTGAAACTCGTTTTTTTCTTTCGAAATCAATATACGTTTGTTATTATTGAGCTGTTTAATGCTTTTTCTGTTAGCACAAATAGTAATTGAGTATCAAAGCTATTGCAAATTTTTCTTTTAATATCTTGCAATGGTAATAAAATATTTCTCATTTATAAGTTATGAACAATATAGAGATGACTAATAATATAATAGCTTATGTTTTTAGTGATGCGGTTTCTGTATAACTTAACTATGAACAAAAGCATATTGTAGAAAATCTGTACGTGACAGTTGTAAGGTAGTACTCATTAGAAATATCATCTTTAAACATTTGGTTGTCGTATATACTATCTCTGATTCACAATAAGTCGTATAAAAGAATATTTTGTGTTCCTTTTAGCGTAGGTGTCAATTACAAGTTTAATGTTTTATAAGGAAAAACCTACACAGTTTTACAATACTAGATACCACATCAGCGAACATCTATATCATCATTTACATCAATTAATATTTAATAATCAATTTTGAGATAATACTAAATGCTCAACAAAATGTTCATTTATAATATAACCAGCGGCGGCTGGTAGAATTTTGGTTACAGTGTGTTCCATATTACGCCATCTGCGTTATTAGTGAAGATAGAAGGGTGCGATTTTCACAAACCTGTCCCACTTTTTTGTCAAATGGAAGATGCCGTAAACAAAATTTTCACAGCCCTCCTCGTTTCTGAGTAACACGGTCTTTTTGAAAATTTTGCAATTTGGAACACCTGTATCTCTGTTATTGCTAAAGGTATCGAAAAGGTGAAAACTGTATATTGTAGAACTTTTTACGGTAGAACACAGTGGCCTAGTCTGTTATTCTACAAAAAGAATATATTTTAAAAATATAAAGTAGAGTTATATTTTCTTAAATGAAATACCCTGTACATTCATAAATTATATGATCTGGCTTGCCATAAGCTTCTCAAAAATTTATATCACTTTATATTTATTTTCACTATTCACTGCAATATGTAAAAGTTTTTATTAAAAGGTCATATTTATTAGCAGGCCATTATTGATAATAAAAGAAACTAAAAGATTATTAAAAATATACTGCTCTCAGTCTCTTGTTTTATTTTGGGAACACCTAATAAATTCTTTATATATTAGGGAAACTTAACACTCTACCGCTGTTTGTAAATCTCCTCACAACTTTGAAACTATTAAAACTTTATTAAATTATTATTTAAGCCTCCCTGATTCCCGGATTTGTCCGTTCTCGATTTCTGATTTTGGGGATTTCTAAAATATGAAATATATCGTGGCAGCTACAACACTGTCGAACTGGAAAGTGCTTTAATAATGCAAGGTTTCTGGATATTTGCAAACCCATCCCGTTATAAAAAAAGAAAAATATATTTACAGATTCAGTGGTAACACTTCAAAAGTAAAATATATCAATGCCATATAAAATGTTAATATGTGTATGACTATTTAAGTAAATACCATTTTGATTTTTTTGTTATTTATCAGGGCCTACTTATTAAAAGATGATATATTTTAAATATTGCAGTAAATAGTGAAAATAAATATAGAGTGATATATATATATATATATATATTTTTGAGAAGGTCATAGCAAGATGGGTAATATGATTTATAAATACAGGGTGTTCTATATGAAAAAAAAAACATAACTTTAGTTCATATTTTCAAAAATATTTTGTTCGTAGAAAAACAGACTACGCCACTGTATTTTACAAAAAAAAGTTCTATAAGAATCAGTTTTCGCATTCTCGATATCATCCACAATATCGAAGATCGGGGCCTGCCCCAAATTGCAATATTTTCGAAAAGACCCTGTAGCTCAGAAACGAAGAGGGCTATACATTTTTTTACAGCATCTTTTGTTTGACAAAAAAGTGGGAGGTTTGTGCAAACCGCATCCTCCTATCTTTACTAATACCGGAGATGCCGTATGATTTCAACCAAAATGGGACACCCTGTACTATGTACTAAATAGTTCTGAACATGGAATCCACACATAACTGCCGCCAGAGACAATTTTGTATTATTAAAAACAATTTTAAAAGTTGCTACTTTTTCATTATTGTGCCTGCACCCCCAACGCAACTAATTTAAAGTCAAAAATTAATTTTGTTTTAATTTTTTTTATAATTCTTGTAATATTTTATCGAAAAATGAAAATAATCCCAAATTTTAAAATTGTTGTTAATACAAGAATGTTTCTGGTAGGCCTTATTTAAGGTTAGCTCACTAATGTTAACTCACTAAAATTTGATGTTGGTCCCATATCTAGAACATATACCTAGTTCATTGAAATTATAGCAACCACCTATGAATGTAGTTATTGTTTCTATTGTAAAATTGTATAATTTCCGATTTACCAATAACACCTGGTCCTAATATATGGAAAATATTTTTGACGATTTAATATGGGGGCTAGGATCGTTAAGTTACTATTTTTTGTAAATGCTTCAGCCAAAAATTACTAGTTATAATCTTGTCATAAAAAATAATGAAGCTGGATATTTAGCTTCAATTAAAAAAATTACATAGTCTAATGGAAGATCAATTTATTTACCAAATCAAAGACCATCGTTTTTTCTTCGGAATGTGATTGACAGTTATCTTACGCAGTTTGTCAAACGGTACTCCTTTTCTCGGTTTAAACAAATTTACCTGTAGGCCGACTTTGATTTTCTTGGTCAAAGCACCTTCGGGGAATATGGCCTGGACCTGTGGAACTACCGTACTAGACACCATACCACCCTCTGGACCAATGGCGTGGACTTCTTGCCGTATCCTGGATACAACGGCGAAATATTGTGGAAAATCCTGCGTTACTATTCGAGATATCCTGCCTGATGAGATATCTTCCATTTGATTTAGATCTTAAGAATGAAAAGAGTTTAATAACGATCGCATTTTCTATAATAATAATGTTTTTACCTTCTGCATCGAAGCTGTCGTGAAGGACTTCGTTTAAAACCTCTTCTGTGGCGTCTACGGTGTGTTCTTTCCAGGATTCTCCATTGTCTGATCTTAGGATTACTATTTCACGTTCTTTGCCTCTTAAAGCAGCAAAATGTGGCACTTCAATTATTACTGGCCTAAAATAGAAATAATATGGGTTATATAAAATTTCTTTCTCTTAATCTCTTTCTTTTAATTGAAGGTACATAAATGAAGATATTCTAATTTCACTATTTAGTTAATTTTTTTTATTTTTATTTCTCTTTCGAATTTACTTCCACTATACAAATGCCAGTTTTTACATCAAATTAAAAATGTATCTTAGGGATATAATAGTCAACACAATATTACTGTAAAAGGAAATTTATGATTACATTACATTTTATTTATTACATGAATATAGAATACAAAACGCGTAAAATATATACCTACGATACGTTCTGACATTTCCGATTATACAGGAAGTGTCTGGAAATGGGGAATTTTAAAAAGAATATACACCATAATATATTCTTACAGTTGATTGAAGAAATAAGAAGATGCGCAACCTTAGGGACAATTTCGTGGAACAAAACCTGTCCGAGATGTAGCTGGCGCTACCGTCGCCGCTAGTCAACCTGTCGGAGATTTAGTTTAGCTCTGCGCCTCTGCGCGCTGATAGTCGTTTACAGTGCAGATGATAAAGAATACTGTACCATAGTTCGGCTTTCAGTTAACAGGATATACGTTAGTAGTACGTTAATATTGCGGATTTTCTATCATTAAACAATTAATAATATAATATTATATGATTAAACAAAGAACGGTGTCAGAGTTGGCTTGGAACTGAAGATCTCTGTTATTTCATATGTAAAATATTATGATAAATGTCAATAGTCGTCATTCCCAAGCCAACCAAACGACTTTTTTTCGATCATACGAAATATTCAGTACTTATAAAAGAATTTTTACTTTTGTTATTTATTCTATGTTTAACACGAATAAATTTTCAATACATAAACGCGGATCCAAAGATATTTTCGTCAAATGTATAACAGATATTACACATTTTAATATGGCAACACTGTCGCTTTCAGTTCCACACCGTCTTCGATACTTCTTCGCTGGCCGAATTACAGAAAATGAGTGTTTTATACGTTGGCCGCAAAACGTGTAGAGGCTCCACCGTACGTTAAGACGTAATGGGAAATCAAATCAGTCTTTACGAATTTGATCATAAGGTTGCGTATCTTACTAATTCTTTCAATCAACGTCCTTACCCTAAAACATTCAGATTTGTATCTATATTATACAGGGTTGTTCACCACATACGACACGGAGTATTGTAGCTAAATGATTAGATTTTTAGAAATTGTAAGTATTGGGTTCGTTGAAGGACTATTAGAGCTACAATTTAAAAATGATTTTACAAGATACAGAGTGTCCCAAATAAATAAAAAATATCAAAGTTCTATTTTTTAAATGGAACACCCTGTATATTATTATATTTTTAGTTTCTACGATTAAAATAAAGGTAAATTTGATTAAGGCTTATTATACTTAAACGTTACCGTTTTTGAAATATTTTCAATTTTGTGAAATTGCAGTAAAAATTTTAAGGCTTCATTTCTCCAAGGGTATTAAAGTGTTTAATACTAAATATTTACTGAAGTCTATTTATTGATCAGTTATTGTGTTGCAATAATAAAAATAATACTACCTCATACAGAGTGTCTAAAATTTATTTTAAATTATTTCTAGCTTTAAATGGCAATAACTTGTTTAATTTAAATAGAACGCCCTGTATATTTTAGGAGAATGAGATGCACACTTTAATTGTCTATCAAACTGTATTATACCACTTTTTACCTATCCCTTCAAGTTTTCGTAGAAAATGCATTTTCTTATAATTTAGACCTCATTTATCAATAATTTTATCATCTGGGTGTATATTTTCTCGATAGATTGTTTTTTGATTCATCTCAATAACTTGTTTTTAGAGATATTCGCTTTTGAAGAAGACTCTAACATTTTTTCGTATTTTTCTACATTAAAACTATGTCTTTGCTTTTGGTCCTAATCAAAATACCTATAAAATAGTGTCTATGATGCATGTAATGTCAGTGTCTTTGAAAAATCATATTATTATTGTCTGTTGCGCAGTTGCTCTAACAGATATGGTTTGAAGTCCAAAAGTTAACGTCTACTATGATCAATTAAAGCAGCTATAGCCGATACATTAACAGTTAAAACCATCTTTACTAGAGTAAACGTCAATAGACAATAATAATATGACTTTCCAATAACAGTGATATTACAAAAACAATAAACACTATTTTATAAGCGGTCATGAGGACCCAAAAGCAATGCTAAAATTGCTGTAAATCGTTAGTCTTATTCAAAAGCGATAAAAATAAAGCTATTGAATGAATCAAAAAACAAACTATCAAGAAAAGACGTACCTAGATAATAAAATGATTTTTAAATTCTTTGCTTTGTTAACATATTCCACAAGGTGTGTCAAACTTTCACCAAAATATCAACATTTTGTTTTACCTCGTATAATTGACAGATGGAAACTTTCATTTTTAATTTAGAAAGAGATATTAAAAAGTAAAATATTTTAGCTACAAATTGCTTAAACAATCATAAAAATCGGCCCACTGGAACAAAATATATTAAACTTTAAAATATATTAAAATTTTAAGGTGCCCATTTTTCGTGCCTCATTTCGGCCCTAGTAATATTATCGTTTTTAGCAAAATGATAATATTACCAGCCCATTTGTATGTAAAAAGAAAACTATTTAAATCTTTATAAAATAGTATATCATTAATTACCACCATTATTTCCGCCCAAATACTAATTAATTACATACTTAATTATGTTCGTTAATAAATTATTCTAAATAAATGTGGATTTGAATCAGAAATCAATATAATAATTAATTTTTTAATGTTTCTGTTGTTATAAATAAGCATTTGTCAAAAAATTTAATATAATTTTTAAGGTGTTACTTTTTACCACACTGTCTAATACACATACAAAATTCAGTTTTTTAGTATTTGGAGCAATTATTATTAATCAACGCAAACGGTCAATTAATGTAGTTTGAATACTGGAATCATATTAATTGGTCCTCTTTAACAAATATTTAAACAGTTTTTTTGTTTCTTAATGAAATAAACAAACTATATCGACAATATTAGTATCTGTACTCTTTAAAAATTTGGTATATCTTTAAAAATAATCTAAAATGTCAGTATTCCATGGGTATATTGATAAATGAGTTTTAAATTATAAGAAAATGTATTTTCTATGGAAACTTGAAGAGATAGGTAAAAATGGTATAATACAATTTGATAGACTATTAAATTGTGTATCTAATTCTCATAAAATATACAGGGTATGCCATTTAAATTAAACAAGTTATTGCCGTTTAAAGCTAGTAATTATTTAAAATAAAATTTTAGACACTCTGTATGAGGTAGCATAATTTTTATTATTGCAACACAATAACTGATCAATAAGTAAACTTCAGTAAATATTTAGTATTAAAAACTTTGATACCCTTGGAGAAATGAAGCCTTAAAATTTTGACTGCAATTTCACAAAATTGAAAATATTTCAAAAACGGTAAGATCAAAGTGCGGTAAACCTTAATCAAATTTACCTTTATTTTAATCGTAGAAACTAAAAATGTAATAATATACAGGGCGTTTCATTTAAAAATATATAACTTTGATATTTTTTATTTATTTGGGACACTCTGTATTTTGTAAAAATATTTTTAAATTGTAGCTAATAGTCATTCAACGAACACAAAACTTACAATTTGTAAAAATCTAATCGTTTAGCTACAATACTCCGTGTCGTATGTGGTGAACAACCCTGTATACTAAAAACATTGTATGAAAGGTGTAACCCTCTATATTTATAGTGTTTATAGGCGTTGTGACTAGCTGCACCTTTGCTATCGGCATGGGTCGGATCAACAATGATTGAAATAATTCTGTAAATTGTTCTGATTTTACTTCGGCAACCAATTTAAGAAATTCGAATATTTACGGGCTCTTATCACTAGCATGAAAACAAACCGAAAATTAAATAATATGATTTTTTTGACAATATTTAAACCCGCTTTCCATAATATAGTAAAACTATTCAAAACAAGATGAGAAATAATAGATATATTATGAAGGTTTTCTAATTTGATTAATGAATATTAATTAATAAATTTAGGTTACGTTACATGCTCGTAATAAATTTCAATAATTTTTTTAATAAGGTACCATTTTCAGTTTTATTCCAAAAAAGAAATATGTTAGACGGTATACATATATAATAAAATACATTTAAAAATTAGTAGTAAAAAGTTCTACATATCTTTATAAATTTAATAGCCAAAATTTACCTTTATATCGGTTTATTAGATTTTTTCCATATTCATTGTTACCTCCTGGTTAACACTATTTTAAAATCGTCCCACTGTACTATTTTAATGGATAACTAAACGGTGCTCAAAATTGCGATTTTGTATTGAATAAAAGTTACTTCGCCGATTACGTTCAATTTGCAACCAAGCCGTGTTTATGTAAGTGTTCCTTTTTCATGTTAAACACTATAGTTGTATTGAAAAACCGCATTTTTTTTTGAAAAATATGTTTTACAAATAGCAAACTCAATTTTTGTACATTTTCAGGACCATAAGGAAAAGCCAAAAAATTGATTTTAATGAATTAACATGATTTGCTAAAATTTTTCAGTCGATATTTGTTTTAGCCTCAGTACCAATCGCAAATCCAAAAATACTCTATCACAGTGTTGGCAAATATTTCACTCATTGTCAAGATAAGTTATACTTGCTATGCTTTCTATAAATACCTACCCTAAAAATTTAGCACCAACAGGTCCCAATTCTAATACTCTACTAGCCAAGGCTTCTCCTTCCATCAAAGGTGGCGGATGAGGAGTTCTCTGTGGCCTGACATATCGACACGTAATTCTAGTTGGACTAGCGGCACACCTTGGCGGTACTATAACTCGTACGCCGGAATGTCTGCACCCTCGCATAGCACCACCTCTAGCATCAACCAGGAACGACACCAGAAAACTAAAAAATCGAAAAAAAACATGTATTTAAAAAAATACCATTTTTGCAACTTTTTTTACGAAAAGCTTGCCAATATTATAGTAGGCGCAGAAAAAAAATCGGTTTCAGCTGTAATAGCGCATTCTCACAACTCGTGTACTTGGTAAGTAGTTTTACAGTGTCTGGCCGGAGTGCAGCGTAGTTCCTATAATAAATAACTTAGAAAATCTGTATAGATGCCCGACCCACCGGGTGTATACCCTGTATACCAATTACAAATATTTGTCAAGTACACAAGTCGTGTGAATGCGCCTTAATATGAATTGCTTAGCTTTAAGAGTCCATTTCACTAGTCCGAAAAAGTAGCAAATAAGCGTTCGGCATAACGTTATATTATATTAAGTTATATTATTAACGTTTTATGTAAAACTGGCTAAGTATTTTTACATAAATGAAGAAGAAAATTAAAGATAAAGGATGATGCTATATCCGTATTGTAGCACATTTTTTACAACTCTATTTTTAAGATTTTTATGGTCAAACGTCAACAAAATGTTCCTTATGTTTGGACTAGATTTTCTAGAAAATATCGACGGAAATAGATTGAAGTTTTGTGATTACAGTGATATATAATTTATATGGTTTTGTATCAAATTACTCGCTATTTTATGGCAAATGCTAAAGCTCTGCAAACCTTAATCGAGCCTTAATGAAAGCTCGTGTGTTTGGAATTTTGGATGTGGCTTAACACGACAGGATCGGGCTAAGCCTTAGGTAAATTTCTGAAATATAATATAATTTCCTTCAGGCACATACCCGCTTTACCTGGACCTCTGAGAGCCACCCGAACAGTACAGCGTAATAGACTCTTAATGCATCCAACTGATGTTTAATTGTAAAGATATAAGAAAAAAAAAAGAAAAAAACATTCTCTCTTAAAAATTAAATTAATTCAAGGTTGAAAGTATTAACTTGTGTATCCGCATATAAGCCCAAATTAAGCTTTTAGATATGGCATTCTAAGTATAAAGAAAGTCTACCTATGTAATTTGAAAGGTCAGTTGTTGATGTGAGCAAGGAGATTTAAGTGTAGCTAAGAATAACCAAATTAAAAAAATGAATTAATTTTTTGACAGAGAAAAGATAGATATAAATTAAATTTGAGTTAAGTGGCTGTGGCGTATGGAAAGAAAAATTTATATTTGACACGTGTTCTTAATAGCTCTGTATAATATTTTTAGAAAAAAAATCTATCTAAACTAATCTATTAAAATAGAAAACAATGAACACAATAATGCTCCAAACGTTAGAATTGCTGTTTGAAAAAGAGAAAAAATATATAATGTATGCAATAACTAACGAAATTCAAATGCCTATATTGTCTAATCTACTATTATTGCTAATCTACTTATTATTTTTATAGTACCGGGTTTAACTAAAAATCGACGCCGGCTGTATCTCAGAAACTACTCATCGTATCATGGAAAAAAATTGGCGCCGGGAGGCACGTATAGCCGCCCATACTTGATATTTTTTTTATCTCAAAAACTGCGACTTTGACTGATTTTGATGTTATTACAAATTTTGTTGCAAATATTATTCCTAATCTTAAATTGAAAACTGCGTTTCGCTAGCTACTGTAATTTTGGAGTTACGATTTTTTAAAATTTTTAGCTCCTTCCCATACCCCCTTACCAACCACCCACCCCCACCAAAAACTAATAGCCAGATTCTCGGGTGCCACAGTATTTTTGTGCCAAATTTGGTTAAAATCGGTTTAGCGGTTTTTGAATTATCGTGTTACAGACGGACAGACAGACAGACAGACAGACAGACACCATGAAAATATTTTGTATTTAGGTCATTTATGACCCAAGTAACTCATTTTGAGTGAAATTAAAAAAAAATGTTTTTTTGCCGACCTTAATAGCCTACCATACCAGTTGGTATGGTCGGCTAAAAATAATAATATGTAAATCGGCTAAGAGAAATAACAGGAAATTTTTTTCAAAAAATGTCTGCTTGGTGAGGTATTTTAAATATTGCTATTGCAATCAAGGAAAATTGGTATTTTTTATATAGTGTATTAAATATATATATATATATATATATATATATATATATATATATATATATATATATATATATATAATATATATATATATATATATATATATATATATATATATATATATATATATATATATATATATATATATATATATATATATATATATAATCTATATAGCGTATTCTTAGATCTTAGATCTATTTTATAGGTATAGTGTATTAGATCTATCTCATAAAATAAAGCGATGGGGTAAGGTTAAACTTGCTTTTATTAACGCAAGGATAACTTTGGTTTGGGATATAGCATTTAAACAAATTGAGGCACATTTAAATGCGCTTTCTTTAATAATCCTAATACATAGGTACATATAAGCTTTGACTTAACATATTGTATTCTGGTAGTTAGAGGGCGCTATTTGACACCATAACATATTGCGCGTTTACATAAAAAATATATGTAAATGCCAAGCTATAACTCTTTTCCCTTTTTGCAGAGTTAAATAAAAAACTAAGTTTCCAAAAAATCAGTGCCTACTGCATCTTTTTATCACTGACATATATCCTTATGGTTTAAATACATACCATAAAACATTATGGTTTACGATTTTGCACATATATATTATAGTTTACGATGTTTTATGGTTTTACCATAAAACATTATGGTTTAAATGCAATTCAATACTACATTTCGCTTCTTACCATATAGAAAAACAAATTAAATAGTCATTTTAAATATAAATAAATAACTTACTTTTTCCAATGCAATTTCCTTTAGAAGAGCACGAAAAAATGAAGAAAATAAATGAATTTTATAAAATAATTCTGAAGTAAATACTAAAAAGTAATACAAAAGAAGTAATAAGTAGTATAAGATATTCACTTCAGCTGAATCTTCATAGCAAATCTATTTACAATTTTACTGCCTACTATACTATATTTCGATAGGTTAATAATTAGTAAATTATATATAACAATACAAGAATATATTACACTACTAATAGTGTAATACATCCTCATATTGAAATATGAAATTTACTTTACTAATAAATACATCCAAATTCAACATCTAATTTAATTAATAATACCAACAAGAATTTAAGTAATTTAAAATATTGTAATATTAAGAAAATTAAAATATTTCTAGAAGAATGCCAGACAGAATTGATCAGTAGAGATCCAAGTTATACCAATTGATAAAAAAAAAGTTTTAACTAAATCAAATGTGTTGTAGTGGTAGTATTTCCAAAAGATTCAACTGAAATGAACACGCTAAATCAGTAGGTACCACTACTAGATCTAACTTGTAAGGTACAATAAAAGAGGCTTATGATCACGCGGGCTCTAACTCTTGACTCATCATACAAAGCACGCTTAATCATAAAACATTATTATCACATTGTATACGAACTTATTTCGTTATTAATATGTACGCATAAGATTTCTTACCCAATATTGATCGGATGTCGATTGATATCGATGTTATCAGGCGAGTATTTCTTGATGTATTCAACATAATTCCTGGAAACATGTTCAGGACTAATGGAGTCTTCGATATGCTGTGGAGGAAACATGTTGCTGTCCATACTGCTAGCCATTCTATTGGAATCGATTCTTTCGTCTCTTGTTACGTCGATGGGTAGCGAATCGTCTCCTAAAGATTTCATTTCATCCGCCGTCAGGTATCTATAAGTTTGATCTCCGATAACTGCATCTTCACCTGCAAAAGAAAATATTTTATTAATAACACGTTTATCCCTCAGTTAATCCAATTTGTTTCTGTAAATTTGATTGACTATTCATATGGTTTTTTTTTCTATTCTAGTTTTAACGTTAAACATTAACATCACATAACTCGTTAGTTGTTGCGTAGTGGAGAACATTTCATTCAAACATCTATTTTAAAAATATAGTTTTCCTATGAACCAAAATAATTTATTCATGCCTTTTTCAACAAACAATACTATATACAGGTTGATCCATAATACTGCAATAAAATCTAGACAATTTTTTTTCTAGATAGATTTCCAAAAAATAGTAAATTATTTTGTATGTTTTTACTTGGTATAAATTTTTATAGTTACTTTGATCAATTTTGTATCTATTTTTCAATGGTATTTTTAATAGCAAATTAGGGTTGATTATTAAATAGTTTCAAGGTTTAAAAATAGGCTTAAAAATAAAAGTATATAGAACATTCTATTAGTATAAAACTTTACATAAAAATTTAATGCATGTTTTTAATAAAATTTATCTTATATTTATATAATATTGTTTAGCATCAAAAATGTCTAAATTATTTTCAAAAAATATTTTTAGTAGGGTATGATTATTATAGAAGTTATGAAAACAAATAATATAACGACATAAATATTTTGGATAAAATTATATATATGTATTAAAATCCTATTAAAAACGGTAAGCTATAGGATATGAAACTGTTGTTATCCTTAGAATATTCTTCAAACATTTACAGGGTAAAGATGTGAAAAATATATTTAAGCATATTAATAAAGCAAAACAGATTTGCGATACTAAGGGCTGGCAAAGTTTAGTCTTGGGTCGAGATTTCCGTATGTAAGAAGAGTACAATGCGTTTATAACGTACTGAACAAAGAGAGAACAGTAAACACGTTGCCAAACGCACGAAATAAACCGAGAAACTGCACACATTGCTAAGAGACGAGCAAGGGGATATAGCAGATTTGTCGCAGTCCACCGGTCGACCCAATCAGTACCACATCAGAACCTAAAGTTCTAGGGAAAGGTGTACATCATGCGTTCAGCTTCACGATTTAATTACGGCTCGCGATACTTTATTTGTTTTATTTATTAACGAGTCGTTGTAATTTTCCCCAGAGCTTGAAAATGTTTGAGTGCAAGTTAGAAACACTTGCATTTTTGGTAAAAATAAGTGGAATTGAGTTGGTATTCAACAGTGGTCGCACTATTATAACTCTGAATTCAAAATGAGTCGATATCTCAAAATCTATTAAAAATAATTGATAACCTAACGATATCCTTATAATTCTATTTCAGATGCTCAGAAACATATCTAATGATTTTATCTAGTTATATTTTCGAAAAAAACGTCGTATAAAAATAAGTGATTGGCGATCGTGATTTTACTCTACCTGACAGGGAAAGGCGTACCGGCAACGCCGCAACAGCACATCGTCGCATTTCTTTCACTCCGACTTAAGAAGATTCCTATGCGATTTACCTCCACACATGTAAGTTCCGACCCAAAAATAACAGTTGCCAGCACGGTATTACAAAATGAGAATACTCATTCTTGCAATTATATTTTTAATTATTTACATATTGCATATGGTAGGTATATACATATTTGCAAAGAAATATGTGATGTAGAGAGTTCCTTAATAGGAATTGAACATTATAAATATTGATGACGAAAGTAGAATTCTTTAGTGTGCCAGTCAAATTAATAATAAGTGGTATTTTAATTTGTAATAATTTTTAATTGGTATTTTTCATCAAAATTAAACCAAAAAAACTATATTTAAAATATTTGTGTCTTTTGATAGCTATAAAATGAAAATGTCTACATTGAGTGAAATTTTAATCCTAAGATCATAGCGTTATATTATGATGTAACGAAACATTACATCATATGCAATGATCCTTTGGTGATCATATGTTACCATTCCATGAAATTTATATAGATTCTACTTTATTCCACATAAAATTAGAAAAAATATAATAATCACAGTATGTTTTGAGCTCTAAAACCTAATACAATATACAGTCATCGATTGTGATCGTTTGATGAATCATCCTGTATACAAAACTTATGACTAGAAGTTGTAGAAGATGGTAATTGAAAGTAATTTTCACTCCATTAAAGATTATATACCTTAATAAAATTTTACGAGATGAACAGATAATATGTTTTCTTATTAAGCATGACAAATCTACTTAGTAGTAGATTATGTGTGACCCGAATTATTAAATAATAATTTACTCACAGCTGGTTACTTTAATGATGTTAGATCTGGTACTTAAATACATATCTATTTTAGTGTCATTTTTTTTCGTAAGTAAATCGGAATAAATTATTAAAAATTATTTAATCGACAATGCAAGGCCATCGTTCTCCTACAACTATAATTGTCAATGGCAAGGTCAATCGCGTAGTTTAATGCTAGTACGTCATAATATTAAATGTCTAGATTTCCATTATCTTATGTCATCTTCTGTCTATGTTTTTGACCGTGTTATTTAATTTCCTGTATAGACTTTAAAAATAAGCAATTTTTTGATAACAAATTATTTATATCCAGATTATGTTCCAGAAGCTTTATGTTATGGGTGAATTAAGATATGTAAATTTTCAAGCAAACATAAACAATGACTATTATTTTAAAAGTTTATGATTCAACAAATAAAAATAGCATACAAAAAACCAAACCAAAATAGAGATGATGAGAGAGTGGTTGGTGCATTTAATGACATTTGACGGTGGAAAAAATGACAATACAGATAAAATTAATTTCCGTCAAGCCAGTCCCACACGATGCGGCAAACACTTTCCAACATAGACACATGAATATTTGCCGCATTGTGTAGGAGACACACTTGTCAATTGCAATATTGTAGAAACCTGTGTTACAACATTAGACAACGGTGGACGCATCGTATACTTAACGATGTTATTTTACTTTATTTTATTTACTAGTTTTATTTTAATTACAAATATCAAAATTCATTTAATGTGGAGTTCTGTACCTTCGATTTCTTTTAGAAATTCAATTCACATATATTTTTATACAAACATTATCGTTAGTTAGGTTTTATACATATTATTTAATATAACTGTATCTGGTGATTATTTTTTAAAACCTTTAAAGAAATTATTGTTGCAATAATTTTTTATGTATATATTAATTATGATGTAGGTTTATCATAATTATTATAATTAATATATTATTATTAAATTAATATATATTATATAATAATTATTCGATGATTCAGAGGTGTAGAAACAACAATATATTAATTCAACATATTATTTTATTTTTTCTTTCTAGTCTGCTGCACAGCTGTTTCAGCAGTTCATGAAACTAGTCGCTATTTGTTAATAAACATAATAAATACTTTTAAAGAAATTAATTTAAGAAATGTTCATACTTAATAAAACCAAGATGTTCTTTATTATTAATTTTCTTGTAAAAATTAATTTATTAACAAATTACTATAGCTACTTTAGTTTGAGTTTTGTTTGCAACATTATTTGTGTATATGTTACTTTAAATGTCCGAAATGCGGTAAAACCTAGGATTTACAAAAAGCAAGTGGTAGTAAAAACCAAGCAACCCCACCAAATAACCACCTAACTAATGCATTAATACCCGCCAAATAACCAGGCTAACCAATGCATTAACACCCTCCAAATAACCAGGCTAACCAATGCATTCCCAACTAACATTTTTTGTTTTATAATGGTAATGGTTACGTTTCGATAACCTACTTAATAAAACCTAAGAGCCTATCAATTGTTCCCGAAACGTTTTCGTTACCCTTATAACACCCCTATAGCACTTAAATGGAGAATCTTATAAAGGTAACGATGACCAAATTTTAGTACCTTATAAAACCTTTAACGTGACTTTTACTCTCCATTTATTGGTAACTAAGAGGTTGTCTTTACCTTTATAAACCATAAATAAGTTTTATAGCGGCAAGGAATACATTTTCGTTACCTTTTTAAAACCTTTATATTCCTTTTTTTATAGTGTTTATAAACACCAAAATAAAAAACGCCCCTTTTAAGTTCATCTCTTTCTACAACGTTTGTTTGCAATATATTCTATTTCAAGTCCTTGTCATTATTCTGCTTGTAGTTTAAAGTTGACAGCAATGGATTTTCACTTTGATGAAAATGGCGTGTTATAATAATTATCATAACAACTTAAATACTCTGTAAGAATTCTATGAGGACTAAATTTTATTGGCACGGAAAATTTATCGAGTAATATTAACATTTTACCCTTCTTAAAACTAAAGCGCCCCCGTTTAGAACTCAAATATAATTTATTTTGTAAAAACCAAATAATTAAATTTAAGTCTCATGATTTGTTTTTTTTGCAAATAAACTGCGCAACATTTCTTAACCCCATGCTTTTGAAAAAATATGTCTTAGAGCTTCGGTAATATTGCTTAAAATGCAATGTTCTTCTTTTTTGTGTAAGTACAACAACACAAACATAAAATGGCCGCCTTATAAAAGGACGTCATGTTCGCCATTTCGCCTTTTAAAAACCTCTAGTTTTATATGGGCCTTTAAGTAATCATCAACACTTTAAAAACTCTTATGACACTTCCCTAGGTGTCATGGGAATTTTGCTCTTCCAATAAAACCTGAGGTGCTTTTGTGATACTCAATAGTTTTATAAGTTACCATAAATATTTTTATAGAAATTTGACCATTTACTATAACCCCACTTTTTGTTTCGGGCGCTTTGGCTTTTGCAAAACAATTTTTTAATCAAAATAATTGAAACAAAGCCCTTCAATACACTTCAAAATTGTTCAAACCACAGAAGATGGAAAATCAACACCGTCTTTGACCAAATTTCCCTGATATCTATAGATTCTTCCAAAGATCCTTTGCCCCTTCCTTCATCGGTGGCAGTCGATTCAGTCGAAGTATTTGGCAATATATCTTCTTGAGAAATGTCTAAGTTTTGGTAATTTTTA